TCTTTATTGGCCAAGTGTGATTGGACACACAAGGAATTTGTCTTTGGTGCATACGCTCTCAGTGTACATAAAAGAAAAGACACACATTCGTCAAGGATCATAAGGTACAACACTTAATGATAGTCACAGGGTACAAATAAGCAATCAAATCTTACTAGGAAACAATCAATATAAATCGTAAGAATACAAGCAACAAGTTACAGTCATGCAGTCCTAAGTGGGAGGAGATGAGTGGTGGGAACGATGAGAAGATTAATAGTAATGCAGCCTAATGTGAATAGTTTGACAGTGTTGAGGGGATTATTTGTTGAGCAGAGTGATGGCGTTTGGGAAAAAACTGTCCTTGTGTCTAGTTGTTCTGGTGTGCAGTGCTCTATAGCGTCGTTTTGAGGGTAGGAGTTGAAACAGTTGATGTCCAGGATGCGAGGGGTCCGTAGATATTTTCCCAGCCCTCTTTTTGACTCGTGCAGTGTACAGATCCTCCATGGAAGGCAGGTTGGTAGCCATTGTTTTTTCTGCAGTTCTAATGATCCTCCGAAGTCTCTGTCTGTCTTGTTGGGTTGCAGAGCCAAACCAGACAGTTATGGAGGTGCAGATGACAGATTCAATAATTCCTCTGTAGAACTGGATCAGCAGCTCCTTGGGCAGTTTGAGCTTCCTCAGTTGGCTGAGAGAGGAGCAGAAAGAAGAGGAGGAGGAGGCCTGCCTCCCTCCCTTCCTCCCCAAACTTGGGAACTGGGCATGGCTGGTCTAGTGAAGAGAAGGACCAGGGGAGACATGATAGCAGTCTTCCAATATTTGAGGGGCTGCCACAGAGAGGAGGGGGGGGGTCAAGTTATTTTCCAAAGCACCCGAAAGCCACACAAGGAACAATGGATGGAAACTGAACAAGGAGAGGTTCAACCTGGAAATAAGGAGGAATTTCCTGACAGTGAGAGCAATCAACCCATGGAACAGAAGTTGCCTTCGGATGTTGTGGGAGCTTCATCACTGGAGGCTTTCAAGAAGAGACTGGACTGCCATCTGTCAGAAATGATGTAGGGCAGGGGTCTGCAACCTTAAATACTCAAAAGAGCCATTTGGACCCGTTTCCCACAGAAAAGAAAACACCGGGAGCCACAAAACCTGGGTGGGCGTGGCCAACTCGATGTCACTCACTTCCACCAGTCACATGACACTCCCCCCCCCAGCCACGCCTATCCAGCCGGTCATTAGGGCAGAGAACCAGTTGTTAAAAAACACCGGGAACCACAAAATCCTTTTGACGTATCTCTCTCTCCCCTCCCTCCCTCTCTCTCCCCCTCTCTCTGTATCTCTCTATGTCTCTTTCTCTCTCCCTCTCTCTCTGTATCTCTCTGTCTCTGCCCTGGCCACTTCTCCATCCCTCACTGTCGCCCTTACCTTCTCAGGCCAGGCGAGAAGTGACTGCGAGGGGAGGGCGAGGGGCGGGGCCAGCCAGCGGTGGAATCACCTGACAGGGAGCCACAGCAGAGGGCCCAAAGAGCCACATGTGGCTCCAGAGCCGCAGGTTGCTGACACCCGGTGTAGGGTGTCCTGCTTAGGCAGTGTGGGGGGGAGGGGGCTGGACTAGAAGACCTCCAAGGCCCCTTTCAATTAACAATCTGTTTAATAATAGTTGTGGAGGAGGGAGGTTACCACCTTTCGGTTGTAAGGCTAGTTATGGGGTGGATCGGGTGAAATGTAAAATTTGTTACTACCGGTTCCGTGGGCGTGGCTTGGCGGGAGGGGGTGTAATGTGACGAGTGGGCGTGGCCAACTTTAAAAAAAAACAAACTTTTAAAAGCATTTTTTCTAATGCTTTGAAAAGCCTCTCTGCCGATCAGCTGGGATCGTCAGAGAGGCTTTTTAAAAAATGCTTCGAAAAGCCTCTGATGATCCCAGCTGAGCCGCACAATCATCAGAGACTTTTTTTTATTTTTATTTTTAAAAGCATTTTTTCGTCGGAAGAGGTTGCCAAAGTACCAACCTTTTAAAAGTAAAAAATAAAAGCCTCTGATGATCGGGCGGCTCAGCAGGGCATGGTAGGTGGGTGGCAGGGGTGGGTTCTAAATTTTTTTATTACCGGTTCTGTGGGCGTGGTTTATTTTGTGGGTGTGGCTTGGAGGTCATGTGACTAGGTGGGCGTGGCTAGCTGGTCAGAGTCATTTCTGGAAGGTCCTTGCACTTACGACCCGACTCGTTTGTTTGCTTTTAACACTGATCAGCTGTAGGACGGCCCTTTGAAGCCCCGCGGCAAGAGTTTAAACAGTTTTTTCCCTCTAGTCATCAGCTGGGACTCAGGAGGCAGCAATAGATTGGGGGTGGGGCCAAATAAAAGGTAAGAATAACGTGGGGGGGGGGGGGGGGGGGGCGGGGAGGGGAGAACCGGTTCTGTGATGTCATATCGTCACCGCTACCGGCTCGGCCGAATCGGACCGAACCAGGAGGAACCCACCACTGGTGGGTGGGGGCCGCAGGGATTTTTGCTACCGGTTCTCCGAACCACCCGCCGCCATCGCTACCGGATCAGGCGATCCGGTCCGGACCAGGAGCATTTCACCCCTGGGATGGATCCATGCAACAGAAGGGGTTTATTTGTTTGTTTGTTTGTTTTCCTGCAGGGGGTGTTCATGTTTTTGACAAACCAGCAGCCGTTCGGGCACATCCTATCCTTGGAGAATTATCAGACGAGCCACCTGCATAACGATCTCTGGCAAATCTTCAGCAACCCGGAGGTGAGCAGGCTTCCTTTCTTTCTCTGGAACCTGAGAATGAGACAGGTGTGGGGTGAAGTAGAGGCCAGTTTGAAAGGATTTTTTTTTAAAAAAACGGAGTGGGGGGAGGTTTGTGCTTCTTAGGGGGAGAGAATTTGAGAACAAGGGCTCACGCAGAAAGAGGGGGCAGAAGGTTGAAAGGCCAGGAATTATAGACATGAGGCGACGCTGTCTCTCAAAAGCAGGTATTGTGGCCTCTCCAGCGGCTGAATCAGGAGGAAGAGGTGTGGGAGTCAGGGTCAAGGCAACCTGAGGGGGAAGAGGGAATGGAGCCGGCAAAGAGAGAGACGGAGGTGGAGCCTGGGCCGTCTGTCAGCCCTCAGATGGAGAGTCAACAGCCCCCAGGTCTGGAGGTGGCTGATGAGGAGGAGGAGGAACAGCTGGGTCCAGTGCCTATCACGTGGATGCGCAGAAGGCAGAGGAGAGGAGAGCAGTGGAAATCTATGGGCCGGTCCTCGGGACGGAAGAGCCACCGCTGCTAATGAAGCCCCCACGCTAGCTCTGGGGATAAAAGGCAGGAGGCGGAGATGAATAGATGTGGCAGACAAGTATTCATCTTCCGGATGGACGGACTTGTTAGCCTGCAGTGAGAGAGAAACTTTTTGCCAGGGCTGCCGGCGCTCCTAATAAAGGAATCCTTGAGGGTTGGTCGTGTTTGGGGAGCTGGGTCAGCACAGCAGGTTTTGGTAAGAAGGAGTCGGAAGGAATTGGAGCAAAGAACAGCTGGGAAAGATAAGAATGAGCAGCTTTCTTAAGGACAAATGTGCGTTTACGACTTCCGGTTTTGAACCCAGCTCCCAAAGTCTCAAAAGAGGGTGGATTTGCGAGAGAGGCGATACTCCTAAGAGTCTTTTGGGGGGGGGGGGGAAACCAAAAAATAAACCACCCGCCCCATTTTTTAATGTTTTTTTTTTCTCTCTCTCCCACAGGACTGGAATGAGAAATACATTCACCCAAACTACACCGACGCCTTAAAAGGGAAATTGGTAGAAACGGTAAATCATTTTTCTCTGTTGCCGTAGAATTTGGGTGTGTGGGAGGTCGGCAGAAAGGAGAAGAGAGGAGGGCTCAAATCCCCCTTCACCTTCCTGAAAAATTGGCTGTTTTACTCATTTAAGCTTTTACTTTGTACCATTTAATCAGGTACTGATTGCTTTGTAATCTACATGTAGTCCTCAACTTACAACAGCTATTAATTCCTTTTGCAACCTTCTGTAAGCAAAATCAGTGGGGAAGCCCAAATCATTTAACAACCGTGTCACTAACTTAAAGCGATTCACTTAACAACGGTGGCAAAGAAAGGCTGTAATATGGGGCAACACCCGCTTAGCGGCAAAAATTTTTGGGCTCAATTGTGTTTGTAAGTCGAGGACTAGCCGTACTTTAATTGGATGTTTTAATGGGTTTTTTTTCATTGTTTTAAAATCTTTTCAGAATTTTAATTGTAATGTTATATTTTAGATTCTGAGTTGCCCATAATTGTTTACTGGGATGGCAGCTATATATATATAAAATTAGAATAAAATAAAATGTGAAGTGAAATAAAATATGGTGGAGTAAAATAAAATAAAATTTGGTGAAGTAAAATAAAATAAATTAAATTAAAAATAAAATTAACAAAATGAAATGAAAAGTGAAGTAAAATAAAATACAATGAAAGGTGAAATGAAATAAATTAAATTAAAAATAAAAATAAAATGAAAAGTGAAGTAAAATTAAAATAGAATGAAAAGTGAAATGAAATCAAATAAACTAAAAATAAAAATGAAATAAAATGAAAAGTGAAGTAAAATAAAATACAGTGAAAAGTGAAATGAAATCAAATAAATTAAAAATAAAAATAAAATGAAATGAAATGAAAAGTGAAGTAAAATTAAAATAGAATGAAAAGTGAAGTAAAATAAAATACAGTGAAAAGTGAAATGAAATCAAATAAATTAAAAATAAAATTAATAAAATGAAATGAAAACTGAAGTAAAGTAAAAATAATAAAATGAAATGAAAAGTGAAATAAAATAAAATACAGTGAAAAGTGAAGTGAAATCAAATAAATTAAAAATAAAATTAATAAAATGAAATGAAAACTGAAGTAAAGTAAAAATAAAAGTAATAAAATGAAATGAAATGAAATGAAAAGTAAAATAAATTAAAAATAAAATAAATAAAATAAACAAAACAAAAACATAGAAATTGCTGCTGAGTGATGCAAACTATCCTAGACAGCTCTGGACTTTTACCCCTTGTCCTTTCTTTGGCCAGCCCTGCCCAGATGTCTACTGGTTCCCCCTCTTCACCGACACAGCTTGCGACGAGCTGGTTGAAGAGATGGAGCACTTTGGCCAGTGGTCCAAGGGAGACAACAAGGTAAGGCGACCCTCACAGGTGTGGCTCATCTTAGGAGGGTCTGTTATGGCCCGCCAGCAGAGCTGGCAGCAGATCTGGACAGTGAGGAGGCTGGGGAGGAACATGGGCCAGTCCTGGAGTCTGGAGAAGGCTCTGATGAGGGCTCTGCGTCGGAGGCAGAGAGGGGGCCAGGGCCATCTGACAGTTATCAGCTGCCTTCGGAGTCGGACATCAGTGAGGCAGAGGAACAGCTGGAGCCTGTTCCCAGTGTGCGCATGCACAGAGTTGCCAGACGAAGGGAACAGCTGAAGAACAAGGGTCGACTCAGGAGTAAAGCCACAGGTGGACGATGAAGGGCCCCTCCCAGAGGGAATAAAAGAGGAGCGACAGGGGAGGAGAGTTTGCAGGAGACAATTAGTTCATTCCTGCATTCTTGCTAATGAAAGATATTGGCCTGGCCACTCTCCAAGACTGATAAAGGTCAGTCATTGTGATGAACTATCTTGGAAGACTGTGGGAGAGGAAAGACTTGGCTGGAGAGGAATTCACTGCAAATGAAATAAAGGGGTTTTATCGGGGCGAGGAATCTGCTTCGTGGTTTGGGAATGCCTAGGTCAGAACAGGGTCTGGATCCGTCCTTTCCAACGGATGTCGCTTCCTTAGCCGAGTCGCCTGCCGAGGAAAGTTTGCCAGGCAAAGTGGCTGGTTTTAAAAACAAACTGAACCGTTGAGGATTTTTTTTTTTTAGAGCAGTTACCGGCTAACTTTACTCACCATTTTTAAAAGGACCAGAGGATTTTGGGGGGCTACGAGAATGTCCCGACCATTGACATCCACATGAACCAGGTCAACTTCGAGCGAGAGTGGTACAGATTTCTCCTGGATTACATCGCACCCATCACGGAGAAGTTCTACCCCGGTTATTATACCCAGGTGAGTTCAATTTATACGTGCTGGGATTGGAAAGTCACGGGACAATTCGAACTGGTGGCTCTGGGATCCCGAAAGGAAGCTCTTCGAGGGGCCTTATGGGGCAGGCCGAGAGAAAGAAGAAAATACGAGGCCACGCACACCCCCAAAAAAGCAGCAATCACTCCTGGATACTGTATTTTTCGGAGTATAAGACATACTTTTTCCCCCATAAAAGAGGGTGAAAATTTGGGTGCATCTTATACACCAAACGTAGCTCCACCCACCTGGAAAATGGGGCGCGTGGAGGCGGCAATAGGCTACAGCATTCCTTGCAGCTTGAAACAGCTGATCTTCGGAAGGCCGATCCAATCAACAATCAGCTGCTTGTGATAATCAGGCTGTGCTGAAGCTGAAATTGAAACAGGCTGTTTGCTGCAAGGAGGCAAATTGCTGGGAGGCAGAGGCAGATTTTTTTTCTTCTTGTTTTCCTCCCCAAAAAAAGGCAGGTGTGTCTTATAGTCCGGAGCGTCTTATACTCCGAAAAATACGGTAAACCCTTGTAAGCATTTCTCTTTCTCTAGCTCCTTTGCGACTGATGATGGCTTGCTAAAGATTTCACAGGCCATGGTTTGGTCCAACCCTTTCTTTCTTTCTTTTTTGTTTGTTTTTCTTTTTTACAGACCCAGTTTGAGCTCGCCTTTGTCGTCCGGTACAAGCCGGACGAGCAGCCGTCCCTGATGCCGCATCACGACGCTTCCACGTTCACCATCAACATCGCCTTGAATCGCGTGGGGATCGATTATGAAGTGAGTGTAAGGCCTTTTGGGCCGCCGTGAAGAGAGAACAAAATGGCTGAGTCCATGTAGGAGGGAGATGGCGAAATAACAGGTTTTTTTTTTAAAAAATCTCTGTGCTCAGTGGGCAAGGCCAGAACTGTGAAAGGGTGTGGAGTGGGGAAATATTAGCAAGGAATATTTGATTTTGGTTAAGTATTAGAAGGCACTAAGGAAGAATGGAATGGAATGGAATGGAACGGAACGGAACGGAATGGAATGGAATGGAATGGAATAGAATAGGGAATAGAATAGAACAGAATAGAATAGGGAATAGAATAGAATAGAATAGAATAGAATAGGGAATAGCATAGCATAGCATAGCATAGCATAGAATAGAATAGAATAGAATAGGAATGGGGAATAGAATAGAACAGAACAGAACAAAATACGGAATAGAATAGAATAGGAATAGGAATAGGAATAGGAATGGAATGGGGAATAGAACAGAACAGAACAGAAAATACGGAATAGAATGGAATAGGAATGGAATGGAATGGAATGGAATGGAATGGAATGGAATAGAATAGAATAGAACAGGGAATAGAATAGAATAGAATAGAATAGAATAGAATAGAATAGAATAGAACAGAACAGAACAGAACAGAACAGAACAGAACAGAACAAAATACGGAATAGAATAGAATAGGAATAGGAATGGAATGTGGAATAGAACAGAACAGAACAGAACAGAAAATGCGGAATAGAATGGAATGGAATGGAATGGAATGGAATGGAATGGAATGGAATGGACAGAGTTGGAAGGGACCTTGGAGGTCTTCTAGTCCAACCCCCTGCTTAGGCAGGAAACCCTACACCACTTCAGACAAATGGTTATGCAACCTCTTCTTAAAAACTTCCAGTGTTGGAGCATTCGCAACTTCTGGAGGCAAGTTGTTCTACTGATTAATGGTTCTAACTGTCAAGAAATTTCTCCTTAGTTCTAAGTTGCTTCTCTCCTTGATTAGTTTCCACCCATTGCTTCTTGTCCTGCCCCTCAGGTGCTTTGGAGAATAGCTTGACTCCCTCTCCTTTGAGGCAGCCCCTGAGATATCGGAACACTGCTATCATATCACCCCTAGTCCTCCTTTTCATTAAACTAGACATCCCCAGTTCCTGCAACCGTTCTTTATATGTTTTAGCTTCCAGTCCCCTAAGCCAAAGCTTATTAAATCAAAGCTGGACAGGGAGGGAGGAGGGAGATGAGAAAGGGAGGAAGAAGGAAGAGAGGAAGGAAGGAAGAAGAGAAAAAGAAGAACAGTTTTATCACAGAGAGTGCCAGGAAGAAGGTGAGAAAGGAGGAAGGAAGGAAGGAAGGAAGGAAGGAAGGAAGGAAGGAAGGAAGGAGAGAAAGAGAAGAAAGATTTATCAGAGAAGGTGCTGGGAGGGAGGGAGAGAGAGAAGAAAGGAAGGAAGGAGAGAAAAAGAAGAAAAGTTTGTCACAGAAGGTGCCAGGAGGGAGGGATGGAGGAGATGAGAAAGGGAGAAGGAAGGAAGAAAAAAGAGAAAGAGAAGAAGTTTATTACAGAGAGTGCCAGGACAGAGGTGAGAAAGGGGGAAGGAAGGAAGGAAGGTGATAAAGAAAATAAAGGTTTATCACAGAGGGTGCCAGGTGGGAGGGAGGAGATGAGAAAGTGAAAAGGAAGGGAGAGAGGAAGAAAGAATAAAAAGAGAAGAAAAATTTATTACAGAGGGTGCCGGGAGGGAGGGAGGGAAGGAGGGAAGGAAGGAGAGAAAGAGAAGAAAAGTTTGTCACAGAAGGTGCCAGGAGGGAGGGAGGAAGGAGATGAGAAAGGGAGAAGGAAGGGAGAGAGGAAGGAAGGAAGAAAAAAGAGAAAGAGAAGAAAAGTTTATCACAGAAGGTGCCAGGAAGGAGGGAGGAAGGAGATGAGAAAGGGAGAAGGAAGGGAGAGAGGAAGGAAAGAGAAAAAAGAGAAAGAGAAGAAAAGTTTATCACAGAAGGTGCCAGGAGGGAGGGAGCGAGGGAAGGAAGGAAGGAAGGAAGGAAGGAAGGAAGGAAGGAAGGAAGGAAGGAGAGAAAAAGTAGTTTATAATAGAAGATGCCACTGCAGAATTTCAGCATGGAAGTTGGAAGTTGTTTCAACCGAGGCTTGGTTGAAACAACTGCCAAGTGCCTTTTGCAATTTGGCAATTCGATCCCCCGGCAGGCAGGCAGGCAGCGGCCGTCAAACAGACCTCAAGGTGACGGCAACCTTGGCTGGGAGGCTCAAAATAGCCCCATCATCTTTTCTTCCCTCTGCAGGGCGGGGGCTGCCGCTTCATCCGTTACAACTGCTCCATCCAAGCCCCCCGGAAGGGGTGGACCCTCCTGCACCCGGGCCGCCTGACGCATTACCATGAGGGTCTCCCTACCACCAAAGGGACCCGCTACATTGCCGTCTCCTTCCTCGATCCCTAGAGCTGCCACCAGGAAGAAAAACCTGGAGGTGGGGGTGGAATTTTATTTTATTTTTTTGCCAACCCATTTCAGCCCCCTCCCCCATTGGCTGCACATTCTCCCAAGGAAGAAGTGGGGGGGGGAGAGACTTCCAGAACAGATGATTTGATTGGATACCGCTTGGTTGCAAGAGAGATTGCCTAGATCAGTGATGGCTAATCTTTTTGCCATCGTGTGCCAGGAAGGAGGGGGGTGGGGGAGGTTTGCGCACGCACGTGCCCACACCCATAATTTTATGCATCCCGCCCTGCGCATGCGCGCCCAACCTCCCCTCCCCCCTTGCTCCTGGCCCGTTTTTCTTTGTCACCTGGCTCCAGATCCTCTCTATGCATCTGGGGAGGGCGAAAATAGCCTTCCCCACCTACCCCCAGGCCCTCCGGAGGCAGAAGACAGCATGTTTCCCTACTTCTGGTGGTCCCAAAAGGCCTGAAAATCAGGTGGCCGGCACGCACATGCGCACCAGAGCTGAGCTGGCGTGCCCACTGATATGGCTATGCGTGCCACCTGTGGCACGCGTGCCATAGGTTCGCCATCACGGGCCTAGATTTAGTAGGATCCCTTGAGGATCCCTCTGGTTCCACGGGATTCTGTCCAACCCCAGCCAGCCAGAGCCGTCTGACCCCCTGCTTTCCACGAGGTAAGAGCGCCCACCTTCTTTCTCCCTGCCTCCTCGTGGGAAGAAGTCCTCCGTTTCCACATTTTTCCTTCCAATGGAGGTGGCCAAGGCGTGTCAGAATCACACAGAATTTCCTGTTCTGAGGGAGTAGAGCCTCTTAAAACCATCACTGGAATTTTTACATGGCACACGGGGTTGGTTGCTACAAAAGACTTGGAAATAGGATCCCTCTTCTGACCCAGCTCCTCAAACACGACAAACCCTCTGAAGTGAACTCAAAAGATTCCTTTAATTAGGAGCGCCGGGAAAAAGGTTCTCTCTCACCGCAGGCTCTAACAAGTCTGTCTGGCCGGAAGATGAATAGTTGTCTGCCAGAGCTATTCATCTCCGGCCCCTGCCTTTTATCCCCAGAGCTAGGGTGGGGGCTTCATTAGCAGCGGTGGCTCTTCCTTCCCAAGGACCGGCCCATAGATTTCCACTGCTCTCCTCTCCTCTGCCTTCTGAGCATCCACGCATCAGGCACTGGGCCCAGCTGTTCCTCCTCTTCTTCATCAGCCACCTCCAGACCTGGGGGCTGTTGACTCTCCATCTGAGGGCTGATGGACGGTCCAGGCTCCCCTTCTGTCTCTCTCTCTCTGCCAGCTCCATTCCCTCTTCCCCCTCAGAGCTCTCAGGTTGCCTTGACCCAGACTCCCACACCTCCTCCTCCTCCTCTGATTCGGCCTACGGCGGCCAACAGGCCATAACACTCCCTCAGGAGGACAATGAAGAAAATTCATCACATCCCTTGTTCATCGGGATGCCGGGCAAGAGGAGAAAAGCAAAGGAAAACGGTTGGAAATTTTTTCAGGAATGCCAAAGGCGCCTCAGATCCCGATGCCAGAGCAGACAGCTTTCTACCTGTGTATTTATTTAAAAGTCCAAAAAAAAAAACCCTTTTCTTCAGGCGCCCATTTCTTCTGCCCAAGTTGTACAGATTTTGCTAGATTTTTTTTTACATTAAATGTTGACATTAAAAAGAGTTTTATTTTAAAAAGGCAAATGCCTGCCTGTTTTTTTTTTTCTCAGCCTGAAGTGTGATGACCATAAGAAATATTTCTGAAATTGTGCCTTCGAAGAATCATCCTGGCCCCACGATAAAACGGGGTCTTGCTGAAAAGCCAAAGCTGGACTACGGATGCTGTGATTTCACTTCTCATCGGAAGAAGTTTCTTCAGCTCTGACTGGATGGCGGGGAATGGAAGGATTTATATCCCTTTATTTTATTTTTTATTTATTTATTTATATTTATATTCAGGACTGGCTAGGTGGCTCAGTGGTTACGACGCTGAGCTTGTCGATCAGAAAGGTTGGCGGTTCGACTCCCTAGTTTAGGTCTGCGTGAGCAGGGGGTTCGACTAGATGACCTTCAAGGCCCCTTCCAATTCTTTGTTCCTGTACTGTACCAATTCTCCTTGCAGGCAGCTGGTCATTGGCATCCTTTCAGACAGCTGTTGAGGCCACCTGGAGGTTTTATCTGTGCCTAAAAGGATGCCCAGCTGTCTGCAAGGAGTATCAATCCTTCCCTTCCCCACCACCCAGTCAGAGCTGAAGAAGCTCCTTGGATGAGAAGTGAAATGTCTTCAAAAGAAAAAAAAAACCTTCAGAAAGTCCAGTTGGAAAAATGCGCCTTTGGGACTTAACTTAGGACTGTACCAACTTGGATACCACCAGGAAATATTCTGGGCAGAGGAGAAGTTTTTTTTTGTTTTAAACGAATGCAGTAGCTGTCCTTAAAATGTTCGCTTTAATCAAAATTAAGAAGAAGACAGCTTCCATAAGAGTTGGACTCCTCTCCCCCATTATCCCCAGCGAACTGAATGGAAGAAATTGGGAGCCCTAAATGGAGATTGGGGGGGATGCTGAGTTATTAGAAAAAAGCCTTGGTGGCGCAGCACACTAAATTGCTGTTAACCAGCACCAGCTGCCTGCAAAATTACTGCAAGTTCGAATCTCACCAGGCTCAAGGTTGACTCAGCCTTCCATCTTTTCGAGGTAGGTAAAATGAGGACCCGGATTATGGTGGCAATAAACTGTATAAAAAGAACACCGCTTGGGGGTGGGGGAATCCCTACTAAGCAAGTATATACAAAAGTATGAAGGCTATTGCTTAACGCATTGTAAGCCGCCCTTAGTCTCCGGAGAAGGGCGGCATATAAATTGAACTAATAAATATAAATTGAACTAATAAATATAAATTGAACTAATAAACTCAGTACTCCAGAGCATGTGCAGAGTAGAGTTCCATCCCCTGCAAAACCCCAGCCAAGGAGAAGGAGCCACACGGCCCTTCAAACAGATCTCCAGCCCCCTTTTCCTATTCTTTGCCTTCATCCCCAAATTATAAAGAAAAAGGGAGGAAAAAATGGAATATAAACAGCTGCTGGACTTCAATTCCCAGGAGGTGGCGGGGCGCGGCCGTCGCGGCCGGCGTGACGTCACCTCCCGTCGCTCCCTCTGACGTTTCCCGGAGGCGCTTCAGGCGGAGCGGCTGAGGCAGAAGGCAGGTGAAGGTGAGGCGCGAGGGGCTGGGACGCGTGTCGGCGGGTGTAGACGTTACACGCGGGTTCTGGGGGGGTTTAATTCGGCCCTCCTCCGGGAATTAGAGACGGGGGGGTTGTCGCGGAGAAGGCTGGGCTTCGTTTAAGGGCTCCCCACCCACCACACCGCTTTTGGCTCCTTTCGGCCCGAGGGAGCCGAGCCCGGGGGGTGGTGGGTGGTTTGGCGTCACGTGTGCAAGGAAGACACGTGTCTTAGTCGGGTGAAAAGGGGGGGTTGCTTTTGGGGGGTTTGTGGGCCCCTCGTGACAGGAAGGAGGATGGGCTGGTGGGGGTCAGTGCATGATGGACCTACATACACTCCCCTGGGCAGTGCATGATGGACCTCCAGCATTCCCCCGGGCAGTGCATGATAGACTTTCACACACTCCGCTGGGCAGTGCATGAATAGACTTTCACACACTCCCTGGGCAGTGCATGATGGACCTACACACACTCCTGGGCAGTGCATGATGGACCTACATACACTCCCCTGGGCAGTGCATGATGGACCTCCAGCATTCCCCCGGGCAGTGCATGATAGACTTTCACACACTCCGCGGGCAGTGCATGATAGACTTTCACACACTCCGCTGGGCAGTGCATGATGGACCTACACACACTCCTGGGCAGTGCATGATGGACCTACATACACTCCCCTGGGCAGTGCATGGTGGACCTCCAGCATTCCCCTGGGCAGTGCATGATGGAGCTTTAGCACACTCCTGGGCAGTGCATGGTGGACCTACACACACTCCGCTGGGCAGTGCATAATGGACCTACACATACATTCCTGGGCAGTGCATGGTGGACTTCCACACACTCCTGGGCAGTGCATGATGGAGCTCTAGCACTCTCCTAGGCAATGCATGATGGACCTCCAGCATTCCCCTGAACACTGTATGATGGACTTCCAGACACATTCCTGGGCAGGGCATGATGGACCTCCAGCATTCCCCTGGGCAGTGCATGATGGACCTACACACACTACCCTGGGCAGTGCATGATGGAGCTCTAGCATTCGTCTGGGCAGTGCATGATGGACTTCCACATACTCCCCTGGGCAGTGCATGATGGACCTCCACGCACTCCGCTGAGCAGTGCCTAATGGACCTCCAGCATTCCCCAGGTAGTGTATGATGGACTTCCATACACACAATTCTGGGCAGTGCATGATGGACTTCCACTCATCCCCCAGCAGTGCTTGAGGGACCCCCAACCCCAGGCAGTGCATGATGGAGCATTTCAAGATTGGTAGGAAAGCCTCTCCTAAACCGAGCCATCCAGGTTGATTCAACGGTGGAAAAACCTTGTCAGAGGTGAAAATGTCTCTTGGTGGGTAACCCACCAACAAGCTTCTCTTTATAGGTGCCTTGTAGTTAATAAAATATACATTCCGTGAAGAAGAAACCTAAAAAAGGGTTTTTATATTAGGGTGATCGATGGCCATTTGCTTGTTCGATTCCACCCCCTGCATTTTCTAATCTTTTGTCTATTTGCCTTTCCTTAGGCCTCGGCTTGTTCTTTCCGGTTCAGGAAAGAAGATGGTAACCATGCTTAGCTTGTGAAAACTCCTGCTTGCATCTTAATAGTAAGTGCATTCGAGAGACATTTCAGAATTGGAACTGGTTTGACGCTGCTTTGGGTGCTGCTAACTCTTGACTCCAATCCGCAACAGGGTAATTTTGGCGAGAAAGGCCTAAAGCAGTGTTTCCCAAACTTGGCTATTTTAAGATGCATGGACTTCAACTCCCAGAATTCCCCAGCCAGTATGCCTGGTTGAGGAATAGTATGCCTGGTTGAGGAATTCTGGGAGTTGAAGTCCATACATCTTCAAAGGGTCAAGTTTGGGAAACACTGGCCTAGAGCAGTGATGGCAAACCTTTTCGGCGTCGAGTGCCCAAACCGGAATGTGCACGCATGCACATGCATGTCCACGCATGTGCCGGAGCATTAAAAATGTGAAGACCAGCAGCTGGCTGGCGTGTACATGCCTAGTTTTTGGTTGTTTTCAGGCTGTTTTCTGAAAAACGATCCAAAAACACCCAAAAAAGAGCCAAAAAACCCACATGCGCATACCAGCCAACTGGTCTCTGCATTTCTGGCGCATGGCCTGTTATTTGGCCACTTTTCAGGCCAAAAAAGCGCACTCGAGAAGACCATGCACGCTGGAAACCAGACGAGCAGCTAGCGACGGTGCACGTGCCCACAGAGAGGGTTCTGTGTGCCACCTCTGGCACGCGTGCTATAGGTTCGCCGTCGCGGGCCTAGAGCTTTCAGAGCAATTAAAAATAAACACCAGCTTCCTTCTAGCGTTCTCCCAGAAATCCGGCCTTTTTGCTCCTTCCGTTTGGGAAATCTCTTGAGTTCATAATGTAGAGCTATTCCGTGACCTCTTTAATAGAGTTAGGAGATTTGGCATTTGCGTGGGATTTAAGCACGTTGTAGAAAATAGGGTGATTACTTTAGCATGCTGTGAGAACAAGACGTTCACAGTAGGGAGGATGGGGGGGGGGGAATATGGCTGCTTGTTTACCTGGAGCATTTAACTAGAACAGTGGTGAGTTGTAAACTAAGCCCTTTCCCTCTTTCCTGCTTATAATCCATGCATTTTTTCCCCCTTCTAGCACAATGTCCCTGCTGTTCATTCGCTCTAAGTCCATCATCACTAGCAAAAAGGACAAGAGACACATGGCGGACGTCAGTGCCTCCCCCCTTAAGCATTTTGTCACTGCCAAGAAAAAAATAAATGGCATCTTTGAACAGTTGGCAGCTTACATCCAGGAGAGCTCCGTGTTTCTGGAGGGTGAGTTGGCCTTACGTTTCACATAGCTTGCTGACTTGTGCACACGAGTGAGTGAGTGAGTGAATGCCTGCAGCTCAAGGAGATGAGAAGCATCAGCGTCTCAGAATAGAATAGAATAGAATAGAATAGAATAGAATAGAATAGAATAGTTTATTATTTATTTATTTATTGGTTCGATTTATATGCCGCCCTTCTCCGGAGACTCAGGGCGGCTTACAATGCGTTAAGCAATAGCTTTCATACTTTTGTATATACCTGCTTAGTAGGGCTTTTGGCCCCCTCTAAGCGGTGTTCTTTTTAATACAGAGTCAGCTTATTGCCCCCACAATCCGGGTCCTCATTTTACCTACCTCGGATGGATGGAAGGCTGAGTCAACCTTGAGCCTGGTGAGATTTGAACTCGCAGTAATTGCAGGCAGCTGGCAGCTAAGTGCTACTTAACAGCACTTTAATCTGCTGCACCACCAATTCAATTCAATTCAATTCTTTATTGGCCAAGTGTGATTGGACACACAAGGAATTTGTCTTTGGTGCATATGCTCTCAGTGTACATAAAAGAAAAGATACATTCGTCAAGAATCATAAGGTACAACACTTAATGATAGTCATAGAGTACAAATAAACAATCAACTCATACTAGGAAACAATCAGATAGATAGGTAAGTAGGTAGGTAGGTAGGTAGATTGATTGATTGATTGATAGATGATAGATAGATAGATAGATAGATAGATAGATAGATAGATAGATAGATAGATAGATAGATAGATAGAATTCTTTATTGGCCAAGCGTAATTCGACATACAAGGAATTTGTCTTTGGTGCATATGCTCTCAGTGTACATAAAAGACAAGATACATTAGTCAAGAATCATAAGGTACAACACTTAATGATAGTCATAGAGTACAAATAAGCAATCAACTCATACTAGGAAACAATCAGATAGATAGATAGGTAAGTAGGTAGGTAGGTAGGTAGATAGATAGATAGATAGATTGATAGATGATAGATAGATGATAGATAGATAGATAGAATTCTTTATTGGCCAAGCGTAATTGGACATACAAGGAATTTGTCTTTGGTGCCTATGCTCTCAGTGTACATAAAAGAAAAGATACGTTCATCAAGAATCATAAGGTACAACACTTAATGATAGTCATAGGGAACAAATAAGCAATCAAATCATATTAGGAAACAGGAATTTTTTAAAAGGAATTATTTTGCTAGTTGAGGTTAGGATTTGAATCGGGGGCCTTCTGCACTTCTAATTTCTTTGTTTCTGACTTTTGGTTCAGTTCTTTTGTGTTGGGTTTTTCTTAAACTATCCTTGTCTGGATGGCGCTTGTTGGTTAGCTTTAATTCTGCTGTTTTTAAAATTGGCTGCCATTTCTAGGGTTTATTTCCTTGTTTACATAATTCTGCCTGCTGAGTGAGGGGTCCTTGGTGCTCTCTGAGCCTTCTTGTTTTCTTGGAGATGTTTCATTAGCATAACTAGGTAACATCATCAGTGCTAGCGCTAGGACTGATGATGTTACCTACCGTATTTTTCGGACTATAGACGCTCCGGACTATAAGATGAGGAAAACAAGAAAAAGAAATCTGCCTCTGCCTCCCAGCAATTTTGCCTCCTTGCAGCAAACAGCCTGCTTTACTTTCATTTTCGTTTTCAGCATAGGTTGATTAGCACAAGAAAAAAAAATCTGCTCCCAGCAATTTACCTCCTTGCAGCAAGCAGCAGAGGCTCGCACAGCAATAGGCAATACCAATCCCTGTAGCCTAAAACAGCTGAGAGTTGGGGGGGACAATCAACGTGTGCTAATTAGGCTGTGCTGAAGCTGAAATGGGCTGTTTCTTCTTGCTGCTTGCTGCAAGGAGGTAAATTGCTGGGAGGCAGAGGCCCTTTTAGATGGGAAAAAGGTGTGTCTTATATTCCAAAAAAATATGGTAGTTATGCTAATGAAACATCTGCAAGAAAACAAGCTCAGAGAGCACCAAGGACCCCTCATTTCAACCCTGAGCTTACAATTTTTTTTTTTTTAATTTGATTTATATGCTGCCCTTCTCCGGAGACTCAGGGCGGCTTACAATGCTTAATAGCCTTCATACTTTTGTATATTTATACAAAGTCAGCTTATTGCCCCCACAAACTGGGTCCTCATTTCACCTACCTTAGAAAGGATGCAAGGCTGAGTCAACCTTGAGCCTTGGAGAGATTCGAACCAGCAGTAATTGCAGGCAGCTGTGTTAATAACAGGGTGCTTAGACCACTGTACTATCAAGGCTATTGATAGCAAATACAAGTCCCTACCCCAAGGGGTTTATAATCTCCAATTGGGCTGTCAGGGAACAAACAACAGAAGGAAAGAGTTCAATCTCTTTCCTACCAAGAGCCTTGGTAGTACAGTGGTCTAAGGCACCCTGTTATTAAGACCAGCTGCCTGCAGTTACTGCAGGTTCGAATCTCGCCAAGGCTCAAGGTTGACTCAGCCTTCCATCCTTTCTAAGGTAGGTGAAATGAGGACCCAGTTTGTGGGGGCAATAAGCTGACTTTGTATAAAATATACAAAAGTATGAAGGCTATTGCTTAACGCATTGTAAGCTGCTCTGAGTCTCCGGAGAAGGGCGGCATATAAATCAAATTTTAAAAAAAAAAATCTGTTATCCCTATTGCTCAAGTTCTGCCTTTCTTTCCTAAATTCAGCCTCAGTCGCCTGCCTCCAGTCTTCCCATCCTCCATATTCCTGTGCTGAGTGTCAGGCCAGTGAGCCAGTGAGAGAGAGCCAGCTATATTTTGGTCAAGGTTTTCCGCATTGTTTAAATGTGGCCACTTTAACCAACCAAGGCAATGCAGAGGGGTGCTGGGACTTGTAGTTCCGAAGCAGGAAGAGAGAGTTTGCCCGTTCTTGTTTTAGCTTGGCATCTTTTTTTTTTTTTTTCCTGGGGAAAAGCCTCGCGAAAGTCCTTTTCCTGTATTTCTTCTATAAGAGGAGCTGTCTGGAAGCGGAGATTGCAGCCTTCAGACCACTCGCCTCCCACGTGACATATGCCGTTTTTTTTTTCCAGAAACACACAAAAATGGTGAGCTTGACCCCGTCACCACGGAAGAGCAGGTGTCAGAGGTCAAGGGCTACCTGTCCAAGGTCAGCGGGATCAGCGAGGTGCTGGCAAGGCGGCACATGAAGGTGGCTTTCTTTGGGCGGTGAGTCAGTTTGCTGGTATTAGAAAGCTTTGCTTGAATCGGAGGCTCTCCAAGTGGGCTGGACTACATCGCCCATCATTCTGCAAATGTCCATCCTGCAAAGCTTGCTGGAACGATTCCAGCTTAAGTTGTCCATAAGTTGTTTCAACTGCAGCAGTGGGCGTGTTTTGGTTCCCCGGAGTTCAGAACTCTGCGCAGTCCCAAGGCATGTAGATATCGGCTACCTTGCAGTGTTGTTGTGAGCAGGGATGGGATTCCAAAATTTTACTGGGTGGGCGTGACCATGGTGGGCGTGGCCTACTCAGCCTGCTGCACCATGGTGGGGGGGGGGGTTTCACCCACCCCAGGCTCTGGAGGCTTTCCTCAAGCCTGCAGGAGGACGAAAACGGCCTCCCTCACACTCCAGAAGCCCTCCAAAGGCCAGAAATGGGCCCGTTTCCAGACGGGGCGGGGTGGGCAGGGCGAGGCCAGCCAGTTCTTGCAACTACCGTTTCGGCGAATCAGATGTAAAATGAGCATCCGCTTCACCCGAACCAGCTGAATCCCACCCCTGGTTGTGAGGATAAAATGGGAGGAAGTGGCTGTCTGTGTTTTTGCGATTTTCAGGACGAGTAATGGGAAAAGTACTGTGATTAACGCCATGCTCTGGGATAAAGTCCTTCCCTCTGGGATCGGCCACACCACCAACTGCTTCCTGAGAGTGGAGGGGACGGACGGACAGGATGCCTTCCTGCTCACCGAGGGGTCCGAGGAGAAGAAGAGCGTCAAGGTACAATGTGGGAACGACCCCAAAATTGAGGATCTGAGAAACTGATGGAAGGGAATTAATATTCCGTGAACCCGTAAAGTTCTCCTGGAGGATGCTGGTCGACATAATCAGGACTCCCCAATCTTGGCAACTTTAAGACTCGTGAACTTCAACTCCCAGAATTCCCCAGGCATCCTGGGGAATTCTGGGAGTTGAAGTCCACAAGTCTTCCCCCCACCCCAAGTTTTTTATTTTTTTATTTTTTTACAAACATATCAAATCAATGCGTGAACAGCGTGGCACTAATACAAATAAAACTAGTAGAATTAATCATAGTTACTACATTCAATCAACTTACATATTTCTAATAATGATACATATATTAAGTTGCTGTCTGTCATTATTCAATTATTCCATGTTTTGTTATTACTTTTATTATATAGTGTGTACACTAATATTCCCCCTTCTACATGGGGCTCTCCTTGAAGAGCACTCGGAGGCTCCAGCTGGTCCAGAATGCGGCCACGCGGGTGGTTATGGGCGCAACTACTTGTGCCCACGTGACACCCCTCCTGCGTGAGCTGCACTGGCTCCCAGTGGTCTTCCGGGTGCAATTCACGGTGTTGGTTACCACCTTTAAAGCGCTCCATGGCATAGGACCTGGGTACCTTCGAGACCGACTTCTGTCACCAATAGCCTCCCACCGGCCAGTTCGCTCCCACAGAGAGGGTCTCCTCAGGGTGCCATCGGCCAAGTTATGTCGGCTGGCGACACCCAGGGGGAGGGCCTTCTCTGTGGGAGCCCCAGCCCTGTGGAATGAACTGCCCCCGGAAATGCGTAAGATCTCCGACCTCCAGGTATTTCATTGTGCCCTGAAGACCCTGTTGTTCCGCCAAGCCGGGCTATCAACATAATAATTTTAAATTGGGGTATTTTAAATTTCTGGGGTTTTAAATTGAGCCGAATTTATTTAATAATTTTAAATTTTTAATTGATGTTTGTCTTGTGTTTTTAAATAGGCTGTACACCGCCCTGAGTCCTTCGGGAGAAGGGTGGTATAGAAATAAAATTATACTTATACTTATACTTCTCTTATTTCTATCACAAGTCCACAAGTCTTAAAGTTACCACGGTTGGGGAGTCCTGGAATAGATGGTGGCCCCATTATTTCAAAACTAGTGTTTGTTTGTTTTTTTAAATCCAGCCATCACCTACCTTCTCCAGTGGAGTATTATTAAATTCTTTCATTTTTGAAACATCTTCGTAATTATTTTCTCGGGCCGTCTTCATTTCTTTTCCTGCATCAGACAGTCAACCAGCTGGCTCACGCCCTCCACCAGGATGAATTGCTGACAGCCGGAGGTCTGGTCAGCGTCATGTGGCCGAATTCCAAGTGCCCTTTACTCAAGGATGATCTTGTTTTGATGGACAGGTGAGTGGCTGTTCCCCCCCCCCTTCCCCCCAAATAAAAACGGTCCCTCTCTTACACCCAGCCAGGAAAATGGCATGCTCTTATAAGCTTTTTTTAAATTGTAGCTGTTGTGCCTTTATCATGTGAATAAATAATAATAATTATTATTGTCATTGTACGTGAATACACAGTATACCCATACAACGAAATTCACTTAACACCCAAAGACCAGGTCCAACACACATAACAATCCCCAAATACGCTCCCACCCACCACAAATTCCCCACCCCTAAATCATCCAAACATCCACACAACAGGCCAAGTAATGCTGTCCAACAGCTCACTGATGGTGGCCCTTTAGTTCATTGTTGAGTGCAATTATAGCTCTGGGATAAAAACTATTCAGAAGACGTGTGGTCTGAGCTTTAATGGTTCTGTATCTTCTGCCAGAAGGCAACAGTCCAAAAAGATTGTAAGCAGGATGGGAAGAGTCTCTGAGAATGTTATGCAACTTTCTCAAACAGCGAGATTCAAAGATGTCGTCCGGGGCTGGTAGCTGGAGCCCGATGATATTCTGGGCAGTTTTAATGATTCTCTATAGAGCATTTTTTGTCTGCTACAGAGCTGCTCCCATACTATGCAAGAATGCCGTATGTCAGGACACTCTCAATGGTGCTGCGATAGCAGGACAGAAGTAGATGCTGAGATAGATTGATCTTCCTGAGCATTCTCAAGAAGTACAGCCTATGAGGCAAATGTGAGGCAGGTGGACTTTTACCGAAGTCGATTAAAAAAACTGGAATGGGGGAATTTATTTTTATTAATCCAGCATAGCCTTTCTGGTCCTATCTTTTAGAACTGGAAAGCGAAGTTTAAATTTGAGAAACAGACAGGTTGGGGGAGATGTTGGAAGAGAGACCATCATTTCAGTGTGTAAATTAGGTCCGTTCTTACAGGGAGTCCTTGACTTATGACCACAATTGAGGCCACAATTTATGTTCTTAAGTGAGACATTTGTTCAGTGAGTTTTGCTCCATTTTATGCCCTTTCATGCTCCAGTTGTTAAGTGAATCTGCAGTTGTCAAGTTAGGTCGTTAAATGAATCTGGCTTCCCCCTTAACTTTGCTTAAACATTTGTATTTTTAGAATTATAGAACTTGTCAAACGTAAATACGATGAATATTATTTTATCGGTATTAAAATGTGATTAGAAGGGGGATACTTTTTAAACATAACAGTGGCATAATTAAAAATTAGAAAGGGGATAAACAACGGAAGATTATGATTATTATTATGATTATTATTATTTATTCAATTTATATACCGGCCTTCTCCTATTAGACTCAGAGCGGTGCACAGCCAAGGATAAAAAACATACCAATACAAAATTTAAAATTAATTAAAAGAATTATACAGCTTTCGCCCACAATTTAAAACAATCCAATTAAAACCCAATTTACACTTAAAAAGCTAAAAAGAGCTAAAAAGAGCTAAAAAAGATTATAATTTAATATAATTAAAAATTATAATTTAATATAAATCTGTGTATTACTATTAGAATTATATGTTTGTTAAACACAACAAATACGATTATTAATATTTTATTACTAGTAAAAGGAGTGACATTCAGAACTTGTAGATTGGTATAATTTATTTATTTATTTATTTATTTATTTCATGTATTTGTATGCCGCCCTTCTCCAGAAGGACTCAGGGTGGCGAACACAAGTTAAAAACATGTACAACAAAACCCCATTTTAAACCAAATTAACTAATAAATAATAAATTTATTATTTATATATATTATATATATATATTATATATAATAATAATAACATTGAAATATCAAATAATCAAAGAATGAAAGATTATAATTCAACAAAATATGTGCACTCTTACTAAAATTTTATGAGATTGTCAACTGTATTAAATATGAAGAATATTGTTAAAAAAGAAAGAAAACGCAAAAGGGGTATCAGGTGACTCTGGGACACTGCAATCGTCATGAGTCAATTGCCAAGTATCCAAATTTTGGTCATGTAACCTAAGGGATGCTGGGACGGTCGTGTGAAAAATAGTCCTTAAATCCCTTTTCTCGGTGCGGTTGTAACTGTCACTAAACGAACCGCTGTAAGTCGAGGACTGCCTCTTATTTTAAAACTAAGATCAGCGTTTTTAAAGCTCCTACAAGGCGGGGGAGGTGTGTTGGAAGAGAGAACACCATTCCAGCGTGTAAATTATGACGTCATTTCTGCGTTTCTTGTTAATACGTTTAGCCCCGGAATCGACGTCACGACCGAGCTGGATAGCTGGATTGATAAATTCTGCTTGGATGCCGATGTCTTTGTGTTGGTGGCCAACTCTGAGTCGACGCTGATGCAGACGGTAAAAACGTCGATCTCTTTCCTTCCCTGCCTTTGTTTTTAGCTAAACTTTTGCGAGAATCATACAAGTTCCAGGATACCAATAGCCCTTAGGACTTATATACCGCTTCACGGGGCTTTTACAGCCCTCTCTAAGTGGTTTACAGAGTCAGCCTATTGTCCCCCAACAATCTGGGTCCTCATTTTATCCACCTCGGAAGGATGGAAGGCTGAGTCTACCTTGAGCCTGGTGAGATTTGAACTGCCAATCTTCTGGCAGTCAGCAGAAGTAGCCTGCAGTACTGCACTCTAACCGCTGCGCCACCTTGGCTCTAAGGATGCTTAGAGCAGGGGTCACCCACTTTTCAGACCTCAGGGACCACTAAATTCATAATTTTAAATCCCACGGACCACTAATATGATCTGCCTAATGACTGGGGGGTTGGGCGTGGCTAGGTGGTCATGTGACTGGGTGGGTGTGGCCAGGGCCGGATTTAGATGAAAAGAGGCCCTAGGCTATTCCACTTATGAGGCCCTTTCACCTATAGTGAAAGTGTAATTTTAATTTTGCTAACAATTTGAATGTAGGCTCCTCTTGATCTTGAGGCCCTAGGCTGAAGCCTAGTTAGCCTATAGGAAAATCCGGCCCTGGGTGTGGCCAACTCGGTGTCACTCACGTCAAGGAGTGCCTTGCCAGCCTCTACTCGCCCCTCCCCTCCCAGCCCCTCCTTGCCTGCCCGCCCGGGCTCCTTAGGGCCCCAACAGGAAGCAGTTGTTGAAGCTAAGCAGAGAAAGGAGTTGGCAAAACAGCTGGCTCAGTTCAAATTGGATCTGACCTGCGGGAGGCTCAGCAGAAGCACCTCACTGAGGACTAGGAGCATAGGCTTTCCAAGCAGAGGGAAGACCTTCAGGAGTGCAAGGCCAGGTACTGGCGCCTGGAGGCTTAGCGGGCTGAGATGGTCAGCCAGTTCCAGGCCATGATGCAGTCCCACTGAAACGAGGTCCTCCGGCTCTTCGCCATCAGCGGCGCTTCCCTCCAGCCTTCGCCCAAAGCCCCACACCAGGAGGCTGAAGCAGACCCCCAAGTCGGAATTTCTGCGCCCCCTCTGACCCACACAAAAAGACCCCAAAGGGGGAGACTCTCTGCAGCAACACAACCATTCATTGCATGTATCTGGCCCAGGGACCGTAGTTTGAGGATCTCTGATTTAGTGCAATATAAAAAATGCAAATAATTTTTCTGCGGATCACCAAAATTGTCTCACGGATCACCAGTTGGTGACCACTGGCTTAGAGGATGCTCTGGGGGTTAGTATCAAGGCTCCTGAAAGACACAAAAAGTTGGACTTTGCACGTTGGTGAATTAAAAGAAACGGGGTGGATTTGCTTTATTTTTCTTATTATTTCTTATTGCTTATTTGAGGATCACTCCTCCTCAAAAGCTTAAGTCTGCAACTCCTGTTTTTAAAAATTCATGGCAGGCACAGTTAGATCTCCATTGACCCCCACACTCCTCCACCTGGAGAAACCTGGGCGGGGGTGGGGAGTGGCTCAGAAGGGGCAGAAATGTTGAGTTTTTGAATAGATGATTCCTTTGAATAGGTGACTCCTTTTTTTTTAGCCAGCAGTGTGCAGCGGCAGCCAAAAAGGCTAATACAATCCTTGGTTGTATAAACAGAGGCATAGAATCAAAATCACGCAAAGTATTAGTACCTCTTTATAAATCCTAAGTAAAGCCATACCTGGAATACTGCATCCAATTTTATTTTTTATTTATTTTATTTATTTTATTTCTATACCGCCCTTCTCCCGAAGGACTCAGGGCGGTGAACAGCCACGAGATAAAACACATAAATACAAAAAATTTAAAATGAATTAAAAATGAATTAAATAATTTGGCTGAATTTAAAATACCCCATAATTTAAAACAAATTAAAATTTACATTTAAATTTTTTAAAAAAATTTACATTTAAAAAGGGGAGAAGATTTAGGCCAGGCCAGCTTGATGGAATAGGAAAGTCTTAAGCGTGCGACGGAAGGTGCGAAGATCCGGGATCCTCTGTATCTCGGGGGGAGCTCGTTCCAGATTGTAGGTGCCCCCACAGAGAAGGCTCTCTCCCTAGGGGCCGCCAGTCAACATTGTTTGGCCGACGGCACCCGGAGGAGCCCCTCTCTATGGGAGCGTACTGGCCGGTGGGAGGCTATTGGTGGTAGCAGGCGGTCCCGTAGATAACCAGGTCCTAAGCCATGGAGCGCTTTAAAGGTGATAACCAGAACCTTGAAGCGCACTCGGAAGACCACCGGGCCATATCTGTGGGCATGCGAGTATTGCCCTAGCTCAGCTCCAGCGTGCATGCGCGCGCCGGGCAGCTAATTTTCAGGCCTCCAGGGAGTGGTGGGGAAGGCTGTTTTCGCCCTCCCCAGGCTCCTAGAAAGTCTCTGGAGCCTAGAAAGCTTCTGGAGCCTGGGGAGGGCAAAAGACGGGCCTTCCGGGCCCACCGGAAGTCGGGAAATGGGCCGTTTCTGGCTCCGGAGGGCCTCTGGAAGGCTCTGGAGCCTGTGGAGAATGAAAAATGGGCCTACCGGGCCCATTGTGCCAACACATGCCAAAAGCGGGGGCATGCGCGTGTGTGTGTGGGGAATTGAATTATGGGTGTGGGCACGCGCGCAAGCCCTGCTTTTGGCACGCGACGGCTAAAGGTTAAACAATCACTGGTATAGGATGTCCTGCTTGAGCAGAGGGCTGGACTAGAAGGCCTTCAAATTCCCTTCCACCCCTTATTCCGATTCTGATTTTTTTCAAGCTTAATTTTACGATCCTCCTGTTTACAGAAGGCGTTTTTTTTTTTGTTGTCGTCCCTTTTCTGCCCATCCAGGAGAAGCAGTTCTTCCACAAAGTGAACGCTCGCCTCTCTCGGCCCAACATCTTCATTTTGAATAACCGCTGGGACGCTTCGGCATCCGAACCGGAATACATGGAGGAGGTGAGGCTTCCTTTGGTGTGTTGCGGCTCAAAAGGGGATAGAGCAGCCCGGAAGGAAGATGTGGCCTTTCTTTTTTTTTAATCTAATCCCCCCCCCCTTTTTTTTTATTATTTTATTTTTTATTTATTTATTTTGCTCTCTCCTCTCCTCTCCTGCAGGTTCGCCGACAGCACATGGAACGCTGCACCAGCTTCCTGGTGGACGAGCTGGGTGTGGTGGATCGTGCCCAGGCTGGCGACCGCATCTTTTTTGTCTCTGCAAAAGAGGTCCTGAATGCCCGCATCCAGAAGGCTCAGGGTATGCCCGAAGGAGGTGAGAGACCCTCTTAAACCAGTGTTTTTCAATGTTGGGAACTTTTAAGACGTGTGGACTTCAACTCCCAGGATTCCCCCAGCCAGCGCAGCTGCGCTGGCAGGGGGAATCCTGGGAGTTGAAGTCCACACGTCTTAAAAGTTCCCAACATTGAAAAACACTGCTCTAAGCTCTCCCTGTTTCTAAATCCGCAACCCCCTTTCCTCCTTTAAAAATTACGCTCCTGCCTCGTTCCAGTTTGGCCATGAGGACTAGAAACTTGGAAAAGAAAAGGAAAAAGAAAGCACGGGCCTATATTTTGCTGTTCAAATCTGATGGTGCTTGGGTTTTGTTTGTTTGTTTTTTTCTTTCTCTGTAGGCGGGGCGCTGGCTGAGGGTTTCCAAGTGAGGATGTTCGAATTCCAGAATTTCGAGCGAAGGTTTGAGGCAAGTGCATTTTTTAAGTTGTTGAATATTTGTGAGTTTCGCTGCTCACTGAGGAGCACGGTGGCCAATTCCAACACGTTTTCTTTAATTTACCCACGACGTTTAACCATCGGGAGGGGGTTAAATTTATATTACGTGGCTAGGTGTCCCTATAGATCTAATTCTTTTAATAGATAAGGCCTGCATATTTTAACAAGCAGTGGATTTTTGTGTGTAATTAATAATAGCCATAGATAGATAGATAGATAGATAGATAGATAGATAGATAGATAGATAGATAGATAGAGCTAGATAAATAGATAGATAGATAGATAGATAGATAGATAGATAGATAGATAGATATAGATATAGATATAGATATAGATAGATAGATAGATAGATAGATGATAGATAGATAGATAGATAGATAGATAGATAGATAGATAGATAGATAGATCAATCAAACAGCAGACAGTGTGAACAATACTATCCTGAGCATCTTACGGTTGTCCTTCCATCAATATACACCTCTTTTCTATAAACCCTTCTTTTTGAACTACAAAAACCATCAATCTGGTTCCAGGACCCAAAAGCAAATAATACTGTTAAGCAGATCATCCTGCGTTGTTCCAATATTGTGAAATAGATTCCAAACGCAGAACCCTAAAGATCTCAGTTTGCCTATTTTGAGTGCGATTTAAGTCGCTAGTCCTCAAGGACACTCTGCGTCCCGAGTGGAATTTTCGGGGTCTGGATTGGAAACCTTATATAAATTAGCCCGAGGGATTGGATTCACGGCCTCCTTCGCTGCCTAAGTGGGGGGGGAAAGGATGCCGGATTTTGTCGGGAGGGAGCTGAGGTTTGTCTTCCTTGCAGGAGTGCATCTCGCAGTCCGCAGTCAAGACCAAGTTTGAGCAGCACACGGTCAGAGCCAAGCAGATTGCGGAGGAGGTCCGGCACATCATGGATTCCGTGCATGTGGCCGCGCAGGAACAGAGGTGCCTCGTTTGGGCTTTCCTAAGAGAATTTGTGAAAGTTGAAATCGAAGAGCAGAGCAAGGAGGCCTTCGCAGGATTTCAGCTAGTTTAGAAACCGGGTGCTTTTCTTTCCTCTTTCCTTTTTTTCTCCCTCCCACCCTCCCTATTCTTTCCCCCCTCCTTCTCCTCCCTCCTTCTCCTTCCTTCCCTCCCTCTCTTCCTCCCTCCCTCCCTATTTCTTCCTTCTTCCCTCTCACCCTCCCTATTCTTTCTTCTCCTTCCTTCCTTCCCTCTCTTCTTCCCTCCCTCCCTATTTCTTCCTTCTTCCCTTCCACCCTCCCTATTCCTCCCTTCCTCCTTCTCTTCCTTCCTTCCCTCCCTCCCTATTTCTTCCCTCCCTCCATGCCTATTCCTTCCTCCCACCCTCCGTTTTCCTTCCCTCCCTATTCCTTCCTTCTCTCCCTCCCTATTCCTTCCTTCTTCCCTCCCACCCTCCCTATTCCTTCCTCCCTCTTTCTCCTCCTTCCTTCCTTCCCTCCAACCCTCCCTATTCATTCCCTTCTTTCCTCCCTATTCCCTCCCTTCCTATTCTTTCCTCCCTCCCATTCTCCTTCCTTCCTTCCTTCCCTCCCTCCCTCCCTCCCACCCTTCCTATTCCTTCCTTTCTTCCCACCCTTTCTCCCTCCCTCCCTCTTCCTTCCCTCCCATTCTTCCTTCCTTCCTTCCTTCCCTCACTCCCTATTCCTTCCCTCCCTCCCTTCCTTCCTTGTGTCTTGCAGGGTTTACTGCCTGGAGAAGTGGGACGACCGCCAGGAGCGCCTGGGATTCATCGAGAAACAGCTGGACCTGCTCAGTCAGAGCTACAAGTTGAAAATCAAGGAGATCACAGAAGAGGTTGAGCGCCAGGTGAGGCCCTTTTTCCCCCCCGAATTCAAAGCCTGGTTTTATGCTGCCCGATCCCTTGGAGCAAAGACGATCCCAGCAGGAATCCCCCCCCCCCCCAAGCGTGCCTTTCTGGCAAAAAAAGAAAATGAAAAGCTGGATTCAAGAGCGTCTTCATCATTGCCGGTCTCTGCCACGCTCAGCACCCTGGCTTGAGATTCATTGAGATGAATATTTTTTCAGACTTGGTTTTCCTCCGGTTTACCGGCCGGTTTGCATTGCAGAAGGGTGTCTGTGGGTGGGTGTGTTTGCTTTCCTGGAAAGAAAAGGAAACACAGCCCGGGTCACACCCCTTGTCATTTTTCCTTCCAGGTCTCAAACGCGATGGCAGAAGAGATCAGGAAGCTCTCGGTGTTAGTGGATGAGTTTCAGCTGGATTTCCATCCTTCCCCCGTGGTCCTGAAGGTTTATAAGAACGTAAGCCCACTGTTCTGTCCCCGTCTCACACACTCACTCAAACAGCCAGCCGAAGGTTAAATAAACTTCTTCCAAACAATACTGATAAGGAACTTGGCAGAAACTCCGTAACTGCCTGCCAAGCACTTCTTTACTCCGATAACAAAACATAAACAAAATACACACAGTTTGTAATAGTCCCAGAGTAATAAAATCCACAGCGTCCAAAGGTACAAAGTGACTCGCCAGAAGATTTAGCTTTGTCCGTCACAGAGTCCAAATGGCCACCACACTCCCTTTTATAGCCTGTGGGGTGTGGTCCAGTGACTCAGCTTAATCTCTGGCACGCCTCCTTTTCTGCTGCGCACGCTTATCCCGTCGGCGCTGGCGTGGGTCCAACCATAATGTTTCTTCGTCATTATCTGACGGCTCGGAAACACCTGGCTCCTGGCCAATCTCTTCCCCTTCGGGAGACACCTGAGGCATTGCCAGAGAGGAGGGTCCTGGAGAGGGAGGCCTGGCCATCTCCTCTCCTTCATGTTCGGAGCCTTCTTCCTCCGATAAGATGGGCTCGGAGGACGGAGACACAACACTCACTTATAACGCAGACTGGATCCTTCCCTGGGAAGTATTGGGTGCCCGATTGCCCCCCTCGATGCAAAATCCACATTCAGAAGTTTAATCCTTTGCCTGTAACGAAACCTTTTGCCGTCTCCTCCTCTTAACCCCAAGCCCATCAAGCTGGGTAACCCAGTAACCTCGATGACTTTCAAGAGGCATCAATAAAGGGGAATGAATATCTGTAGCTCAGAGATGACATATGAGGGGTCCTTGGTGGTCTCTGAGCTGGGCGGTTTTCTTGCAGACGTTTCGTGACCCTAACTAGGTAACATCATCAGTGCTAGGAAGTTTGGGATCTGCAGGGAGGAAGAGGAGGAGAACTATAGGGCCCTGATGGCAAACCTATGGCAGGTGTGCCACAGGTGGCATGCAGAGCCATATCGATAGGCACGCAAGCTCAGCTCCGCTGATTTTTGGGCCTCCTGGGCCCAACGGAAGTCGGGAAACACACTGTTTCCAGCCTCCGGAGGTCCTCCAGGGGGGATGGGGAAGGTACGTTTTTCACTCTCCTCAGGCTCCAGAGCCTTTCCAGGAGCCTGGGGAGGGTGAAAATGGAAGTTTGGAAATGGGCTGTTTCCAGCCTCCGGAGGGACTCCAGCTGGGTAGGGAAGGCCGTTTTCAACTTCCCCAGGCTCCTAGAAAGGCTCTGGAGCCTGGGGAGAGCAAAACACAGGCCTTCCTGTCCCATCGGAAGTCGGCCAACTGTCCGTTTTTGGCTTCCGGGGAGGTAGGGAAGGCTGTTTTTGCCCTCCCCAGGCTCCTCCAAAGGCTCTGGAGCTTGGGGAGAGCAAAAAACGGGCATACCGGTCCCACCAGAAGTTGGCAAAGTGTCCGTTTTTGGCTTCCGGGGAAGTGGGGAAGGCCATTTTTGTCCTCCCCAGGCTCCTAGGAAGGCTCTGGAGCCTGGGGAGAGCGAAAAACGGGCCCACCGGGCCATTGCGTGCCAAAAGCGGGGGGAGCACAGGGAGGTCATGCGTGGGGGGGGGGGGGGTGCATAGAATTATGGGTGTGGGCACGCAGGTGCGTGACCCCCCCGCACTCCACTCGCTTTTGGCACATGATGGCAAAAAGGTTAGCCATCCCTGTCCTAGGTGCTCTCTGAGCTTGGCGGTTTTCTTGGAGGCGTTTCATTACCAAGCTAGGTAACATTATCAGCGCTAGCAAGGGAAAGGGGTTTCCTTCTGGTGCTCCCTTCTAGCACTGATGATGTTACCCATTTTGGGTAATGACATGCCTGCAAGAAAACAATCAAGCTGAGTGTCGGCCCTGCCCAGGCTTGGCCTTCTAGCAAAAGAAAGGCTCCCAACTCCATTGGAATTCTTTTACTAAGTAGTTACAGGAAGGCAAGGCCGGAACCGAAGTTTTTGCCCATGAAAGCTCCTTTCCCTTTCTCCTCCTTCGCCCTAGTTTTATTTTTATTTTTTTTATTTATTTGATTTGATTTCTATACCGCCCTACTCCCGAAGGACTCAGGGCGGTGCACAGCCAAACAATAAAACACATATATACAAAATTTAAAAGTAGAATAAAATCAAATTAAATAATTTTGGCCCCGACAAATTTAAAACCCCAAACTTTCAAAACCAATTTAAAATTGAATGTATAAAATACTAAAAGATATTTAAAAATTAAAAATCTTTTATAAAAGAGGGAGAAAATTAGGCCAGGCCCGCCTGGTGAAATAGTAAGGTCTTTAAAGCGCGGCGGAAGGTGCGCAGATCCGGGATCTTCCGTATCTCTGGGGGGAGCTCGTTCCAGATAGTAGGTGCCCCCACAGAGAAGGCTCTCCCCCTGGGGGCCGCCAATCGGCATTGTTTGGCTGACGGCACCCGGAGGAGTCCCTCTCTATGGGAGCGTACCGGCTGGTGGGAGGCTGTTGGTGGTAGTAGGTGGTCCCGCAAGTACCCAGGTAAATAAATAAGAGAAGTGGACTTCAACTCCCAGAATTCCCTCAGTTTTTTTCTTCCTCCCTTTCCTAGGAGTTGCATCGGCACATCGAGGAAGGCCTGGGCCGAAACATGTCTGATCGCTGCTCCGGTTCCATCGCCGCCTCTTTGCAGATCATACAGCAAGATATGATTGGTGAGCATCCCTTGGGAGGATGGGAAGGAGAGCCCAGAGGTCCTCTGGTCCAGCAGTCACCAACTGAGAAAATTTTGGTGGCCAGCACAAAAGTTATTTTTCATTTTTTTATATTGTGCTAAATTGGGGGTCCTCAAACTACGGCCCTTGAGACAGATACATGCAGTGAACGTTTGTGTTGCTGCAAAGAGTCTCCTCCTCGGTCAGATCCAATTTGAACTGAGCTCTTTTGCCAACTCTTTCTCATGGTGGCTGCTTAGCTCCAACAACTGCTTCCTGTTGGGGCCCTAAGGAGCCCGGGCGGGCATGCGAGGAGTGGCTGGGAGGGGAGGGGCAATTAGAGGCCGGCGAGCCACCCCTCGACGTGAGTGACATCAAGTTGGCCACACCCACCCAGTCACATGACCACCTAGCCACACCCAATCACCCCAGTCATTAGGCAGATCGTATTAGTGGTCCACGGGATTTAAAATTATGAATTTAGTGGTCCCTGAGGTCCGAAAGGTTGGTGACCCCTGGACTAGTCCCACCCCAAGGCCCAGGACTTAGTTCTTGGGTTTCCTCCCCAAGATGTGCTGAGATGCAGGGCATGGATCATCCTAACACCACCACCACCACCCCTCTGTCTTCTCCCTCCCTGCTCTTGCCTTTTCAGATGGGCTGAAGCCCCTCCTCCCCATTTCCCTGAGGGGGCAGATCGAGCTGCTGGTCCCAAGGCAGTGCTTCACTCTCAGCTACGACCTGAACTGCGACAAACTCTGCGCCGACTTCCAGGAAGACGTCCAGTTCCATTTCTCCCTCGGCTGGACCATGTTGGTGAACCGGTTTCTGGGGCCCAAAAATACACGTAGGGCCTTGATGGGCTACAGCGACCAGGTGAGATTGAGGTTTGATAATGTGAGGTAGATTTCCCCCTGTGCGTGGAGGCTCGGCTTCACCCGAGGCCTTCAATACATCCTGTGAAAACCCACTGAGGGAGTGTTCTGACTTAGGCTTCCCCAGCAGCACGAAGCCGAGTCCTTGTCCCAATAAACCTCTTTTATTTCATTGAGAGTGAATTCCTCTCCAGCCAAGTCTTTCCCCTCCCAGCGTCTTTCAAGATAGTTCATAATTACCGACCTTTATCAGGCTTGGAGAGTGGCCAGGCGGATATCTTTCATTGGCAAGAATGCAGGAATGAACTAATTGTCATTCCTTCTCCTTTCGCTCCTCTTTGATTCCCTGTGGGAGGGGCCATTCACTGTCCACCTGTGGCTTTACTCCTGAGTCGCCCCTTGTTCTTTAGCTGTTCCCTTCGTCTGGCAGCTCTGTGCATGCGCACACTGGGAACAGACTCCAGCTGTTCCTCTGCCTCACTGATGTCCGACTCCGAAGACAGCTGCTAACTGGCATACGGCCCTGGCCCCCTCCCTGCCTCCGACGCAGAGCCCTCATCAGAGCCTCCCCCAGACTCCAGGACTGGCCCACGTTCCTCCCCAACCTCCTCACTGTCCGAATCTGCTGCCAGCTCTGCTGGCCGCTGGTGGGCCACAACAGGGGGACCAAGCTGTGTCGTCTTTGTTATCCTTCCAAGCTCACCTTTGCTGGCGTGGAGTTTTACTCCCCCAGTGTCCTTTCCCCTGGCCTCAGTTGCTTCAATCTGCAGAATGGGCACCGGAAGCTGGAATTCCCCCAGAGGCGGTCATCCTGTCTTGTCTTTCCTGCCCCTAACTGTCCAATTTTTGCCCACTAGGTCCAGCGTCCGTTGCCCCTGACCCCGGCGAACCCAAGCCTGCCCCCCATGCCACAGGGGTCCTTGACTCAGGAGGAGCTGATGGTCTCCATGGTAACCGGCCTGGCCTCCCTCACGTCCAGGACTTCGATGGGCATCCTTGTGATCGGTGGAGTGGTAGGTTTTTGGGGAGCGTTGGTGTGGGGTGATGGAGGCCAGCTTCCTGATTTCTCTCCAGCCCTTCCAGGCAGACGTGGAAGCATAATTCAGCCACTCCAAAATTAGCGGACCCTGCTAGCTAAGGCCGATGGGTGCTGTAGTCCGTAGCTCCCTCTAGTTCTGTGTTTTTTCAGCTTTCCTGCTTTTTCCGAGGTGCTCTTTTAATTATTAGTATTAAAAGGGTTGGCACTAGGGGGGAGGGGGAAGGGAAAATAGTTAGCTGGGGGTTTTGTAGTCAAAACGAAAAGTGTTCCTGTGGGAATCAAGGTCATTTCAACTGGGAGCTGGCATGGATAGGGAAATAGTTTAATAAATTGTACTCTTGGAAAGTGAAAATGCCCCAGGAGTCTTTATTTTTTATTTATTTTTATATATTTTTTTGCTTTAATTTATATGCCGCCCTTCTCCGGAGACTCAGGGCGGCTTACAATGCGTTAATCAATAGCCTTCATACTTTTGTATATTTATACAAAGTCAGCTTATTGCCCCCACAAACTGGGTCCTCAATTTACCTACCTTAGAAAGGATGGAAGGCTGAGTCAACCTTGAGCCTGGCGAGATTCGAACTTGCAGTAATAGCAAGCAGCAGTTCTTAATAACAGTGCTTAGTCCACTGTACTACAGGCTCTTGTTTGCTGAATAAAGGATGGTTGACAGAATAGAAGAGAATAACAAGGTTGGGAAAGGACCTTGAATGTCTTCTTGTAATGCCTGTCCAATCTCTTTTTAAGAACCTCCAGTGTTGGAGCACCCAAAAAAATTCACGGAAATGGGACACGCAGAGGGTTTGGGAGGCCTGCAGAGTGCTCCTGGGGACCGGGGAGGGCAAAAAAATATTTTTTTTTATCTTGTTTTCCTCTTCGAAATCTTGGTGCATCTTATACTCCGGTGCGTCTTATAGTCCGAAAAATACGGTATTCCGTTAAAAACTGCCATTCTTTCCGAGGCCAAGCCTGTTTTCCGTCTGCATCCCCAACCCCCAGGTCTGGAAGGCGGTGGGCTGGAGGCTGATCGCCCTTTCCCTGGGCCTCTACGGACTCCTCTACGTCTACGAGCGCCTCACCTGGACCACCAAAGCGAAGGAGAGAGCCTTCAAGCGCCAATTCGTGGACTACGCCGGGGAGAAACTTCAGCTGATCGTCAGCTACACCGGCTCTAACTGCAGCCACCAAGTGCAGCAGTGAGTTAAGCCCGTCCTCCCTCCCTCCCTCCCTCCTGCTTCGTCCAGCTCCTGTCTATGCAGCCTGAGTTCCAGGCTGGTGGTTTTTGCAGAATAGAGGAAGTCCTCGATCTACGACTGTTCGTTTAGTGACCAAAGCACTGAAAAAAGCGACTTGATATTTATCAAGAGCCGAGGTGGCGCAGTGGTTAGAGTGCAGCACTGCAGGCTACTTCAGCTGACTGCTAGCTGGAGTTCGGCAGTTCAAATCTCACTGGCTCCAGACTGACTCAGCCTTCCATCCTTCCGAGGTGGGTAAAATGAGGACCCAGATTGTTGGGGGCAAGAGGCTGACTCTGTCAACTGCTTAGAGAAGGCTGTAAAGCACTGTGAAGCAGTATATAAGTCTAAGTGCTATCGCTATTGCTATGACAGTTGCAGGTCAAATGATCATCTTTTGTGACTTACTCACAAAAGGCAGTGGGGAAGCCAGATTCATTTAACAGCTGTGTTACGATTTGTCTGAATATTAGACAAATAAATATTTTGTCTGGAATGGTTCTTGCCTGGTCCACTTTTGCGACCACCTGACAAGCCAAATCAGTGGAAATTCCAGATTCACTTTAACCACCGTGCCACTAACTTCACAAACGCAATGATTCACTTAACAAGAAAAGTCGGAAAAAGGAGGCAAAGTCACTTAACAAATGTTTCGCTTAGCGATATAAATTTTGGGCTCAATCGTGGTCGTAACTCGAGGACTACCTGTATTAGATTTATAGGGGGGGATGGATGGAAGGCTTTTCTTGCATTGAGGTATATGTATTGTTCCCTCTCACCTTTTTTTGACTATCCTTTTTTCTTTTTCCTTTTCTTTTCACTTTAAAAACATCTCGTCGAAGGGAACTGGCAGGAACCTTTGCTCAGCTGTGCCAGCAGGTGGACGTGACGAGAGAAGATCTGGAGAAAGAAATTGCAGGCCTGAATCAAAAGATTGAGATTTTGGATACTTTACAGAGTAAAGCCAAGTTGCTTAGGTGAGGAGCTGCCATTTTCATGCTCGTCCACAGCTGAAGGGGGTGGCGTAGGGGTGTTAAACTCAGTTTCATTGAGGGCCGCATCAGGGTTGTGTTTGACCGTGGAGGGCTAGGGGTGGTGGCAAGGGGCGTGGCCAAGTGCTAATGCTGGATTTCCCTGAGACCGACCTTCACTCTCATTATATCCATCCTTCCTTCCTTCCTTCCTTCCTTCCTTCCTTCCTTCCTTCCTTCTTTTTCTTCTTTTCCCTTCCCTCTTCGTTTTCCTTTCTTCTTCCTTCCCCTCTTATTTTTCCTTCTTTGCTCTCTTCCCATCTTTCCTTCTTTTTCATTATCTTCCCTTTTTCCCTTTCTCCTTTCCTGTCCCTTCTTGCATGCTCAAATGCAAAACGGGAAACATTTGTTTTGATAGTTCTCTGCCAGCGAAAACGGAGCCGGGGGGGGGGGGGGGCTATCCCCCCCCCCCCCCGGCCACATTTTCGGCCTGGATAGCCTTCTGCAGCCCTCCGCCAGTGAAAACAGAGCCTGGGGGGCCCATGCATCCCCCCCGGCCACGTTTTTGACCTGGATAGCCTTCTGCAGCCCTCCGCCAGTGAAAACAGAGCCTGGGGGGCCCATGCATCCCCCCCGGCCACGTTTTTGACCTGGATAGCCTTCTGCAGCCCTCCGCCAGAGAAAACGGAGCTGGGGGGGGGCGCACATGCCCCCCCCACGCGAACTCCGTTTTCACTAGCAGAGGCACCGTAGGCCAAACTCAAGGCACCCTTGAGTTTGACACCTCTGGCGTGGCGGATATTAACTTTACATAAAATTGACGCATCGTCTTGCACTCTGCCTGTAAATAAGATCCATTCCTTTCCAACACATTTTTGATGATCTGGGCAAGAATAGAAAAATGTATTCATCTTTTTTTTGTTGTTGTTGTTATGTTAGGGCGTTCCCATTCATTCACAAATTTATTCTTGCAATTACATTTATTCCTGCAATTACATCTGCATTAAAACCCTGCAGACATTCTTTGCGAGGGAATGTCATCTTTCAGCCGCTTCCTTTTTCAACCTACGTTGAGATGATTTAAATCTAGAATCCCATTTAAAAGCCTTCGTAAATCAAGGAGGACAATACTCGAGCCATCCCTTGATAACATATTTTCAAGCCTAATCAAATGGACAGATAATTATATCCATAGCTGTGAGTGTGCCTGTTTTGAAAAGCTTTTTTTAAAAAAACCTTTTCCTACGGGAACCAAAATACAAATGCTTTATATGGTCTAGGGCCGTGATGATGAACCTATGGCACGCGTGCCACAGGTGGCATGCGTAGCCATATTGGTAGGCACACGAGCTCAGCTCCAGCGCACATGCGCACACCGGCTAACTGATTTTCGGGCCTTTTGGGCCCACCAGAAGTAGGGAAACAGGCTGTTTCCTGCCTCTGGAGAGCCTCGGGGGGTAGTGGTAGGGAAGGCCCATTTTTTGCTCTCCTCAGCCTCCAGAGCCTTCCTAGGAGTCTGGGGAGGGCAAAAACTGCTCCCCCCCCGGGAAGCCCTCCATAGGCTGAAAACAGCCCGTTCCCCTCCACTCCTGACACGTGATGACAAAAAGGTTAGCCGTCACTGGTCTAGGGTCTCCTGCTTGAGCAGAGGGCTGGACTAGAAGACCTCCAAGGTCCCTTCCAGCTGTATTCTATTCTGCAGTATTCTACATTTTAAAAAAGTCCTTGGCGTTTTATTAATTTTAGAAATGACTCGGTGTCAGCACTTCAACCTGCATTTACTCTAGTGCTGACATAAGAAGGAGAAGAGGGGGCAGCTGGCAAGAGGCCGCTTGACTTTTCACCTACTTATTTTCCCTGAAGATAATATCCCCTAGGAGATGGGATGGGAGGGGGGACATTCCTGGGAGCTGAAGTAGTAGATATGGGGAGAGTGATTTGGAAGATGGCCAATGAGACACAGAGAATTGGGGAACGGAAAGGGAAGATTTGGGGTCAGGAAGTCAGTGTTGGCTACGCCATAATCGGGGACAGATTGTCGTGCTTAATAAATGAAAGATTTCATCAAAGACTATTTGTTTGGAAATGCAATTTATTTGAGACGACACCGAAACCTGACACTCGGTTTGGTCCGCTCAGGGTTTTGAGGCTCAGTTTAAAGCAAAACTGGCTTTTAAAAAACGGATTTAACCTAGCAGTTAAAAGGCTGTAAGTTATCTTATTTTATTTTATTTTAATACGGGTCTCTCTTCGGTTCTCTCCCTCTGCAGGAATAAAGCAGGATGGCTGGACAGCGAGCTGAACATGTTCACACATCAGTATTTGCAGCAGAGCAGATAAGCCTCCGAAATGGGAGCCCACGGGGAGGCTGCCTGTTTCTCCCCCCTCCTTCCCAGTTACAGAACTGGGAAAATAATTCCAGATGATGGGAACTTTTGGGAGGGGGGAAGTGGAAAGTCTCGTTCCTCTTTGCGCCCGTCCCTTCCGTGCACACAGTTACTTTGAAACCCCTTTTCCTTTCTCCGCACGTGGGCCCTTCTATCCTCGTAGCCAGCCTTTGCAATCTTAGCAGTTTTGGGCTTAGTAAGAAGAACGTTGACAATCCCGATGACTAGGGCCGGGGATATCCCACGTCCTGCATCTAATCCCCTTTACTCCTCGATGAAATAGCAAACTTAATTTGCATTTTTTTTAGTGGGTGTGGAATGAAATTAACCCCGCGATGCCTGCTTGCCACAAATGAATGACTCCCGAAGGGAATCCTGTCATAATTTATAGGACAAAATTGGGTGCATCCCAGACCAATTCCGAGGTTGGCTGAGCTTGGCGTCTGAATTTTGGAAAGCAAGGAACAAGTCCGGTTGGGTTTCTTCAACCTTGAAGTCCCATCCTCTCCTTTTACACGCTTGTGACATTAGCGAGTGGGCTAAATCTTCGGTCTTTCTGTCCTGATCCTCAGATTTCTACGATGATCTTATTACGATCACCGTGTCTTTCCCTGCGGCTTTTGCCCTAAAAATAGCGCCTCCTAAAGGGGCCAGTCCTTATGAAGTTAACCGAGTTAACTTCAAACATTTAATGAATTTATTAGAGGGTATGTGCAGGTGGGCTGAGAGTGACGCACGAAGTTATAGACGGATGAAATGTAAGAAAAGATTCGGAGGGAAAATTTAGTCAATTGCATTTTGTGTCTCTCTCCTTCAAGCGAGGGTAGATAGAATTAATCAGCTGTAATGGATTTTGACCCCTTTGATTGTTTCTCTATTTTTTTTTCCTTGCTCTTCCTTTGTTTATGAACCTTTTCACGACTTCTGCAATTGTCTCTTCTACCTTTAAATTAATTTTTTTTTAAGGACGTTGCTCCCATTTCAATCCAGCCCCATCCCTTTAAAAATTCAGTTTCCAAAATACGCCTAAATTGGCATATATGTATATATTTCCTCCTGGGTCAATTGAGGCCCACTTAGGAGGTGTCAGTTTGGGGAGGGGGCACGCACTGGGGGTAGCTTGTGCCAGTCTAATCTGTGCAGAGGTCACAATTGGGATTATTCCAGGTGTGGTTTTTTTTGGACCGAAAGACACTCCAGTACCATAGTTTTCAACCTTGGCACCTTGAAGATATGTGGACTTCAACTCCCAGAATTCCTCAGTCAGCTGGCTAGAGAATTCTGGGAGTTGAAGTCCAGACATCTTCAAGCTTCCTCTTCAGGCCTCCTCCATGTGATTTTGAAGTGTCTTCCCATTGGGGGTCTGGGGTCTATTTCTCCTTCCTTTTCCTCACCGTTGGGGTCACTTAATTCTCTTTCCAGCCAGCTCAGCCAGATTTTTGAGAATCTGACAATTTGGGGTTCGGCCACCGATTGGTTGTAAGCCTGGGTCCCTAAAAACGCTGAGGGTTAACAAGATTTCCCCCAAAATGCACTTTACCTTTTCATTTTTTAATGCTGCTAGTGTTAATTTTAATTTCTAGCCGGGCCTTCAAAATCCTCCTGACGGTATTTTCTCTGTTTTGTTTTGTTTTATTTTGGGGGGGGGCTGTAAGGATTTGGGAATAATGATGCTATTATTAACTATTTTGACCTGATACTGTTTCTAGCTGCATCAGTGCTGTTAATAACCAAAAAAACCAGAATTAAAACGGAACACATGGACGGAAACTTCTTCTGTCTTTTGTTTTCTTGGATTAAAAAAAAAAATGCTTTTCTTTGGTAAATCTCTGCTGTGCAAATGTTTATTTTCGCCTCCAGGAAGGTTTCTTTTGTGTCTGGATCAGAGGTGGGTTTCAGCAGGTTCTGATCAGTTCTGGAGAACCGGTAGCGGAAATTTTGAGACGTTCGGAGAACTGGTAGTAGAAATTCTGACTGGTCCCTCCCCCATCTATTCTCTGCCTCCCGAGTCCCAGCTGATCGGGAAGAAATGGGGATTTTACAGTATCCTTCCCCTGCCACGCCCACCAAGCCATGCCACACCCACCAAGCCACACCCACAGAACCGGTAATAAATTTTTTTGAAACCTACCACTGGTCTGCATCGTTGTGTATAGGATGGCCACAACTGGGGAGAGAGGGAGGCAAGGGGAAAGACACTTTCTGCTGTCAGCACTTCAAGCTGCATTTACTCTAGTGCTGACATAAGAAGGAGAAGTGGAGGCGTCTGGAAAGGGATGTTTGATTTTTCACCTACTTATTTTCCCTCGAGATAATACCTCCTAGGAGATGGGATGGGAGGGGGGAAATTCCTTTGAGCTGGAGTGGTAGATTAGGGGTAGAATGACATGGAAGATGGCCAATGAGTGCAGGGGATTGGGGAACGGAAAGGGAGGGTTTGGGGTCTGGAAGTCAGTGTTGGCTTCGATGAGTCGGAGGTAGAATGTCGTGCTTAATAAACGGGAATTTTTCTTCAAAGACTTTGTTTGAAATGCAATTTATTTGAGACGACCTCGAAACTTGACATCTGCCTTTTATTCTGCTCTCAAGTGAGCTGGCAAGGCTTGGGCACAGCGCCTCTACAGTAGTGACCAAAATTGTGGGAACCTTTTGGGGAAAAGTGTATTTTCTAAAACTAGCTAATATCACCATTTTATTTTATTTTTTTGGAGTAGTAGTACCATAAAATTATATCAAGGGAAAGATAATTTAATCAAGAATGTAATGCCTGTAATGACTAAAGCATTGTGATTAACACCAACTGTCTGCAATTACTGTGAGTTCGAATCTCACCAGGCTCAAGGTTGACTCAGCCTTCCATCCTTTCTAAGGTAGGTAAAATGAGGACCTGGTTTGTGGGGGCAATAAGCTGACTTTGTATAAATATACAAAAGGATGAAGGCTATTGCTTAACGCCTTGTAAGCCACCCTGAGTCTCCGGAGAAGGGCGGCATATAAATCTAATTAAAAAAAAAAAAACTTTTATGAAGGATTTGCTGTTAGAATAGCAGTTGCAGTATAAAGAAGAAAAGTCAAAACACGTAGAAAAAAACAAGATATACAAAAATTATCACCACATCGGTTAGTACTTAGTTGGGTAACCTTTAGCACGAATGATGGCCTTACAACGTCTTCCCAAGAAGTGAACCAAGTCTTTTAGCTCTGCAGCTGTTATGTGAAACCAAGATTGAATGATGGCTTCTATTAACTGGGTTTTATTGCTGGGTCGCTTCTGACTAACCAGTTTCTTTAGTCAGCTCCCTAGATTTTCACTTGGGTGAAGGTCTGGGCTATTCCCAGGCCATTCCAGGAGTGGAATAACATCCCCAAAAAGGGATGTTATTAGCCATCAAACCTCAAAAATACACTTTTCCGAAAAGGTTTCCACAATTTTGGCCACTTCTGTAAGCATGTACAGACAGTTGTTAATTTTCCAGAGCTATTTCAGAGCTATTTGATCTTTATTAGCATGTCTTTTTCTGGATTTTATATTGTTTTTGGGGTTGTTTTTAATCTCAGTAACCCTGTCTCAGTTTTGTGAAAATAATGACATCTCTGGCCATGTGCAGAGAGCCCTACATTTTAGTGAGGGATATTTGTGTGTGTGTGTGTGTGTGTGATTTTTCTTGACTTTCACACTGCCAACAGTCTGGAGTTTCTCTAAGGCAGGGGGTCCTCAAACTTGGCTGCTTTAAGACGTGTGGACTTCAACTCCCAGAATTCTCCAGCCAGGCTGGAGAATTCTGGGAGTTGAAGTCCACACGTCTTAAAGCTGCCAAGTTTGAAGACCTCTGCTCTAAGGCTTGTAAAACAGCAGGTTCCCCACCACTCACCCCTAAAACTCTTGAGTCACACTGCTCCTGAACACGGTCGGCAGTTCGGTGGTTCGAATCCCTAGTAGTAGGTCTCCTGTGTGAGCAAGCGGGTTGGGCTAGATGACCTCCAGGAGTCCCTTCCAACTCTGTTCCTGTTTTTATTTATTTATTTATTTATTTATTACATGTATTTATATGCCGCCATTCTCCCGAAGGACTCAGGGCGGCGAACACAAATTAAGAAACAAGTACAACAAAAACATAATTTAATCCAAATAATTTAGTAGCAAATAATAAAGTAAATAATAAATTATAATAAGTAATATAATATTAATTTATATTTATAAATATTATTAATTTATAATTAATAATATTAATATTATTTACTTATAAGTAATATAAGTAAATAATAAATAATAAATAATAAATTTAAAAAAAAACATTTATTGTATTTTTCTTTTATTTTTTTTAAAAAAACACCACCGTAAGCTTTCCAGCTTCTTACTGAGAATGTGAGTTCCCCGGGGAGGGGGGTGGGTTAATTATTCATTTTCATTCATTTGATTTAAATCGACTACTTGACTTCATTTAAATCCATTGGGTTTATCATCTCGCTGGCTGCGGATGATAGGGACTGTAACCCAGTCGGGGAGAGGGGGAGGGGGGGTGTCACCGGGCCACAAAGATCCATAATAATAATAATAATAATAATAATAATAATAATAATAATAATAATGCGGACTATGCCTTTAAAAAAAAAACACACCCAAAAGTAGAAATAGAGCGAGGTCCCTTTAAGAGCAAAAACCGCCCGGCTTCCGGGTGACGCTGGTTGCCTGGTGACGAAAGCGGAGCGTGGCCAATCAGGAGGCGTTCGGAAGCTTTGGCCTTTGCTACATTGTAAAGCAACGGACGCGGGAGTGAATGAGTGCGTAAAACAGCGTCCTTTTGTTTTGGGGGGGGCAGTCAGAAGGGGGGGCGGCTGAGCAGCCAGGGCAGCCTTCCCTTCCCCAGGCTGTGGCCGATGGGAGTTGTAGTGCATCTCCTCCTCTTAGAAGGACGTTGAAATAGGGGAAGGGGAAGTGTTGCTTTCCCCTCTATGGGGTGGTGGGCTTAGTTAGATCTGCAGGCTTAATTTTGGGGCAGGTAGTGGGAGGGGAGGAAGCCCCTTTGATCACTTTTGGGGGATGGAGGCTGATCTTTGGTGGCTGATCCAATAAAACCTATCAGAGATCAAATCAAATCAACCAGGAATTAAAGCCCCCCTCCCTTCCTCTTCCTTCCCCCCCCCCCAAAAAAAAAATTCTTGCATGGGAACTTGGGAGTCAGTAAGATCTAAGACTTTTAGTCTGACCTGTGGGGGAGGGTGATGAGAAAAGACTACCTCTGGGCGCGTGCAGAGTTCCCCCACCGCCTCTCTAGAGCCCAGGGCAGGCTTGCCAGGCAGAAGAAGTCATCTCGGCCTCAACAGATCAAAGCAAAAAAAAAAGATCAAAAATATTCAGATATTTACTACTCCCCAGCTCTCGAAAGGGAGACGTTACTTCGGCTCCGGCAGCGCACATTTTGGAAGCCCCCCCCGAGATGGATCTTCAACAGCTCCGCCATTTAAACCAAGACCTCCTGCAAAAGTTGAAAGCCAACCAAGAAGAGTTCAGGAAACGCCTTCCCTTCGTGCTGGCTTCTTCCTCGGGGAACCCTGAGCGCAAACGGATGCTCAGTTCCAGGGTAAGTGGATAGTTTGTGCAAGATGGACACATCTACATCTGAAGGTCCAGTTTTGATCCAAAGGTAGATAAGGGACAGGTAGTCCTAGACTTACGACTTAATATTGAGCCCAACATTTCTGTTGTTCAGTGAGACATTGGTTAAGCGAATTTTGAAACCCCATTTGACAACCTCTCTCACCGCCGTTGTTAAGTGAATTTGGTTTCCCCATTGACTTCGCTTGTGGGAAGATTAGGATAGAATAGAATTCTTTATTGGCCAAGTGTGATTGGACACACAATGAATTTGTCTTTGGTGCACATGCTCTCAGTGTACATAAAAGAAAAGATACATTCGTCAAGAATCATAAGGTACAACACTTTAATGATAGTCATAGGGTACAAATAAGCAATCAACTCATATTAGGAAACAGATAGATAGATAGATAGATAGATAGATAGATAGATAGATAGATAGATAGATAGAATTCTTTATTGGCCAAGTGTGATTGGACGCACAATGAATTTACCTTTGGTTCATACGCTCTCAGTATACATAAAAGAAAAGACACATTCGTCAAGAATCATAAGGTACAACACTTAATGATAGTCATAGGGTACAAATAAGCAATCAACTCATTAGGAAACAATCAGATAGATGATAGATAGATAGATAGATAGATAGATAGATAGATAGATAGATAGAATGAATTCTTTATTGGCCAAGTGTGATTGGATGCACAATGAATTTGCCTTTGGTTCATACGCTCTCAGTATACATAAAAGAAAAGATATATTCGTCAAAAAACATAAGGTACAACACTTAATGATAGTCATAGGGTACAAATAAGCAATCAACTCATATTAGGAAACAATCAGATAGATGATAGATAGATAGATAGATAGATAGATAGATAGATAGATAGATAGAAAGAATTCTTTATTGGCCAAGTATGATTGGACGCACAATGAATTTGCCTTTGGTTCATACGCTCTTTTCTCATAAAAGAAAACACACATTCGTCAAGAATCATAAGGTGCAACACTTAATGATAGTCATAGGGTACAAATAAGCAATCAACTCATATTAGGAAACAGTCAATATAAATCTTAAGGATACCAGCCACAAGGTTACACAAGGAATTTGTCTTGGTGCATAGCTAGTATGTTATAAATTAAAAAATCTTGAAAAAAAAAGAGAAAAAAAACGATGCAAACTTTAATATGGCCTGGGCCACCGTAATCATTTCGAAGTTGACAGTCCCTGATTGAGTCTCCAGATTGCATGCTAATTTTGCCGTGTGATCCGCAGGGTAGCATAACCTATCGCTGTCTTCCCTTCCAGATCCAATCACCACCGTTTCATCCGGATGTGGAGGAGGCCATCTTAAACGTTTCAGAGACAAGGAATTCCCAACTGAGTCTTGACTCTCTGCCGAGTGAGAGATGGAAAGGGGGATGCTCCCCTAACTGGGGGCCGCCCCGTTCCCCCTGTATGATCATTGTGCCGTTGGGCGAGGCTGGAAACGGAAACTTGGAAACAGCCAAGGAGGATGCCCCCCAAAAGCCACCTCCTGCGCCTTCCTTCCCTGAGGCGAAGGAGAGAACGGGGGGCCGAGAGGAACTGACCCAAAGCCCAGCAGAAGAAGAGAGGAGGCAGGGGACATCGGCTCAGATGCCTCAGACCCCCAAGTCCATTCTGCTTACACCGGGGGGCAAGCATGGCAGGACAAGGAAGAAGGTGGTGCTGGAAAAAGTTGGCAGGTTTGAAACATAAACAGTGTCAGGTTTCAAATAAATTGCATTTCAAACAAAGTCTTTGATGAAAAACTCCCATTTATTAAGCACGACATTCTAAGTCTGACTCCATCGTAGCCAACACTGACTTCCTGACCCAAAACCCTCCCTTTCCTTTCCCGCTCCTCTGCACTCATTGGCCATCTTCCAAGTCATTCTACCTCTAATCTACTGCTCCAGCTCAAAGGAATTTCCCCTCTCCCATCCCATCTCCTAGGGGATATTATCTCCAGGGAAAATAAGTAGGTGAAAAGTCAAAGGTCCCTTTCCAGACGCCTCCGCCTCTCCTTCTTATGTCAGCACTAGAGTAAATGCAGCTTGAAGTGCTGACACTGAGTCTGCTTGGCGGGGCAGACGCGATCTCTGGCACCTGCAAAACAGCTGGAAAGCTGGCAGGGTGGCGATACGGATTTAAGACTGGGAGACTAGTGGTTTGAGCAACGAGGACTAGAATCTCATCGTACTTTTAAAAGGAGGCGACGCTCCGCCGTTTTCAATGCAACGTCGGGCATTTCATGGGCATGACTTGGTCATTGGCACTGTTATCTCTCTTTTTCCAGAAGAAGGAAGCCGGGCACGTGACCTTCGTCTCCGACACGGAGGAGCATTTGATCCAGGCGGATAGCATGTCAGCGCAGCCTTTCCTGGGCTACGACTGGATCGCAGGTGGGAAGAAGTCGTCGTTTCTGGGGCTGCTTCCCACAACGTCTCTGCACGCAGAGCCTCTGTGGTCAGATGCAGTCTATCTGCCCACCCGGGGGGGGATGGAGGAGCTTTTGCAAATCCCATTGAATGGAAGCCTCCCTTCTATTGGTGTAGCGCTCTCTCTCTCTCTCTCTCTTTTTTTTTTTAAAGTAAAAAAACCCAGCTGCATTTATATTCTTCGGCGTGCCCCAGAGGGCAGCTGTGGCTCTCTCTTCCAGAGTTGTTTTTTTAAAAAACTTATTTATTTATTTATTTTTATATGCCGCCCTTCTCTGGAGACTCAGGGCGGCTTACAGTGCGTTAAGCAATAGCCTTCATCCTTTTGTATATTTTATACAGTGTCAGCTTATTGCCCCCACAAACCGGGTCCTCATTTTACCCACCTTAGAAAGGATGGAAGGCTGAGTCGACCTTGAGCCTGGTGAGAATTGAACTCGCAGTAATTGCAGGCAGCTGGATGTTAAATGCTGCCTTAGTAGGAGGCATTAGCCTCCTACGCCACTCAGGCTCCTGCACATACGCGCATGACCCCCTGCGCTCCTCCCACCCCCGCTCATGTGCGTGTGAACCAGTGGTGGGTTTCCTCCCGTTTGGCCCGGTTTTCCCGAGCCGTAGCGGTGATGATATGACGTCACCGAACCAGTTCTGCCCCCCTCCCAGCCCCCCACATTATTCTTACCTTTTATTTGGCCCCACCCCCAATCTATTGCTGCCTCCTGAGTCCCAGCTGATGGCTAGAGGGAAAAAAACTGTTTTAAACTCTTGCCGTGGGGCTTCAAAGGGCCGCCCTACAGCTGATCAGTGTTAAAAGAAAACAAATGAGTAGACCGGTGCCTGCAAAAAATACATGAGTAGATCAGTGCCTGCAAAAATACATGAGTAGATCAGTGCCTGCAAAAATAAATGGGTAGACCAGTGCCTGCAAAAATACATGAGTAGATCAGTGCCTGCAAAAACAAATGAGTAGACCGGTGCCTGCAAAAATACATGAGTAGATCAGTGCCTGCAAAAATACATGAGTAGATCAGTGCCTGCAAAAATAAATGGGTAGACCAGTGCCTGCAAAAATACATGAGTAGATCAGTGCCTGCAAAAATAAATGGGTAGACCAGTGCCTGCAAAAATACATGAGTAGATCAGTGCCTGCAAAAATACATGAGTAGATCAGTGCCTGCAAAAATACGAGTAGATCAGTGCATGCAAAAATATGTGAGTAGATCAGTGCCTGCAAAAATACATGAGTAGATCAGTGCCGTGAGTAGACCAGTGCCTGCAAAAATACATGGTAGATCAGTGCCTGCAAAAATACATGAGTAGATCAGTGCCTGCAAAAATAAATGGGTAGATCGGTACAGCTCTGCAAGCAGTTAAAAGCCTGGTAGACCAGTACCTCTGCTAAATCCTAAATAATTGTCACGTGACCATCAAGCCACGCCACAAAATAAGCCGTGCCCACAGAACTGGTAGTAAAAAATTTTAGAACCCACCTCTGGTGTGAACCGCCTGCTCCTCCCGACCCCGCCCCGTGCTCCCCCCCGCACAAGTGCACGCGCCTCCCCCTCCCCCCCGTGTCCCATTTTGGGCCTAGCAGGCCACCCTGCAGCCTCCTGGGACCAAAAACGGGCATGCAAATGTGATCCCCACCCCCCACCCCCGCGCATGCATGGGAGAGTCCCAAAAATCAGCTGGCCGGCGGGAGGCACGCACACATGCGTGGTGGAGCTGGACTGGGTTTGCGTGCCCGCAGACCCGCGTGCCATAGCTTCGCCATCACGGACGTAGATCCTCCCTGCACAGAAATAGGTTACCTGTGTATTCTGAGGGCTTGAAAACAAACTTCCGATCCTGCCGTTTTGCTCGTGCGGTGGGTTTCCCCTGCTCTCTTGGGACTGGAGCTTTCCTTCCTTCTGTTAGGGCTACTGGAGACGGATACCTCCCTGTCTGAAAAACCCGAGGAATATTTTGCTGAGCTCCAGAAGTTTCGTCAGGTGAACAAAGAGGCTTGCATCCGCGACCACGGCTTCGAGTACGACTCGGCTGGGGGGGCGGGGGGGGGGGGTTGGAAAAAGGGGGTGGCCGTGGGAGCGTGCCTTGAGATCTCCTCAAACCCGAAAAGTGCCATTTTTGAAGCAGAGATTCACACAACATGTTTCAATCGGATAGTTCAAACCAGGGGTGAAATGCTACCGGTTCGGACCGGTTCACCCGAACCGGTAGTAAAAAAATGCTTTCAAAAAGTTTTTTTTTAAAAAAACCGATCGCTGATTTTCACAGCTGATCGTCGGAATGTTTTTTTTAACTTTTTAGTTAAAAAATGCTTTAAAAAAAAGTGGGGGGGTAAAAGTTGGCCGTGCCCACCCAATCACATGACCAAGCTACGCCCACCCTACAGAACCGGTAGGGGAAAATTTTTTGAATTTCACCGCTGGTTAAAACCCGCCAGCCGCTCATTTCGCATGAGAAATTAAGCTTTGCAAGGGGTAAAACTCCGGGTTGTTATTTTAAAGCTGACTTTGCTGTGGGATCCCACAAAATGACCTTTTTGTTTCATCACGGTTCTGGCAGGGCTAACTCGGCCTCCAAACCAAAAAGCAGGAAAAGATGTTAGAGATCCTCTAGCCCAACCTGCTGGCAATACGCAACGTTTCCCTGCATCAGTTAATTGAATGACTCTGCCCAATTCCCTTCTCAGGCTGTAAATTCGGGATTTTTGCCTTCTTTTAAACAGGTTGGAAGATGTAAATTCTTCGGCCCTGGATCAGGAGATGGAAACAGAGGCGGATTCCCACCAATGTATGTTCCGAAGTTTCTGTAGCCAGCGCATTTTGATGTGTGTGTGTGGAAATTCAGCAGGAATTTTGTGAGAGGGAATAACAGCCCTGGCAGGATTTAAACCAGGGTGTGTGTGTATGTGGAGGGTTCGTGTCTTCAAATTTGGCAACTTTAAGACTTTTTGTTTGACGTGGAAAGATTTTGTGCTTGAGGTGGAAAAAAACGAAACGTTGATTTGGGGTTTTACTGATTAGATTGAGTTGCTGTTATAGAAATGGCTAGTTTATACTATTTTGGAAAAGTAAAAAGTAGAGATGTGATTTTAATGTTTTATTACTGCAACAGAGAGAGTTGGACGTCAACGCTTTTTACTTTTTCTCTTCTTCCTCCCTTCCTCCCTTTTCTTCCTCCCCCCTTGTGTCCCATTAACATGTTTCCCCGAAAATAAAACCCTGTCTTATATTTTTTGAACCCCGAAATAAGCGCTTGGCTCTTATTATTTTGGGGTGCATGGAGCAATACGGGGCTCCTCTTGCCATCTTACCTGATTTCAACTAAGAGCCTTGGTGGCGCAGCAGACTAAAGAGCTGTTAAATAACACCAGCTGCCTGCAATTACTGCAAGTTCAAATCTCACCAGGCTCAAGGTTGACTCAGTCTTCCATCCTTTCGAGGTAGGTAAAATGAGGACCCGGTTTGTGGGGGCAATAAGCTGACTTTGTATAAATATACAAAAGTATGAAGGCTATTGCTTAACGCATTGTAAGCCGCCCTGAGTCTCCGGAAAAGGGCGGCCTATAAATCCAATCAATCAATCAATTAATTAATTAATTTCCAGATCTGTATTTTCAGGGAGGGCTCATTTTGGGGGATGGGGGGGCTTATTTTAGCGCATGCACTCAAAAGCCTGATTGGGCTTATTATCAGGGGATGTATTATTTTCGAGGAAACAGGGTATTTGCTTTCATATTTTTGTATTTTATTCTATAATCTAATAAAAAAACATTTTTTTTAAAAAAAAAAGAGACTTGTGGACTTCAACTCCCAGAATTCCTCAGTCAGCGAATTCTATGGCTGGCTGAGGAATTCTGGGAGTTGAAGTCCACAAGTCTTATTGGGTTGCCAAGTTGGGAGCCCCCCCCCTGGTTTAGAGGCATGGTGAAGGGCCCCCCCATCCCATGAAGAGTTTCAAGCCATTCATTTCTGAGCGTCACTTTGCCTCATGAGGGCTAGAAACCTGGCACCGGTTTCTGTGGAAAGAGCCCTGTCGTAATTTTTCCTGGTAACGCCTTGCAGGTGTCTTCTGCTATCGGTTGAATAAACGCCTTTTTACCGTGCCAACGGATCCAGAATCGGCCTGCCCCGTTTGCAAAACCCCTCGAGCTGAAAAACCTCCTGAGACCCTGGTGGAACCAGCTTTCGTTAGGTGAGTTTTTGCTCCGTTCATCACTCTTTGGAGGCAGATCAGTTTCACTCCTGATTTTTTATTATTATTATTATTATTATTATTATTATTATTATTATTATTATTATTATTAGAATTTCTATACCGCCCTTCTCCTTTCGGACTCAGGGCGGTGAACAGCCAAAATAAAAGCATTTATACATAAAGTACGATTAAAAATAGATTTAAAATAATTAAATTTGGCCCATCGTTTAAAATTTATCAATTTAAAATCCATATCAAAATTTAAAACCAACCATAAAATCATAAAATCAAGAGAGACCGGCTAACTGAAAAAAATAAGTTTTTAGGGCCCGATGAAAAGTCCGGAGGTCGGAGATCACTCGTATCTCTGGGGGTAGATTGTTCCAGAGGGTAGGTGCCACCACAGAGAAGGCTCTCCTCCTGGGGGTCGCCAGCCGGCATTGTCTAACCGACGGCACCCTGAGGAGGCCCTCTCTGTGGGAGCGAACTGGCCGGTGGGAGGCTATTGGTGGCAGAAGGCGGTCCCGTAAGTACCGCCTTTTAGGGCGTGTTCCCCAATAACCACAGTCAGAACTTTTTCAACGCCGAGCGATGCAGCTGTGAAGTGAGACACAGTTGGTGTCACTGCCGCGGTGGCACAGTGGTTAGAGTGCGGTACTGCAGGCTACTTCAGCTGACTGCTGGCTGCCAGCAATTTGGCAGTTCGAATCTCACCAGGCTCAAGGTTGACTCAGCCTTCCGTCCTTCCCAGGTGGATAAAATGAGGACCCAGATTGTTTGGGGGCAAGAGGCTGACTCTGTAAACCGCTTAGGGAGGGTCTGTAAAGCGGTATATAAGTCTAAGTGCTATTTCTATATAAGAGCATTGGTAGTTCAGCGGTTAGAAGGCAGTATTTCAGGCTGACTGCCACTGCCAGCAGTTCGATCCTGACCGGCTCAAAGTGGACTCAGCCTTCCATCCTTCCAAGGTCAGTAAAATGTGGACCCAGATTATTTGGGGGCAAGAGGCTGACTCTTTAAACTGCTTAGAGAGGGCTGTAAAAACACTGTGAAGCGGTATATAAGCCTAAGTGTTATTGCTATTTTCCTTCCTTCCCTCCTTCCTTCCCTCCCTCCCTCCCTCCCAATGGTTAGAATGGGTGGTTTTAACCAGTTTCTTAATAAACGGGGGTTTTTTAGATACCTTACGTGCTCCTTTTAGATGTTCTGATGTCGCAGGGGTCTATTTTGCAGAGTCAGCTTCCCGAGATCTACCTTCCTCCCCACGTATAAACACAAAATCCACCGACGGAAAAGCTACGAAATGGAGGACAATTTGGCCCTGCCCTCGGTGAGTGTCATGTGAAGGAACAGAAAGGGAAAGACCGAATTGTGCTTGGGGAGAGAGAAATTGAAACGGATTCTACAGTAGCATCTCTTGGACTGCTAGAATTCAGGAATGGCATTAAAGGATGGATGGATGGATGGATGATGGATGGATGGATGGATGGGTGGGTCGGTGGATGGATGGATGGATAGAGATAGATAGATAGATAGATAGATAGATAGATAGATAGATAGATAGAATAGATAGATGATAGATAGATAGATAAATAGATAGATAGATAGATAGATAGATAGATAGATAGATAGATGATAGATGATAGATAGATGATAGATAGATAAATAGATAGATAGATAGATAGATAGATAGATAGATAGATAGATAGATGATAGATGATAGATAGATGATAGATAGATGATAGACGATAGAGAGATGGATGGATGGATGGATGGATGGATGGATGATAGATGATAGATGATAGAGAGATGGATGGATAGATGGATAGATGGATAGATAGATGGATGGATGAATGGATAGAGATAGATAGATGATAGATGGATGGATGGATGGATGGATGGATGGATGGATGGATGGATGGGTGCATTTTATAATCCGAAAAATACGGTATCTGTTTATCCATCCATCCATCCATCTCTCTATCATCTATCCATCCCTCTATCTATCTATCTATCTATCTATCCATCCATCCATCTCTCTATCATCTATCCATCCATTCATCCAGATTTTCACCCTCTTTTTGGGGGGAAAAAGGTGTGTTTTAGAATCCGAAAAATACGGTATCTGTTTATCCATTTATTCATCCATCCATCTCTCTATCATCTATCCATCCCTCTTTTTCCCCCCAAAAAAGAGGGTGAAAATCTGGGTGCGTCTTATACTCGGAATGTAACCCCGCCCAGCTTCTCAAATGGAGGTTTCAGAAGCTGAAAAAAGCATCAGAAACGAAGCTTCAGAAAAGAATTCAGATTAGATAGATAGATAAATGATATAGATAGATAGATAGATGATATAAATAGATAGATGATAGATAGATAGATAGATAGATAGATAGATAGATGATAGATAGATAGATAGATAGATAGATAGATAGATAGATAGATAGATAGATAGATAGATAGATAGATGATGGATAGACACACAGACATAAAAACAGTGTTTACACAGTGGAAGGCAGATGGCTTTGTATTTCCAAAAGAAAAGATGAGACAGAAAAAAACCCAGTATCTAAATTCTCGGTGTGTATAAGACGCTGCTTCCGTTTCAAAAGTAAATTAATTGGAGGGGGGGGAGAAATACCTTTGACTTAAGTAAATACTAAGGCCACTTCGTACTTTGGATTCGGTTTCAAAAGCTCTAAGACTGCTATATGCAATCCTGGAAAAAGGACTCAGTAACTTTGAAAGTTTCAAAGCACTGGGTTGTTGTTTTTTTTCCCCCTTCAGTGGAATTTGAATCCTTATAAATTTACAGGGCTTGTAAATGGCTAGTACGTGGCTTAAAAAAATGGGGAACTCTGCCGTAAAGTTAGTAATGAGGGACATCAGGCTGGGTGGCTTTTTTTAAAAAGGGGGGGGATAAAATAAGAGAGAGAAAACTAACAGTGGCTATAGGTCTCTTGGGGCCTGAGCATCGGAACGGGGCCTACAAAACTCAGCCTGAACTCTGAGCCTGTGTGACTATTTTGAGACAACCCAGGAGCAAAATACAGTAAACAAGAGGTTTGTCTTTCAAATAGTGGTTTATCTACAAGGAACATATACATACACATACTAGGCAAAGTCAGGCAATCAATCGTCAACTACAGCACGGAAGCACATACGGAGAGAGCAATGCCCTCAAAGGGCCTTTCTTATATATACAGCCGCTTAAAGTCGTATCAGCCCCAAAACCTTGCTGACTCATTCCCTGCCTTATATCATCGTAGCAACTGGTCAGCTCTTAAAAGTATTTCCCGGACACTTTCTGTCTTTGTTCCCACAGCACTGCCTTGCTGGTTGGGAGAACCCCGTCCGAGTTTCCACCCCCGTCGTCAGCAGCCTGGATCTACATTCATCCCTGGATTCTCGGTATCCACGTCAGGTAGAACTGACTGTCGGGAACATACACATTTCGGTTCTCAAACACTTTTTTTTTTTTTAAATTTGATTTATATGCCGCCCTTCTCCGGAGACTCAGGGCGGCTTACAGTGCGTTAAGCAATAGCCTTCATACTTTTGTATATTTATACAAAGTCAGTTTATTGCCCCCACAACTGGGTCCTCATTTTACCTACCTTAGAAAGGATGGAAGGCTGAGTCAACCTTGAGCCTGGTGAGATTCGAACTTGCAGTAATTGCAGGCAGCTGATGTTAATAACAGTGCTTTAGTCTGCTGCACCACCAGGGCTCTCTACGTAATCCTCGATTTACAACCCACAGCTGAGCCCAAATGTTCTGTGGCTATGCGAGACCATTGTTAAGTGAGATTTGTCCCATTTGCCACAATTTCATCAAGTAAATCTCTGCGGTTGTTAAGGTAGTAACGCGGTTGTGAAGTGAATCTGGCTTCCCCATTAATTTTGCTGGCCAGGAGGTCACAAAAGGAGGGAAATCATATGATCCCAGGATGCTAAAACAGTCATGAGCCAAGCGTCTGACTTTTAATCATGTGATCCTGGGGATGCAGCAACGGTCATAAGTGTGCGAAACAGTCATAAGTCAGTCATAAGTAATAAAATGTAAATTTAAATAATAAATAAGTTGCTTTTTTCAGTGCCGTTGTCACTTCAGATGGCCAATAAGGGTACAGTTGTAAGCTGAGGACAACCTCTATTAGCCAAACTGCTATTATGGTTGTATTGCGGATCTGTGTGTGGCAGGAAAAAGTAGGGATTATGGCATTAAAACAAAGCTTAAATCCTTGGCACCTTGCCCCTGCGAGACTAGCACAAATGTACCCTAATTTGGACCAGAATTGTTGGAAATGTAAACAGACCCGAGGAACTTTCTATCACATATGGTGGTTATGTCCCAAAATCAAAGTATACTGGGGGGAAATCAGAACTTGGATATTACAAATAACAGGAGAAGAAATAGAATTAGACCCAGAGATTTTTTTATTAGGAATATATAAACAAAATATCAGAAAAGAAATGACATATTTGATACATCATATAATTACGGCGGCCAGAATAGCAATTGCACAAGTTTGGAAGACCGATCATTTGCTAACCGACTAGCAGATAATACAAAAAATATATGCAGGTGCGGAATCAGATCAACTAACACTGAAATTAAAGGATAAGGAAAGCTCAAAAGTATTTTAAGGTATGGGACAAGTGGTACGATTGGATTAAGCCAAAAGAAAGTGGATAAGGATATACGTAGTAAAGCATAAAGACAATTTTGATGAGTATTAAATTTCACTTTTCTCTAATAGTGAATTCTAAACTAAGAACTGATAATTGAGAGTGTATTTCCATGCTTATTTCATATAAATACCAACAATGACTTCACCGTCAGGAGAATGAATATGGGACTAGGTTATGAAATATATAATGTGTAGAGGAGAAGAATATATATAGATAGGTAAAGGAATAGAAATGAAATGTCAGATATATGATATGATCTATGTATATGAATATCTTATTATGGTTTTAATCGTTTTTATAATTGTTTGATAATTTAATAAAGTTTGTTTTAAAATCAAAAAAAAAAAAAAAAAGCTTAAATCCAGCCTTTCTCTGGGCCTGTTTTGTGGCCTGTTAAATGAACTGAACTCGTTTTTGTAATTAAGGCATTTCACAGCTAGCGAGAACTGCAGTTAGATTAGGTTAGATTAACAGAGTTGGAAGGGACCTTGTAGGTCATCTAGTCCAACCCCCCGTGCAAGCAGGAGACCCTACACCAGTCATGGCTAATCTTTTTGCTGTCGCGTGCCAAAAGCGGGGATCATGCGGGGAGGTCGCGCACACGGGTGCCCATACCCATAATTCAATGCGCCCTATTCCCCGCGCATGCATGCGTGACCCCTCCCCCCGCATTTATGGCAGAGTGGGCCCAGTAGGCCCGTTTTTCGCCTTCCCCAGGCTCCAGAGGCGTTCTTGGAGCCTGGGGAGGGCAAAAACAGCCTTCCCTTCCCCCAGGAGGCCCTCTGGAGGCCGGAAACAGCCCATTTCCCGACTTCAGGTGGGCCCGGAAGGCCCAAAAATTAGCTGGCTGAGTAAGTCAATGCTCACGTGCCCACAGATATGGCTCCACGTGCCATCCCTACACCATTTCTGACCGATGGCAGTCCAGTCTCTTCTTGAAAGCCTCCAGGGATGAAGCTCCCACAACTTCCGAAGGCAACGTCTGTTCCATGGGTTGATCGTTCTCCCCGTCAGAAAATTTCTCCTTATTTCCAGGTTGAAGTTGGTTGGCAGGGTATTTTCAAACCAAATTATACCATCGTGCCTTTTAATCTGGGATCTCTCTAAATCTTGCTTTTCAGAATGCCGGCTCTAGGGTGGCAGGTGGGACGAGGACGGACCAACTGCTTGACCGCTCTCGGGTGGTGGAATTCGAACTCGGCAGCGCCCCTTGGAAGCAGATGCACCGAAAGCCGCCACGCCACAAAGCCATTTCCCATTAAAACCACATCCAATATGTACTGGTGGTACTGCCTCTTTTTGCTGGGAAGAGGGAACATCAGAGCCATAGGATGTTTTGTGTGAGCGTACCCCAGTCACTGGTAGGTTTTGTAAATTGTTTAAAGAAAAGCAGGGTGAGTCGTTTATTTGTATTTTTTTTTTTTTATCTACCTAAAAGATGGATTTTTAAAATTGTCTTTTAGACCATATGGCTTATGAAAACACCCAGCCACAAACACCTTTTTTGAGGGGTGGAAAACAACGATTTAAAAAAAAGACCACACGCCTGTTAAATGGAGGGGAAGGTTGACATGTGCTGTATGCCTTTTTTTTTTTTTTTTAGAAAATTAAAATATTTTTTAAAAATATTTTTTAAAAAAAAGAATAAATATTATTTTGAAAACTGTATCTTGAGAAGCGGCAAGCATCTTCCATGTTCTGACCTAGGCTCCCGTAAAAAAGCAGGAAGCAGAGTTTTGGTCCCGACAAAACCTCTTTTATTTACACGGCTGTGACTTAACTTTCATTCACAGTCAGCAAGGCCTGTCTGAACAGTTTTTCAAAGGAATATTTATCAACACAGACCTTATCTCGCTTGGCAAGCTGCCACGTAACTTGTTTCCAAGCGCAGTACAAGGCCAAACTTGGCACAGAGTCTCTCAGAGTCACGGAACGAATGAATTGTTTCCTGCAAAAGCCCCCTCCCTGTTCGCTACTCTTTTGCTTCCTATGGGAGGGGTCAATCATCTCCAAGGTGTGGCTTTACTCCCAAGTCGACCCTGCTTTCTGAGTTGTTCTTGTCTTCTGGCAGCTCTGCATATGCACACACTGGGAACGGGCTCCAGCTGTTCCTCTGCCTCACTGCTATCTGCCTCTGACGCAGAGCCCTCGTCCGAGCTTTCCCCAGCCCCCAGGACTGGCCCAAGTTCCTCCCCAACCTCCTCACTGTCCGACTCTGCTGCCAACTCTACTGGCCGCTAGCGGGCCACAACAGGCACTGAGAACCGGATCATAAAGTGTATTAAAAAATCAGGGAGAAAACTAGTACAGATATTTAGTATTTAACCTCGGAGATAACCGATTGGTGGAGTCGGCGCCCACCCCTGAAGCCCTCAAAATGCAGATAAAACAGGTTTTGACATCCAGCCAAGGGCAGAATGTTCCAAAGATATTCCGGCTGTTTGCCGTTGTTGGATTGGCTCCTTCCTTGTTGCCACGGTGATGCGTAACGCAGCATCCGTTCCTCTGAGGTCCAGAATCGGACGTCTTCGTGAGATCAAAATGAAGATGCTGATTTTGTTCGGTTCATTGCTATGCCGTCTCCGATACGTCAGCGGCGCTAGCCTCCCACTGGCTGTTGGTAAAGGATTACAGTAATTATAGCTTCCGTTCTAATTTATTTATTTCTGCCTTTTGGAAGTCCAGTGTTTTGCAACCCATTTTCCAGAAGAGAGAGAATGTGGTGGTACTTTTGGCCATTGGCAGCCCATTTGCAGGCGAGGTTTTCTTTCTGTTAGTTCCCAGACGCTGTAATGCTGATTTCCCACGTGAATAATAGAGTTGAAAGGGACTTTGGAGATCTTCCAGTCCAACCCCCGCTTAGGCAGGAACCCCTATACCACTTTATAATGCCTTGGTAAGGCCACAACTGAAATACTGCATCCAGTTTTGGACGCCACGATGTAAAAAGGATGTGGAGACTCTAGAAAGAGTGCAGAGAAGAGCAACAAAGACGATTAGGGGACTGGAGGCTAAAAACATAGGAAGAACGGTTGCAGGAACTGGGTATGTCTAGTTTGATGAAAGAAGGATTAGGGGAGACATGATAGCAGTCTTCCAATATCTCAGGGGCTTCCACAAAGAAGAGGGAGTCAAGCTATTCTCCAAAGCACCTGAGGGCAGGACAAGAAGCAACGGGTGGAAACTCATCAAGGAGAGAAGCAACCTAGATCTAAGGAAAAATTTCCTGACAGTGAGAACAATTCATCCGTGGAACAACTTGCCACCAAAAGTTGTGAATGCTCCAACACTGGAAGTTTTTAAGAAGAGATTGGATGACCATTTGTCTGAAGTGGTGGAGGGTTTCCTGCCTAAGCAGGGGGTTGGACTAGAAGACCTCCAAGGTCCCTTCCAACTCTGTTATTCTATTCTATTCTATTCTATTCTATTCTATTCTATTCTATTCTAAAGAAAGAGGAAAGAGGAAAAAAAAACCTATTCAGTTCATCTTTAGCACCTACCTGTATGCAGGTAGAGTGCCCCTGAAATGAAGGGAACAGCAGATCTCCCCACTTTTTCAAGACCACATTCAGTGGAACCTCCTTATTTCCTTGACGGGCTGCATTTGCAAGTACTTAATTAATTCTCCTTGAATTAATTCATGTTTGATGGACGATCCAAGATTCATAAACTTGAAACAGCTTGTAATGAAAACAAGCAGCGCGCTCATCAAGCCAGAAAATTAAATTTAGCCTCTGCTTAATGTGCGCCTGAGGCTCATTCCTTGAATGTCTGATGTTCTCAAAATGCCTTTACTTTAAATAAATAATTGCATTTACTTGAGAGGCACATCCTGTTTATCGTTAAAACGCTACTTAAGGCAGCCCTTCCCCTCCCTTTTTTCATATACGGTATAAGCTTCCCCTCATTTTACTCTCGCAACAGAGTAAACTCTAACCTTTGAGGTAGATCTTTCTGGCTCTTCGGCGTGGCCCCTGGATCTGCCATCTTGTTTTTGAACAAGTTCCCCCGTTTCTCAGTAACCGGCGGTTGGTAGACTCCCAGTCCTCCGCAACATTTTCTCTCGCTGCTTTGCAGGCGACGCCAACATCCACTGGAACAACTGGCAGCCCTGGGTGTGTATGTGCGAGCTTCACAAGCAGGCCCGCATACGGCACTTTGTAGTCTGGGGTGCCAACGTCTCCCTCGACCTGAAGACCTCGGAGTTTTGGCAGGAGAAACCTTGCTCCTTCGAGGACTGCCGCGTTTGCGCGTCGGAAGACTGTCCAGACATGGTGGCTCGATCCGGCTTCCTCACTCAGTTTCAGAGCCTCTCTTCCCCCAGGCCCCATGAAGTCAAGATCCCTCTTCCGCCCCATCTGGATTTCCCATCCTATGACAGCCTCCCCGTCATGGACGACAAAGACGGGGAGTAGGATGTCTTCGGAGGCCGCGAAGCAAGACTTGACTTCCATCGCCCAGTATTCCGTTTCCCACTGCTTGCTTTCCTCCATGGGGGCTGGACTGCAACACCCATGATCCTTTGCCAATTGCTTGCAGGGCAGGCAAGGCCGTGACAGACACAGACACCCCCAACACACACCAAAAAATGAGAACGTGTTTATTCTGTAAACTGGGTAGCAATAAAGTTTCTTGCAGTTGAAACACTCCTGGTTATGGTTAATTCCTAACCTTTCCTTTTTGCCTTTATCCTCGGCTTCTGGGTCAGCCTTAAAATACCCAGGATAAAAACTAGGCCCGTGATGGCGAACCTCTGGCACGCGTGCCATAGGTGGCATTCAGAGCCATATCGGTGAACACGCGAGTATTGCCCTAGCTCATTTCCGGCATGCCAGCCAGCTGATTTTTGGGCCTTCTGGGCCCACTGGAAGTTGGGAAACAGGCTGTTTCCAGCCTCCGGAGGGCCTCTGGGGGATGGGGAAGGCCGTTTTCGCCCTCCCCAGGCTCCTAGAAAGGCTCTGGAGCCTGGGGAGGCAAAAAAACAGGCCCGCCAGGCCATCGTGTGCCAAAAGCGGGGGGGGTTGTGCGCAGGAGAGCAGGGCATATTGAATTATGGGGGTGGGCACACACGTGGGTGACCCCTCCCCGACTCCCCCCACTTTTGGCACGCGATGGCAAAAAGATTAGCCATCACTGACCTAGGAAACCATTTTCTTTCTTTGGGTTTACTCAAACACGTCCTCCAAGGAATAAACTTTGGAACAACCCCGGCTGATGAATTCACATCTGCTCCTAAAAAGGCTCGTTGTTTTGAGCAAAAGTGCAGCATTTAACCTCCATCTCCTTGGCTCAAACCTGAAGCGGCTGTTTTGAGAGTTTTTGTTTGCCAATTGCAAAGAAATGTTTGCTTTTCCCCGTGGAATTGCCTAGCGCTGTTACATTATCGGGCACGGTAAAAAAAAAAAGATCCTGCGGTCATTGAAGTTACTGATTAAATTTAATCTCCATTTGGTTTTAACGAAAACAAACACATCCACTCACCCCACGTGAGCAAGAGTTTTCGGTTGGCTTTTTTATTTTCTTTTGCTTAAGGGGTGGGACTTTCTGGGAGAGTTTAAACAAAGCAATTACTCTGTTGCTAGGACAAAGCACTTTTATAAAAGCAGCTGTCAAATCCACAGATGTGCAGTTCGAGGCAGGCTGCTCGTCCGGATTGCTGAGACAGCGCCGCGTTTCTCCCTCTGCCGAATTCTGCAAAAAAATAAATAAAACAAATTCCCCATGGATGATTTGCAACTTGTGAAGGAAGCCGGCAAAGCGATGGACCGATTGGAGATTTCTGAAGAGACGTCCGGAACGGATGATAGTCCAAGAATCAAGAGCTGCTCTGTTCAAGAGGAAAGGCCCTGCAATAAATTTGTGGATCTAGAACTCAGAAATCCAGAAAAGGAGACCTCGGCATCTTTGCATCCCGTGGCTGTGACGGTGTCAGCCCCGGTGCCTCTCCAGCAGTGCCCGTTCAGAGTCTCTGCCAGTGACATGACCTGCCTCATCTGTTTCCACCAATTCAGCCTCGCCCGGCTGCCGAAAGTCCTGGCGTGCCAGCATGCCTTCTGCGCCCCGTGCCTGAAGATGATCTTGCGGCAAGAAGATCGCACCTGGATCGTCAGCTGTCCCCTCTGCCGAAAAGCCACGGTGGTATTCGGGGGTCTCATCTGCAGCCTCCGCAACTTACAGCATGTCACGGAGCTGTTGGGCCCCGCAGATCCAGATGCAGAGATGGCTGGCATTCCGGGCGCTGTCGGGGTGCGGCACAGCCAGGAGCCTCCTTGTCCCGAAATGCAATCTCAGGACTCGGACGAGATCAACCAGGCTGCCATCAAGAGATTGATTCTGCTGCTTCTGCTCGTTTCTCTACTGATTGTCTTCATCCTCCCATTCACCAACACCGGACTGCTGACATGGTGCCTTTGCTTCGTGGTGGTTTTAGGCGGCATAATCTGCGCTGTGCTTTGCTGGGACCCCAGTTGGAGCCGCCCAAGTTTTTCACTGCCCCTCTGGACAAAGAAGGTCAATCAAGTGGCCTGAGAAATGACCCTTCTAGGAAGGGTCACGAGCCTCTCGGTGCTCGAGACCAAAGACCAAAGGGGCGGTTGAACGAGTGTCGAGGCTGGGTGGGTTCAGATGTGGCATACGCTCCTGGAAATCTTGGCAGATAATCCATAGCTGTTTTGTTGCATCTGGCTTCACGTCACTTTGGTCCGAAAATCGCAAACACAATCCTGATGCTTCCTTAAATAATAAGGGGTTTTTTTTATTTTGGAGGGTATCTGAATAAATTTATTTGTCTGAATGAATACATCCGGTTTTATTCCACCACAACAAACCAAAGGTGGCTTCCGGCTTTTTTTTTAAAAAAAGAAGAGAGTCAAAGATTAATGAGTAACATCTAGATGGAAACTCAACCATGAGATGCAGTCTACCTCCAAAGAACTAGCTTAATACCTGGGACAACTGGTAGCCTCATGTCTTCCTTAAAGGTGGTCCTTTTTAAGGAGATAAAAATGTGAGTTTAGTTTATTGAGGGGTTTAATGGTAATCTTGGTTTTAATTTTAGCCATTTTTGAGGTTTCCTTCAAAGGCTGCACAACCATAAGCTTTTAAAACAGAAAGCTTCCCTTTAATTTCATTGTTAAAACACATAATTATGCTGCTTTAAAATATTTTTTTAAAAAAATCAGTACACAAACATTGTTGGTAAACTGGGAATTTAAATCTATTTATGTCAGGGACTTAAATTTCTTCTGGAAACATTTGAAGGGAGATAGAGATGGATTTCTTATATATATATAGTTTGTAGGGAATTGTTTTGTGAAATCAAGATTCACGTTAGTAAGTGGGAACAAGCATAACGAAGCAGCATATTGAAGCACATTGTTGAAACGTTTTATGTTTATGCTGTGAAGATTCATATAAAGAGAATTTTGCCTTGATGGCTTTTTCGCTTTATTCCGCCTGCGCTAGCTAAAGGCTAGAAAATTCGCATTCGCATGACATTAAAGCTGCATTTACAGCTTAAGCGAGGTTCCAGTTGGTGAAATTTTCCCACGCAAAGGAAAAAACTTTCCTTTGCAATACATTGCAATTATTTTTTTTTTATAAAGAAAGACGCAAGTCCGCAAAAGATCGACAACTTGGGTCTTTAGAATAGAATTTTTTTTATTATTGGCCAAGTGTGATTGGACACACAAGGAATTTGTCTTGGTGCATAAGCTCTCAGTGTACATAAAAGAAAAGATACCTTCATCAAGAATCATAAGGTACCACACTTAATGGTAGTCATAGGGTACAAATAAACAATCAGGAAACAATATCAATATAAATCGTAAGGATACAAGCAACAAAGTTACAGACATACAGTCATAAGTGGAAGGAGATGGATGATGGGAACGATGAGAGGATTAATAGTAGTGCAGACTTAGTAAATAGCTTAGTTTAGTTTCCTTTATTGTCATTGCACATGGTACAACAAAATTAAATGTGGTCTTCAGTGTACATTATAATTATAAAAATAAAAACACATACATACATCCTTTACATTCTATATAATTGAAATTGAAAACCCGATATTGCACTATACTGTAAATTCAATATTTTTATTTATTCGTTGAGTATGTATTAAATATATATAAGCATAAAATGAATACAATTAAAGGGAACATTAGGACAGGGACGGTAGGCACGCTGGTGCACTTATGCACGCCCCTTACAGACTTCTTAGGAATGGGGTGAGGTCAACCGTAGACAGTCTTTAGGTTAAAGTTTTGGGGGTTTTGGGATGAGACCACAGAGTCTGGTAGTGCATTCCAGGCATTAACAACTCTGTTGCTGAAATCATCTTTTCTGCAATCAAGTTTGGAGCGGTTCACTTTAAGTTTGCATCTATTATTATTATTATTATTATTATTATTATTATTATTATTATCATCATCATCATCTTTATTCATTAAATATGGAACTCAGTCAACTGAACATTAAAAAATGCATCACAAAGACCATTGACTGGTGCTAATGGTTGATATGGGTTGCCGCCAGTTTCCTAGGTATCAACCAAGTACCTTCTTAAGATGTATTATTATTATTATCTTTATTCATTAAATATGAAACTCTGTCAACTGAACATTCAAAAATACATCACAAAGACCATTGACTGGTGCTAATGGCTGATACAGGTTACTGCCAGCGTCCTAGGTATCAACCAAGTACCTTCTTAAGATGTACCCGGTTCCGAGTAGCACAGTTCCGCTGGTGTGATTGCAGGAAGCTGCAATTTGCTGATGTATCTTATAAAATTCTTGGACATGATACCAAGTGCCCCGATGACAATGGGTATCACTGTTAAATGTTTCATCTATAATCACGTAGTTTCGATGGTTAGGTCGTGATATTTCATGATTTTTTTCCCCCCGTTCTTTTTCTTCGACTCTGGCATCTCCTGATACCGCGATGTCAATAAATTGTAATTTTTGGTTTTTGACAACTGTGATATCATCATCATCATCATCATCATCATCATCATTATTATTATTATTGGTTAATCTTTAGTGAGATTCACAGCCTTTGAGGCTGGTTAATAGCTCAGCAGCTCGAGTCCTAAACAAGGACCTAGGAACTGTTAAGGTATCGTCGGAGGATGTAAGCTGTTCCGAGTTTTTTGTAGAGTCAAAATGTTCAAGTCCGGCAAACTTAGAATTTCTAAATAGCGGGGCAGCCCTTTGAGTATTGCTCCAAGGGCTCCAATTACAATCGGGACAACACACGATTTCTTTTTCCACAGTCGCTCAACTTCAATTTGCAAGTCCCGGTACTTTGTGATTTTTTCTTGCTGCTTATCTTCAATCCGTGCATCACCAGGTATTGCAATGTCAATGAACCATACATCATCATCATCATCATCATCATCATTATTATTATTATTATTATTATTATTATTATTATTACCATAATAATATGGTTATTGCCCTGGGATACAAGCCTATTTTTCCAGCCTATTTGTCCTTGTTCAAAAGTTAAGGAAAGTTTTTTTTTAATGTAGTTTTTTATGTAGTTTTTGATGGCTTAGTCCTTGTTCTTATTATCCAGCAATCGCATCCTGATTGCTAAGTCAGCTATTCATTTCCTTGACATGAAAAATTTCATTTGCCAAAACAGCAAATCCGTTGGGGTTTTTTTTTTTCTCCCCCAAATCATATGCTTAAGCCAAAAACTTAAAAATCTGCAGAGCTTTGCTTGCAAAGGAGAGCATCCCAAAATGCATCGGAAGCAGCTCTCCACCGAGGCCTTACATCCATTGCAATTCATACCCATTGCAATTCGGATTTTAAGGCCCTCCCATTTTAAAAGCCGCTGATTAAATGCAAACAACGCCACTTCCCTCTTCCTGTTTTAAAAGCCGCTTGCGAAAGTTGCGTGGCCCTCCCCCTTCCAGGCGCGTCTTACGCAGTCACCTGTGCGTAACTCCTTCCGGGAATCGCTCTTTGGCGTAGGGTGGGCCTAGGCGGCCTTTGGAAGCCTCGGACTCGAGTGAGCGGCCAAGCCCGCTTGAGGCCACCGGAAGGCTGGGGAAGCTCCGCCGCCCGATGCGACCTTTCTCCAAGGCTCCAGGACGGGCTAAGTGGGTCTCGGGAGTGGGGTGGGGCGTGGTTTTATTTTAAAATAAAAGAAATATAAGGGGAGGGGGCTTTGGGGCCCTCGAAGTGGGGGAGGGGTTTCCTTCCCTGGTTATAAAAATAGCCCAGAGGGTAGAAATAACCTGGGAGTGAAACAAGGGGAGCAGGGGAAGCCCCCCTCGTTTTAGAAGGGGGGTTCAATCCCCCTCCCCAATTTGGGGTGCCAAAGGGGGTCTCTAGCCTGGGGAGGGGGTAGACCATCTTCCAGACCCCCCCCTTCCCTTGAAGTTGCTCAAGGAGACCCTCCATCACTTGGGCTGGGGCTTGGAGGGTGGAGAAGCCCCTTTAATTCTAGGGTAAACCATTTGGGGGTCTCCCCTGGCCTTGGGGAGGGGGCTTCCCCAGAGATTGCCCCAGTAAAGGGGATACTCCCCCCAGCCCCAGATATTGGGTAGGGGTGTAAGACTTGCACCCCAGGCAGTGATATCTCTGCAGAAAATCTATGGCTCCCAGGGTGAGTTTGGGGGCCTCCCGGGACCCCTAAATGATGCATCCCCCAATAAATTGCTTAAAATAATAAATTTTGAATCATTAAAATCGCCCAGATTGGCATGAACAATAATCACAAATGTCCAAAATAGTGTGGCGGGATGGGGGTGGGGAATAGAGTAGAGTAGAGTAAAATAAACAAACAAACAAACAAACAAATAAATAATTTTATTTCTATATCGCCCTTCTCCCGAAGGACTCAGGGCGGTGTACAAAACCAACATCAATTTAAAATAATTTAAAATTATTAAATAGTTCGGCTCAATTTAAAACCCCAGAAATTTAAAACACTAAAACTAAATTTAAAAATTTAGAGTAGAGTAGAGTAGAGTAGAATTTTTTATTAGCCAAGTGTGATTGGACACACAAGGAATTTGTCTTGGTGCGTATGCTCTCAGTGTACATAAAATAAAAGATACGTTCATCAAGAATCACGTGGCTATTCTGAGCACCTGAGGTTTAAAATCCCAAATCAGAAAGACCTTGACGGGGGTGGGGAAGGGTATTTGCAAAGGCTGCTGGTAACCATCCAGTCTGAGCCGTAGATCAGGATGTAGCAGTTCTCTAGAGTTACTAGTCCTCAAGATCAAACAAGTTCAGAAATGCGATTGGCAAAAATTGTTTCTGATCCCAAGGTTGTGTAAGATTTCCAAGACTGAAATGGAGTGGGGGAGGGAAAAAGAATGCTGAGTTTTGGGGCGTTAAGTAAGAAGGTCGTTAGTCTTGTGTCCAGAACCAGGAAAGTGGATAACACAAAAGGCGTTGACAAGAAACACAATTTTGAATAGCAAATCTTGCCTAGGGACTCCAAACACCAGCATTCCCATCGACGGAAAGGTGTGGTCCTGCAAAGCCAGGAGGAAGTGAGAAATGAAACCAGGTGGGATGTTAATCGGTTTAACCGGTCTTGCATTTTGACAAAACGCACCAAAAAAAAAAAAAATCACTTCCAGGCGACCAGGTCTTAAGCAAGTTGGAAAAGTCAAAAGTATGAGCGTGTCACGAGTTGATTTGAAATTCCATTGCTTGCAAGAAATGAAAGGAACAACTGCATGCTTGGGGAGTGGGGGCAGGGGAGGGGTAGGACTTCCCCTGTGCGGAAAGTTGTTTTCAAAACAAAACAATCCCCTGATGATAAGGAGGAACTGCTTTCTCATGACCAGGAGTTTTTCCCCTGGGATCCCACTGGATCTGTTAAAGCAGATTTTATGCTCCTGAGCCACTTTGCGTGAGGAGGACGTCAAACGGAAGTCAGAAACATTTCTGACTTCCTGGATTGAGGTCGCATGAAAGAGAGAAGGCAGATTTGAAGGTGGGGGGGGAAGCGAAGTGAAGCAGAATTGGTGACACAAAGTTCATTCTCTGGTCGAGTAATTGGAATTTTACTGCTTTATTATTATATCTCTTAACAGCTGCTTCGAGGGTTATTATCTACACCGGCTGGTTAGCAACGCCTCTGATCTGGAAAGTGCTTTCCCCGTAAAGCAGATTATGACCTGTAAGTAATTCCAACATAAAGGGCAAAAGTTTCCATTGTGTGATGAATTGGCAGTGTGAAAAGGGAAGGAATTCCCTTGGCTGGTTCCCTTGTCACCTTTCTCCTTTGCTAAGAGGGGAAGGTAGAGTAGGCTGGGCTGGGTGTGCTCTTTCGTGGATGGTTGTGCCTGGGAGACCTTTGTGAGGATTTCCTGTTGGTTACCTGGATTTGGAACAAGCTGGCTTTGATGTTGGCTGCCTTCGCCCCAAAAGTTTAAAACAGCTCAATGAAAAACTCACTAGGTTCATTTTAATGGTTCTTGTTTGCTTTTAATAATCTGCTTCCTCCATTTGTCCACCACTCTCTGAGGGAAGCTAGAAAACGGGTTAATTCACTCAGTGAACAGAAACAAAATCAAGTGAGGTCTGGGGACTGCCGTGAGAAGGCAATAGAGCCTTCAGGTACAGAGGCAGTCTATCCTGGGATTTCTGCAGCGGCGAAGAGGGCAATGTTCCTTGCTTTGCCTCTTTCAGTGTCGTTTTTCCAGAAGTCCCTTGACTTGCCCTGGAAAGTTGGAATCCAAATCGCTTGCAGGAGAGCTCAGGAAGCCTCCCTAGAAAGAAGCAGTCTATCTCGAGGAAGGAGGCATGCTTTTACCGCCCGCTGCTGACCCACCTGTTGAATCAAGGATGTTGAGAGACGCAGAGGTTCTTCTTGCGTTCTTATTTTGGTGTTTTTGTGGTCCTTTTGGCAGGAATAGATGGACATGTCTGCTGATCCCCGGCCAGGTGGGAGGCCCTGGAGAAGCCGGCCGAAGGAGGAAGAAGACACGGGACCAAGGACAGGTCCTGGCGCACAGTTGGGTGACCCGGGGAAATATGCCTACGCGGCTCTCTGCGCCGTTTCCTTGGCCTCGTTGTTTCCGGACCAGGAGGAAAGGTGTGAGCGGGCCTCCTTGCTGCTTTTCCTCCCAGCTCTTGAAAAAGCACCACAACAGAAAATTCAAGGGATCAAAATGCTTGGATTATTGAGGCAAAAGGAGAGGGCCTGTTTTGCATAGAAAAAGAGAGATTTATGCCTACTGCATTTTTCGGAGTATAAGACGCACCTTAGTTTTTGGGGAGGAATATAGGGGGGAAAAAATTCTGCTACCATTTGGCTAGCGTCCTTAGGCCGGTCAGCTTCAGCACATTAGTTCACTCGCTGGTTTTGAGGTTGGGGCTGGTTGGGGCTAAAAAACAGCTTCTAAAGCACAGCTGATCATCGGAGGGAGCAGCAATTAGAAAAGCAGGCAAAGCACGGAAGATCGCTTAACTCGCGTTGGGGCTGAAAAAACAGCTTCTAAAGCACAGCTGATCGTCGGAGGGAGCAGCAATTAGAAAAGCAGGCAAGGCACGGAAGATCGCTTAACTCGCGTTGGGTCTGAAAAAACAGCTTCTAAAGCACAGCTGATCGTCGGAGGGAGCAGCAATTAGAAAAGCAGGCAAAGCACGGAAGATCACTTTCACTCGCGTTGTGGCTGAAAAACAGCTTCTAAAGCACAGCTGACCGTGGGAGCAGCAATTAGAAAAGCAGGCAAAGCACGGAAGATCACTCCGCTCGCATTGAGGCTGAAAAACAGCTTCTAAAGCACAGCTGACCGTGGAGGGAGCAGCAATTAGAAAAGCAGGCAAAGCACGGAAGATCACTTCGCTCGCATTGAGGCTGAAAAACAGCTTCTAAAGCACAGCTGATTGTCAGAGGGAGATCCAGTGAATAAAGCAGGCAAAGTGTGGAAGGGGTCAGAGAAGGCAGCAGCTGTTCCAGGTAGCCATTTTGGGCACCGCGCATTGCGTTTTCAGCCTCCAAACGCGTCGTGTTTTGGGGCGGCGATTAGCAGCATGCTTTGGCGATCCCCGCAGCCTTGAAGGGCTTTCAAACGGAGCATTTGGAGGCTGAAAACGCGAAGCGCAGAGCCCAAAAACTCAAGCCGTTGTCGGCGGCAATCTCTGCAGCCAGGAAGAGGATACACAGAGGTCCGGCGGATGGGGGCCGGCGATTGGGCGGGGTGACATTTGGAGTATAAGACCCACCCATATTTTCAGCCTCTTAGGAAGGAAAAAAGTGTGTCTTATACTCCCAAAAATACGGTAGGTCAGGTTGGCCTCTGCCAAAGCTTGAAAGTCCAGAGCTGGCTTAGCATTTTTCAGAAGAGGGAAGGCGATTGGCAGACGGTTTAAGGGTAAACAATGTTAGGACGTCATTGTTTACGGAAACAATGGCTCCCTTCACGCCTGCAGGGAAGATTTTATAGGTGCGTTAAAGCAGAATAAGGATAGGTGGATAGGCTGGCTCATAATTTATACACCTGTACAGGTAATCATCAACTGTACAACCGCAATTGAAGTCAACATTTTCTGTTGCTAGGTTAACAGTTGCTAAACGAGTTTTGCAGTATTCCCCAAAGCAACGCTACCCCTCCCAGATTGATGAGCATATGCAGTAGTGGCCAAAATGGTGGAAACCTTTTGGGAAAAGTGTATTTTTGAGGTTTGATGGCTAATAACACCCCCTTTTTTGGGGGGGGAGTTTCAAGATAATCCTATTCCACTGCTGGAATGGCCTGGGAATAGCCCAGACCTTAACCCAATTGAAAATCTAGGGAGCTGACTAAAGAAACTGGTTAGTCAGAAGCGACCCAGTAATAAAACCCAGTTAATAGAAGCCATCATTCAATCTTGGTTTCACATGATAACAGCTGCAGAACTAAAAGACTTGGTTGACCCCATGGGAAGACATTGTCAGGCCGTCATTCATGCTAAAGGTTACCCAACTAAGTATTAACTGACCTGGTGATCATTTTTGTATATCTCGTTTTTTCTATGGTGATCATTTTTGTATATTGTTTTTTCTACCTGTTTCACTTTTCTTCCTTACACCGTAATTGCTATTCTAATAGCAAATCCTTCATAAAAGTTACTGCATTACATTCTTAATTAAATTATCTTTCCATGGATATATAATTTTATGCCACTACTCCCAAAAAAAAAAAAAGTGGTGTTATTAGCTAGTTTTAGAAAATAATACTTTTCCCCAAAAGGTTTCCATAATTTTGGCCGCTACTGTAGATGCGAGCGTGAGCGTGGCCGGGTGCGCAAATGCCACGCCGTGACTCCTTTCTCTCGGTCTTCGTTCCGCAGTGCCTACAGGACGGGAGTGGTGGAGAACCTGGTCAGGTGGCTGGAGTTGTCGGACACCGTGATGCCATCCATGCTGGCCTTTGCCGGAGGTCTGGGGGCTGAAGGGACCGAGACCTTCGCTCGGATCCTTCTGAGCGAGCCGCTTCTGAAGGATGAGCCCGGCGCCATTATGCTGGTGAGTCTTTGCCTTTCGGCCCCAATCCGGGAGCCATCGCAGGCAGCCGCTTTCCCGACAAGACGATTTCGTGTTAAATTTATACTTACCGACCAAGAAATAAAAGGAGACTAGTATAGTACATCCTTCTCTTCGTTTTGCTCCCCAGAAATACAGTCCCTCTGAGAACGGAGGTGCCACGAACACACCTCCCAGAGGTGGGGGTTCACTTACCTTCCCTACCGGTTCGCAAATGTGAGCGCAGGCGCCACCGTCCACGCGTGCTCGGTCTTCCGCGCATGCTCTTTGCTTGCATGCGCGCCAGTGGTGAAATCTAAAATTTGTTACTACCGGTTCTGTGGGCGTGGTTTGGTGGGGAGGGGTTTAATGTGACTGGGTAGGCGTGGCCAATTTTTTTTTTAAAACCATTTTTTCGGCGAAGAGGTTGTAAAAAAATGCTTTCAAAAGGCTCTGACGATCCCAGCTGAGTTGCCTGATCGGCAGAGGCTTTTTTTCTTTTAAATGAGAAAATTTTAAATGAGAAAAATTAGGCCTGGCCTAACTTTCTCCCTCTTTTTAAACAATTGTAATATTTTAATATTTTTTTAATATCTTTTAATCTTCAAAGTTTAAATCTGTTTTAAATTGATTGGGGTTTTAATCTGTCTGGGCCAAACTATTTAATTCGATTTTATTTCTGTTTTTTAAATTTTGTATGTATGTATTTTATCGTTGGCTGTTCACCGCCCTGAGTCCTTTGGGAGTAGGGCGGTATACAAATCAGATAAAAGTAAAAGTAAAGTAAATGCCTCTGACGATCAAGCAACTCAGCTTGGATCGTCAGAGGCTTTTAAAAGAAAAAAAGCCTCTGCTGATCAGGCAACTCAGCTTGGATCGTCAGAGGCATTTAAAAGAAAAAACAGCCTCTGCTGATCAGGCAACTCAGCTTGGATCGTCAGAGGCATTTAAAAGAAAAAAAAGCCTCTGCCAATCAGGCAACTCAGCTTGGATCGTCAGAGGCATTTAAAAGAAAAAAAGCCTCTGCCGATCAGGCAACTCAGCTTGGATCATCAGAGGCATTTAAAAGAAAAAAAGCCTCTGCCGATCAGGCAACTCAGCTGGGATCCTCAGAGCTTTTAAAAGCATTTTTTCTACAACCTCTGAAGAGTTGTAGAAAAAATGCTTTTAAAAGCCTTTGGGGATCCCAGCTCAGCCGCACGATCATCAGAGGCTTTTTTTTTTTTTACTTTTAAAAGCATTTTTTTCGGCCAAAGAGGTTGTAGAAAAAATGCTTTTAAAAATTAAAAAAAAGCCTCTGATGATTGTGCGGCTCAGCTGGGTATGGGGGGGGGCAGGGATTTTTGCTACCGGTTCTCTGAACCACCTTCCTCCATTACTATTGGATCGGGTGATCCGGTCCGAACCGGGAGCATTTCACCCCTGGTGCACGCCTTCCGCGCACGCACACGGCCTCCAAAATGTGGCTATATAGGGCGACACTACGTCTGGGCAAGTGGGTGGGGCCTACCCGCCCGGACGTAATGCCGTCCTATTAATCCCCAAACCTGACGATTCAGTGTTGGCTGAATCCCACAATTGAAACCTCTTCTCTTTATCAAGAGGGGAAAATGGCTGCCTTCTCGCCCATCGACCCAAATTTCAGACTTTCTGGGGAAATGCCCTTGTTTCTTGTTTTTTTAAAAAAATCCTCACCATTTCTCCCACGTCTTTCTGTTTCTGTTTTAGGACCTGGTCTCCTTTTCTCTTAAGGACGGTAAGTGACGTTGAAGGCCCGTTTTTTTTTCCTTTCTTCCTCCAGTTATTTTGATTAGCATTAAACCAGGGAGACAAAGCATAAGAGCTCATGTAGGATAAATTTGGGGGGGGGGAAGGAAACCCGACAATCAGCGAGCGATTTTAGGAAGTTTTCTCCTTCCTCTGCCACAAGTCAGTGAGGACTAGCGGCTTCATTTAAAAAAAAAAAAAGTTTTACTGATTTTTTTTTATTGTTTGCGTTTTGTTAGCACTTAAGAAACATCGTGTCGCCTGGGTTATTTTATTTGCTTAGCAGTACAGATTACGTTCTTATTCTCCACCCTTTTTTTCCAACCACTCTTAGAATAAGTTCCATGTTTGATAATATTCTGTATCTTCTTTCTGTTTACTTTTCAATGTAAGTCTTTCCCTTTCTGCGCAATCCGGTATCTTCCTAATGATCTCTTCGTCTCGTGGTGTTTCTTCATTTTTCCAATATTGTGCAAATATAATCTTCGCTGCTGTTAATACGCGCAATATTAAATATATGCTTTTGTTTATCAATTTTTTTCTGGTGTTATACCTAATAGGAAAAGTTCGGGTTTAAAATCTACATGTTTCCCTTACCGTCTTTTCTAGCCACTTATGTTTTTTTTAATTTAATTTAATTTATTTATTTTATTTGTCAAACACATGTAAGATAACAGATATAAGTATAAACATGATTTTTTTTTTTGAAAAAATTTTTTTATTTGTTTTTAAAACATAAAACATAAAACAACATCTTTTTGGAGCAAGAGTTTGGCCCGGTATAACAGATATAAATTCCCAATTTCATCCATTAACATCTTAAGACAAACAAAAAAAAAAAAACCCAAATCGAAACCCAATTTTTATCATTCAATCTAACATCTTATTCTAACATTTAAGTTTTTATTATGTAGTCACCCTAACTCTTAAACTTCAAATCCAAACAGCACTTTATAGTATTCATTTATCATTTTAACGATCAGTATTTCATGTATTTTCTGTACTTCAAATCAAATCAATGTTTCTTTCAGAACACATCTAATAACCAATATAAAATATTTCATTCCTCTCTGAAAGACATTTTAAAGTCAATATCCATTCTTCAAAAGTATCTCCTTCACTCCTCCTAGGTTTATTTTTAGCTGGATTGCAGCTTAGTTAGCTGGTTTCCAGGGATGCTTTCCTCCACTCCTAACCTTATTTATTGGCTGGATCACAGTTAGTTTTAACTGCTTCCAACATTTTCTCCTTCACTCCTCTTAGGTTTATTTTTGGCTGGATAGCAGCTTTTCAGCTGTTTTCCAGGGATGCTTCCCTAGACTCCTAACCTAAATATAAGTATAAACATGATTATGAATACAGGAAATGGATACGAATAAATGGGGACAATAGGACAGGGACGGAAGGCCTGCTGGTACGCTTATGCGCGCCCCCTTACAGACCTCTTAGGAATGGGGTGAGATCAGTGGTGGGTTCCTCCCGGTTCGGTCTGGTTCGGCCGAGCCGGTAGCGGTGACGATATGACGTCACCGAACCAGTTCTCCCCCCCCCCGCCCTCCCATCCCCCACTCCCCCACATTATTCTTACCTTTTATTTGGTCCCACCCCCAATCTGTTGCTGCCTCCTGAGTCCCAGCTGATGACTAGAGGGAAAAAAAACTGTTTAAACTTTTGCCGCGGGGCTTCAACGGGCCGTCCTACAGCTGATCAGTGTTAAAAGCAAACAAATGAGTCGGGTCGTAAGTGCGAGGACTGGTCGTAAGTGCGAGGACCTTCCAGAAATGACTCTGACCAGCTAGCCACGCCCACCTAGTCACACGACCTCCAAGCCACACCCACGAAATAAGCCACGCCCACAGAACCGGTAGTAAAAAAAATTTAGAACCCACCCCTGGGTGAGATCAACAGTAGACAGTCTAAGGTTAAAGTTTTGGGGGTTTGTGGAAGTAACCACAGAGTCAGGTAGTGCATTCCAGGCATTGATCACTCTGTAGCTGAAGTCCTATTTTCTGCAATCGACTTTGGAGCAGCTTACCTTGAGTTTGTATCTATTGTGTGCTCGTGTATTATTGCGGTTGAAGCTGAAGTAGTCATTGACAGGTAGGACGTTGTAGCAGATAATTTTGTGTACTACGCTTAGGTCAGACCGAAGGCGGCGTAGTTCTAGGTCAGTGATGGCTAACCTTTTTGCCATCGCGTGCCAGGAGGGGGGGCGGGGGAGGGTCGCGCGCGCATGTGCCCACGCGCATGTGTGCGCAACCCCCTCCCCCTCCCCCCCCCGCTCCTGGCACATGATGGCCTGGTAGGCCCATTTTTCTTTCTTACCTGGTTCCAGATCCTCTCTGTGTATCTGGGAACGGCGGAAACATCCTTTCCCACTCCCTTGGAGGCCCTACGGAGGCTGAAAGGGCCCATTTCCTAACTCCCAGTGGGACAGGAAGTGACATTTTTTGCTGTCCCCAGCCTCCAGAACCTCTCTAGGAGTCTCTAGGAGCCTCTCTCGGAGTCTCTAGGAGCCTCTCTCGGAGTCTCTGGAGGCTGGGTACAGGAAAAAAGTCACTTCCTGTCCCACCGGGAGTGGGGAAATGGGCCCTTTGAGCCTCGGTAGGGCCTCCAAGGGAGTGGGAAAGGCTGTTTTCGCCCTTCCCAGATGCATAGAAAGGATCTGGAGCCAGGTAAGAAAAAAAAACGGGCCTTCCCTACCCACCCCCAGGCCCTCCAGAGGCAGGAAACAGCCTGTTTCCCTACTTCTGGTGGGCCCAGAAGGCCCGAAAATCAGCTGGCCGGCGCGCGCATGCACCCCAGAGCTGAGCTGGCGTGCCCACTAATATGGCTCCGCGTGCCACCTGTGGCACGCGTGCCATAGGTTCGCCATCACGGTTCTAGGTTGTCCAAGGCCACAATTTCAAGCCTGGTTGGCATAAGGGATTCTGTTCTGAGCAGAGGAGTGGAGGACTCTTCTCGTGAAATACCCCTGGACCTGCTCAATTGTATTAATGTCCGATATACAATGCGGGTTCCAGGCAGACAAGCTGTATGCAAGAATTGGTCTAGCAAAGGTTTTAGTATGCCCTAGTTTGCAGGACAATATTACCGGAGAAGACGTTTCGCAAGATTAGTATTTTTGCCCATTTTTTTTTTTTGCTTAGGACAATCTTCTTAAATGTTCCCTCTTCTTGCCCTGTTTGTCTAGGCTACTACGATGCTCGCATGCGGGTGCTTCTGTCCCACATGGCCGGGTTGTTGGAGATCCCCTTGGCAGAACTGGAAGACGCAGAGGACTATCTCCTTGAATGTCTGAAGGAGGAAAAAGAGGCGGAATCGGAGTATGTTTCACCTTGGCTTTTTTGGGGCCGTCACAAAAATAATCTATACCATCCAGCTAGGGGAGGGGAAAAAGAAAACATGGCTGTGTTTTAAATATTTGGTTTCTGCAGATATTCTAATCAGGGCAGATAAAAAGAGCTGCTGCTTTTTAAATTAGGGACTCGGATCTCAAGGGCAGAAAGGTGGCATTCTCCTCTGGATCCCTTTTCTTCCCTTTCTCCCGGGTTTCAAAGCTGGTTTTTCCCCAAGGAAACGGAAAAGAAACGTAGCTGTTTCTATTTGGAACTCTTTTTTTTTTTTTCCCAACCAAGAGCTAAGGGAAATAAGCCAAATGCAGTCAAAGGCATCTTCCGCCTGGTCATGCGTTACAAGGAAACGATTAAAACAGCTCCCTGTGTTAATCCCTTCATTGCCTGTTTTATTTGAAAGCTGTCTGCAACCAAAGAATAGAATGGAATGGAATGGAATGGAATAGGAATAGGAATAGGAATAGGAATAGGAATAGGAATAGGAATAGGATAGAAAATATGGAATGGAATGAAGAAAATAGAATAGAATAGAATAGAATAGAATAGAATAGAATAGAATAGAATAGAATAGAAAAGAAAATATGGAATGAACAGAACAGAATAGAACAGAACAGAACAGAACAGAACAGAATAGAATAGAATAGAATAGAAAATATGGAATGGAATGAAGAAAATAGAATAGAATAGAATAGAGTAGAGTAGAGTAGAATAGAGTAGAATAGAATAGAATAGAAAATACGGAATGGAATGAATAGATTAGAACTAGGAAATAGAATAGAATAGAATAGAATAGAATATAGTAGAATAGAATAGAATAGAATAGAATAGAATAGAATAGAATAGAATAGAATAGAATAGAAAATATGGAATGGAATGAATAGATTAGAACTAGGAAATAGGAATAGAATAGAATAGAATAGAATAGAATAGAATAGAATAGAATAGAATAGAATAGAATAGAGTTGGAGGGGACCTCGGAGGTCTTCTAGTCCAACCCCCTGCTTAGGCAGGAAACCCTACACCACTTCAGACAAATGGTTATCCAACATCATCTTAAAAACTTCCAGTGTTGGAGCATTCACAACTTCTGGAGGCAAGTTGTTCCACGGATTAATTGTCCCCACTGTCAGGAAATTTCTCCTTAGTTCTAGGTTGCTTCTCTCCTTGATTAATTTCCACCCACTGCTTCTTGTCCTGCCTTCAGGTGCTTTGGAGAATAGCTTGATCCCCTCTTCTTTGGGGCAGCCCCTGAGATATTGGAACGCTGCTATCCTGCCTCCCCTAGTCCCTAGAAGAGAGGAAGAAAGGATTAAAAAAAAAAAAAAGTGGGGAATTGTCTCTGGCTTTTGTAGTCCTTTGAGCCCGTCCAGCTTTTGTCTTATTGAAATTTGTAGGACTTCTTTTTTTAAAAAAAAAAAAACGCTAGGTGTGAACTAAAGCAATCCACTTTAACACACCGTTATGAAACGCAGCTCTCCTGTACTGACTGCTTGCTGTATTTTCATATTTGCTGTTTTTGTCCTACAAGCTACTTAGGAAATAGGAGCTATCTGAGAGGTAAGTTGCTTTGTGTGTCGGATTTCATTTCTGATGTGTCCATTTTCACTTTTGTGAACAAAAGTGTAACCTCTTTGGTGCCATGTGAGGTAGAGGGAGGCAGTTAATTTTGTGGGCGTCCTCGGTGCTCTCTTGAGCTTGCTTGATTTCTTGCAGGCGTTTCATTACCAAACTAGGTAACTTCATCAGTGTTAGAAGGGAGTGGAGTATGCAGAGAGGAGGAGGAGGAGGAGGAGGACTATGGGGTCCTCGGTCCTCTCTGAGTTTGCTTGTTTTCTGGCAGATGTTTCATTACCATACTAGGTAATGTCATCAGTGCTAGGAGGGAGTGCAGAGAGGAGGCTGTTAATAAACTTTCTTAACAGCCTACAAGAAACCAAAGATAAAGTAATCCACAATCTTACTAAGGTTGGCAGAAAGCCCAGAAGCAATTTGCAGAGAATCCAGACGCGAAGGAGAATGAACTAAAGTTGTTCCCTACAAATTGCTTCAGTCGGCGTTCCTCCTTAAATAGGCTAAGGGAGTGGCCAATTAGCCCCAATCTTTACTCTCGAGGACATCTCCTCCTGAGGAGCCACTCCTGCCTTTTGGCTGCTCTGCGCACCCATGCATCGAGAAGAGGCTCCTCCTCTTCTTTGCTCTTCACTTAAAGGAGCTTCTGGAGGTTCTGAAGGCCCTGGCTGAATCCCCGCCTCTGGCACCACATCTTCTCCAGCCTCCTCATTGTCTGACTCGAGTGCCAGCTGCACAGGCTGCTGGCGCTGCATCACACCAGCCTCCTCGCTGTCAGAATCAGCTACAATCCGCACAGGCCGCTGACGGGCCACAACAGTTAGTTATGGTCTGTTTGCTGATAGGAAAGAAAGTCATTTTTTTTTTCTTTCTTCTTCCTCTCGTCCCCAAGATCGGACGAAGGCAAGCGGAAGAAGAAGGAGAGGAGGAAGAGGCTGAAGCGGTACCTGCTGATTGGCCTAGCGACCGTAGGTGGAGGGACGGTCATCGGTAAGCGAATTCTTCGGACTCTCCTTCCCCAAACGGCAGATTCTGGCCCCATCTGTTCCCCAGCAATCAGGATGAGGAGATTTGGACTGGTAGCCCTCGACTTAATGACCATAATGGAGCCCCAAATTTCTGTCGATAAGCGAGACAGTTATTAAGGGGAGTCTGGCCCCATTTTACGACCTTTCCTGCCCCGCTTGTTAAGCGAATCGCTGTGGTTCTTAAATTAGTAACATGGTTGTTAAGTGAATTTGGCTTCCTCATTGACCTTGCTTGTCAGGAGGTTGCAAAAGGGGATCACATAACCCCAGGACTCTGCAACCATCATAAGTACATGCCAGTTGTCGAGAGTCTGAATTTGGATCACGTGACCAGGGGGATGCTGCAACGGTTGTATGTGTGAGAAACAGTCCAAATCTGGTTTGTTTTGCCCATTTTGGGAACTGAAAATCCTGTTGTTTTCTGTTTAGGCCTGACCGGAGGATTGGCAGCTCCCTTGGTGGCTACTGGAGCAGCGGCCATCATTGGGACCGCTGGGGCCACGGCCTTGGGGTCGGCAGCCGGAGTGGCCATTATCGGTTCTCTCTTCGGAGCCGCTGGAGCAGGACTCGTGGGTAAGGCTCACGGGATGAGGAGGAAAAAAACCTCCAGTGTTACGGTGCAGAAGTCTCTCTGGCTCCTTTGATTTTCGGGATAAGAGCCACAGTGGCGCAGTGGTTAGAGTGCAGTATTGCAGGCTACTTCTGCTGACTGCCGGCTGACTGCAATTTGGTAGTTCGAATCTCACCAGGCTCAAGGTTGACTCAGCCTTCCATCCTTCCGAGGTCGGTAAAATGAGGACCCAGATTGTTGGGGGCGATAGGTTGACTCTGTAAACCACTTAGAGAGGGCTGTGAAGCACTGTGAAGCGGTATATAAGTCTAAGGGCTATTGCTATTGCTATAAGATAACAGGCAGATAAAATAAAATTATTAACTTTATATTTGTGCGCCCTCTTGCTCCGTTAGGGTACAAGATGAAAAAGCGGGTGGGGGCCATCGAAGAATTTGAATTCCTTCCTTTAACTGAAGTGAAGCAGCTCCATATCACCATTGCCATCACCGGCTGGCTTTCTCCGGGGAAATACGGTAAGGGCTTCCCATCCGCAGCCCAAAATACGGTGGGTACCAAAACATGCCCAATTTTTTTTTTTAATTATCTCGTCCTGTTCCCCCATTGGTAAATATGGGGCAGTTTTTCCTTCAGAAAAGTTTTCCATTTCTAAATATTTCTAAGTATTCTGAGCTCCTCGCTCACCAAGGAGGCGTTGCCTTGATAGCAAATTTGATTTCCCCCCCCCCCCTCTTTTGCTGCGGGTCCATTTTCCTCACTTGACCTCAGCCACTGCTCTCTAACACACCTGTCTATAAAACAATTCGCCTTTGTTTTGTTTTACAAGCATTCCTGTTTAACTTTCGCACCGTTTTGTTTTCCTCATGTGAGGTCAATGCCTCCCGAGGTATAGGAAATTTTCTCTTGGGTGAGACGCAAGGGTGTGAATGCCCTCGGTGTCTGGCAGCAGAGAGAATTATTTTAAAGACAGGTGTCGTGGCCTGTCAGATGCCAACCCTCCAGCAGCCGAATCAGAGGAGGAGGAAGAGTGGGAGTCAGGGTCGGCATCTAGGCAACCTGAGAGCTCCGAGGGGGAAGAGGGAATGAAGCTGTCAGAGAGAGAGAGAGAGAGAGAAAGAGGCGGAGCCTGGGCTGTCCGTCAGCCCTCAGATGGAGAGTCAATAGCCCCCAGGTCTGGAGGCGGCTGATGGGGAAGAGGAGGAACAGCTGGGTCCAGTGCCTGACGTGCCGATGTGCAGAAGGCAGAGGAGAGGAGAACAGTGGAAATCAATGGGCCGGTCCTTGGGACGGAAGAGCCAATACTGCTAACGAAGCCCCACCTTAGCTCGGGGGATAAAAGGCAGGGGCCGGAGATGAATAGATCTGGCAGACAACTATTCATCTTCCGGCCAGACAGACTTGTTAGCCTGAGGTGAGAGAGAAACTTTTTGCCGAGGCCGCCGGCGCTCCTAATAAAGGAACCTTTTGAGTTCACTTCAGAGGGTTTGTCGTGTTTGGGGAGCTGGGTCAGAACAACAGGAAAGGAGGATAGCTATCATTCCCTCGGCCCCGGGGTTAATCGCAGCATCTCCTGCAAAATTGTCTTTCTCTCCGATGGGAAGTAGAGAGATTTAAACCCTTTAGTGAACACTTGGCTGTTCCAGAGATACAGGTAAGTCCTCGACTTACAACCGTTCATTTAGTGACCGAATTTACAACGAAAAAAAAGGGACTTGGGACCGTTTCTCACACTTACGACCGTTGCAGCATCCCCCGTGGTCACGGGATCAACGTTCAGACCCTCGGCATATTTATGACGGTTCATATTTATGACGGCTTCAGGGTGATCCCCTTTTGCGACCTTCTGATGAGCAAAGTCCACGGGGAACCAATTTAACAACTGCAGATTCACTTAACAACAGCGGCAAGGAAGGTCGTAAAAGGGGGGAAAACTCACTGAACAAATGTCTCGCTTGGCCACAGAAATTTTGGGTTCGGTTCTGGTTGTAAATCGAGGAACTGGATCCTTCCCCTGGATTATAACTCCTGCGTCAAGGATGATTCGCTCGTTCTCGTAGTTGCTTCTTCACTCCCAGCTTGACAACAATCAGGGAGAGGGGGGGTGGCTGGAATGTTTGGCTGGGAGGAGGAATGGACTGCCCAGACCCCGTCTGAGACCCTGCTGCCAACCTCCAAGGCCACTCTGCGCAGGTGTTTGAACGATGCAGTCCGTTCTCATAACAAGGAGCGTATGTAATTGGACGACGCAATGAACTCAGAGGGATGGCCAAAGGGGAAAATCAAGTTTAACTAGGTGGACGTTCGCGCGGGTAAACTCCAGAGCTGGTTTTGCTTCTTCTGTGCCAAGTTAGTGTATTTAATAAAGTTATACTTTTGGGAAGAAAAATAGCCAAAGTATAACAGGACAGCTGACGTCCTGTGGCAAGAATTTGTTCCCTCTCTCTCTCTCCCCCCCCTCCCCCTCTCCCTCATCTCTCTCACACACATGTCTTTCTGCTTATGTTAAGAATGCTCCTTTTGACTCATTTTGAGGGCTCAGGATGGCCCACTCAAGGCACCGCACTGCCCTTAAGAGGACCAGGAGGCACACCTGAGGCTCGGTGGTGAGAGCCCAGTGGTGGGTTCCTCCCGGTTCAGCCTGGTTCCACCGAACCGGTAGCGGTGACGATATGACAAAATAAGCCACGCCCACAGAACCGGTAGTAAAAAATTTTAGAACCCACCCCTGTGAGAGGCCCTCTTCGCACGCTGTCCTCACGCATTTGTCTCCGTCCTTTGTCCCTCGGCAGGCAGTTTCACGGCTCCCTGGAGCAGCCTCTTACAGTCCAAGGAGCAATACTGCTTAGCCTGGGAGTCTAAGTACCTGCTGGAGCTGGGCAGCACCCTGGATGCCTTGTGGAATGGGTTGGTCAACATGGCCGCCCAGGAAGCCCTGAAGTACACCGTCTTGGCGGGTGAGTGAGTGAGGGGCTGAGGGGCCCTTGTTTCGGGATGGAGAAACAACGTGGTTCTTTCTAGCCGAGCTCAGCTTGGGGGGACTTGGCTGAAATGGTATAGGTTCTCCTGCCCGAGCAGGGGGTTGGACTAGAAGACCTCCAAAGTCCTTTTCCGACTCTGTTATTCTATGTTCTACGACTTCATCAACCTATCCAGGTAGTTTTCTTGGCAACTCCAAAAAAACAGAATAGAATAACTGTCAGGGTTCCCAGTAACACCCCCAACAAATGAAAATTCCGAGGCTTGAGTTTCCTCAAAGTTCCATTTTATTAGAGATGTCATATTGGCACATCTGGAGAAACCTGAATCTGAAAGATTCCAGGGTTTCCTCACCCAAAGGAAAGTTCAGGTCCCTTCCCCTACACCCACATGTCCATCACATGGTCCAATCAAAGCACTGTCCCAACTGGAGATGCCTCCCAGTTCCAGCCTTCCAGGTGCAGGGCAAGATGTCCTTGACTCTCTGAGAAAGGAATGTTATTTTGGCTATGTATTTCCCCAGCTCCATACAATCCCCCTTCCCAGTTTCCCACAGTAGTAAATGTGGCAGGCCTGAAGAGCCAACGAAAAGGATGGCTTCCAGGTCTGACAATAACACAGTCGGATGGGACCTTGGAGGTCTTCTAGTCCAACCCCCTGCTCACGCAGGAAACCCTACACCACTTCAGAGAAATGGTTATCCAACTTCTTCTTAAAAACTTCCAGTGTTGGAGCAACCACAGCTTCTGGAGGCAAGTTGTTCCACTGATTAATGGTTCTCACTGTCAGGAAATTTCTCCTTAGTTCTAAGTTGCTTCTCTCCTTGATTAGTTTCCACCCATTGCTTCTTGTCCTGCCCTCAGGTGCTTTGGAGAATAGTTTGACTCCCTCTTCTTTGTGGCAGCCCCTGAGATACTGGAACACTGCTATCATGTCTCCCCTAGTCCTTCTTTTCATTAAACTAGATGTCAGGTTTCGATGTTGTCTCAAAACAAATTGCATTTTCTACAAATAGTCTTTGATAAAAATCTTTCATTTATTAAGCACAACAATCGATCTCCAACTCCGTTGCAGTCAACACTGACTTCCTGGCCGAAACCCTTCCTTTCCTTTCCCCACTCCTCTGCGTCTCATTGGCCATCTTCCAAGTCACTCTGCCCGTAATCTACTGCTTCAGCTCAAAGGAATTTCCCCCCTCCCATCCCATCTCCTAGGGGATAGCATCTCCAGGGAAAATAAGTAGGTGAAAAGTCAAACATCCTCTTGCCAGATGCCCCATCTTCTCCTCCTTATGTCAGCACTGGAGTGAATGCAGCTTGAAGTGCTGACACTAGAGACATAGAAGGACCATCTCTTCCATCTCCTGTCCGAGGATGAACCTGGTTCTACCTTTTATGTTTCCATTGCTAAAAGGGCACACTGGCTTTTCCCCCACCCCTCCAAGTGAATTTAAGCCCTTGGGGATGACGGCAGCTGAAATCCCGCAGCTCCACAAGGCTATGTCGGATCCCCCAGGCGTTTTTCTGATTTTTTTTTTTTCACCCATCCCGTTTGCTCTGCCTCCTCCCAGGGATCGTGACAGCCCTCACCTGGCCTGCTTCTCTGCTGGCGGTAGCTGGTGTGATCGACAACCCCTGGGGCGTGTGTCTCCATCGCTCCACGGAGGTCGGAAAACACTTGGCGCAGATACTTCTCAGCCGGCAGCAGGTAGGCTGAAGAAAGTCTGCCTCCCACCTCCCCAGAGGTGGTATTCAGCCGGTTCGGACGGTAGCAAGAGATCGGATGGCACGCGAGCAAGCAAAGTGCATGCGCAGAAGATGTGTGCGGGAAGTGAGTGCGTGCGGGGAGAACCAATAGCAACGAAATGTGAAATGTGAAAAGGGGAAACATTTCTCCTTTCGTTCCGTTTTTAGTTTGTTTTGCTAGCCCTCTGCCAGCGAAAAGAGTCTGGCAGTGGTGGAATTCAATTTTTTTTAACTACTGGTTTTGTGGGTGTGGTTTGGCGGGCATGGCGTGGCGTGGCTTGGTGGGCGCGGCAGGGGAAGGATACTGCAAAATCTCAATTCCCACCCCACTTCAGGGGAAAGGATATTGCAAAATCCCCATTCCCACCCCACTTCAGGGGAAAGGATATTGCAAAATCCCCATTTCCTCCTGATCAGCTGGGCCTCGGGAGGCAGAGAATAGAGGGGGGCAGGGCCAGCCAGAGGTGGTATTTGCCGGTTCTCCGAACTACTCAAAATTTCCACTACTGGTTCGTCAGAACCTGCTGAATACGACCTCTGCCAGGGCGGGGACACATGCACCCTCGGGTCCCATTTTTGAGCCTGAGAGCCTCCTGCAGCCCTCTGCCAGAGAAAATGGAGCCCAGAGTGCTGCACAGCTCTCCCAAGCTCCATTTTCACTGGCAAAGGAACCAGGGGCCGGTCCTTTGCTGTTTCCAGGGGCTGCTCTGCGGGCCAGATATAAGCACTGCGCAGGCTGGATTTGGCCCGCGGGCCTTGAGTTTGATACCCCTGTGATAGCTGTTTGTTTGCTTATTCGTGTCAGATACCTGTTTTTAAAAACAAAACAAAACAAAACAAGAGATTTCTTCTCATTTTTCTTCTGTCCCCCTCCTCTCGTAGGGCAAGCGGCCGGTGACCCTGGTTGGGTTCAGTCTTGGCGCTAGAGTGATCTACTTCTGCCTGCAGGAGATGGCCAAGGAGAAAGGTAGGACAGCTCCCCTCCCCTCTTCTGTTTTGGGGTTCCTGCTCTGAAGCTGACCCCCTGCAGCCTCTTGGTGTGGACGACCAAATCGATTTCAGCTTGCTGAAGTTCCCAGATCTCCCCAGGAACCCTTTTGATCATCCTACGAATTTCCTCTCCTGTGTGACGACCTGGGGCACGGCACAGAGATAACACAAACAGCTGGCAGTTCAAATCGCCCCTTTTATTGCTCCGAATTTCCCCAAACGCTCCCACGTTTCTGGCCAGTCCCAGAGCAAAGTGATGACAAACCCTCCCACGCACCTCAAGCAGCCTCTGGCTGCAAATAGTCCAGCCCAACGCTGTGTACACCACCGCTGCACAGTAATAAATCCAGCAGTGCAAATCAAGGAGTTCAGGAAGCAAAAGAGCCAGGTAATTAGTCCAGAAAGACAGAAAGAATGCAAGGACTCTTGGGAAATTCAAATGTCAGCACTCAACATTTCAGGAGTGTTTGTTCCCGACAAATGCCCCTCCCCACAGCGTCTTCTTAAGTCTCATTCCCCAGGTGTGCCTGGTGAAGATGAGTGGGGCACACTTCTCCCGAGTAGCTTGCTCAGTTTGCGCTGTTCTCGCCTTCTCTCCACTCTCCGTGCTCTCGGATCAGGAGGGGGTGGTCCTTGCTCCTCGCCTGAGTTCTGTCTCTCATGTTCATCTTGCTGTCTTCCTCCCTGTCTATAATCTGTCCTAATCCTGAAAGTTCCCCATTTTCCTCCGAAGCCAACAAAGCTGCCTCCTCAATCTCTGTCAGCTCCAGTTCCAACTCGTCTTCCCTCCTCCAGATTCAGGCTCCGACACGGGGTATGACATCCAGCCTGTTCTCTTTTCCTTAAAATATCCCCCATTCTTGATCCACCATCTGTCATCCTTATAAACTGAGATCCGGGTATTAACGATGCCTCCTTCTCCCCACACCCCCCCACACCCTTCTCCATGGCTGGCAAAAAAAGGGAAGGAATGAAGTCCTTAGAATTGCTTTAGCGATGCCGTGGGGATGTCAGAGGTGGTTCAGCCTTCTGGCTTCTTGCAAACACAACAATTTCCATCTTCCTTGCCTAACTAAAAATCTGTCACCGTTGCGATGGCCGTCCTCATTTTTCTCCTACTGAGGGAGGGAACTTTGTAGGTCAAATCTGCAGGAGGCAGTTTTCCCCCAGCAGATTTCAGAGAGAGAGAGAGAGAGACAGTATTTGGCTTTCTAACCCTGGATTGTTACCTTGGTAGCCAGTTCTTTTCTCTCTATCAGAGAAGAAGGGAGGGGGGGGATATCTTTCCTATCCCGACACTTACCGTCATGGTTCCAGAGTAATTTATTTATTTATTTATTTATTTATTATATTTCTATACCGCCTTTGTCCCGTAGGACTCAAGGCGGTGTACAGTCAAGAAAAATATAGATACACAAACATCATAAAATTGCTAATTAAAATTATTATTATAACATAGTTTGGCCCAATTAAATAGAACCTAAAATTAGATAACATTTTAAAAACATTCACATGTTCATATGTTTAGCCCCGCCTGTTGGGACATCAGGGTTTTGAGGGCACGGCGGAAAGCACGGAGATCAGGGATATTCCGTATCTCCGGGGGCAGTTCATTCCAAAGGGTTGGAGCCCCCACAGAGAGGGCCCTCCCCCTGGGAGTCGCCAGTCGGCATAATTTGACTGACGGTACCCTGAGTAGTCCCTCCCTGTGAGAACGAACTGGTCGGTGGGAGGCTCTTGGTGGCAAAAGACGGTCTCGTAGGTACCCAGGTCCTAAGCCATGGAGCGCTTTAAAGGTGATGACTAACACCTTGAATCGCACCCGGAAGACCACCGGGAGCCAGTGCAGCTCGCGTAGGAGAGGTGTTACATGGGCGCAACGAGCTGCGCCCATAATTACCCGCGCGGCTACGTTCTGGACCAGTTGGAGCCTCCGGGTGCTCTTCAAGAGGAGCCCCATGTAGAGAGCATTACAGTAGTCCATATGGGAGGTGACTAGGGCATGAGTGACCATGCACAAGGCGTCCCGATCCAGAAAGGGACGCAACTGGCAGATCAGGCGAACCTGATAAAAGGCACCCCTGGCCACGGCCGTCAAATGATCTTCTAAAGATAACCGTGAATCCAGGAGGACACCCAAGTTGCGGGCCCTCTCTGTGGGGAGCAAGATCTCATCCCCAATTGTCAGTGATGGTACCAGCTGACTATACCGGGACGCCGGAAGCCAAAGTCACTCGGTCTTGGAGGGGTTGAGTCTGAGCTTGTTTCTCCCCATCCAGATCCGCACGGATCTAATTAATTAATTAATTCGCAGCATCTAGTGATTCCAGGATAAAGCTAGAAGTGGGAGCTCTCGCCTCACGATCAGGAGGGCTGTGAGTTCCGATCCTAGGTAGAGGCAGATATTTCTCTCTCTGGCCACAGTGAGAATGTATCTGCCGAACAAAACTCCGTATTGGCAACAGGAAGAGCATCCGGCCAGTAAAACACACACTGCTCGCTCCATTCAGTTGCCCAGACTCCACCTCCGCAAGGGAAGATGGGGTCGTTAAAAGGAGATGATGACAATGATGTGTAAGTGATTCCAGGATCATTGCGACGCGTGGCCTACAAATTCGGAGTTGAACCTCTTGGGTTCTGTTTCAGTGGCCCGTCAAAGACAGAAGCTTCCTCCTGCGGGAAGGAAGCTGAGCACAAGAGCAAATGAAAAATAGTAACAAAACAGCCACTGGAAATAAATGTGCGAAAAACAGCGGAAAAGTCAGTTGTTTTAAGTTTCCGCACAGCCGGGATTAGTCTTCTGTCTTAATGGCATCTGGCAAGCTTATTTTATTTGATTCTTTGGGACTTTCTTTTTAGTTTCGTCTTTTTAGTTTCGTTCTGCTGGGTAGCTGTGGTATAGGTCCTCCTCAATTTACAACAGTCCATTTAGTGACCGAAGTGACAACGGCATTGAAAAAAAATGACTTAGGACCGTTTTTCACGCTTATGACCGTCACTTTGGCCACCGGTTCCGATTTATGACCGTTGATGTGTCCCGATGTTCTGCGACCTTCTGATGCGCAAAGTCGACGGGGAAGTCAGATTCATTTAACGACTGGGGCACTAACTTTGAACCGCCGCAGTGATTCACTTAACATCTGCGGCAGGAACGGTCGTAAAATGGGGCGAAATTCACCCCACCGGTGTCTGGGGATTAAGAACAGAAATGTTGGAGCTCCATTGTGGCCGTAAATCGAGGACGTGAAAAGAAAGCAGCCGATTCCATTTAACACGGCTGATCCCATCTCGGCTCAAGGAATCCATCTGGATTGTCTTCCCAAGCAAGGACAATAGAAAGAGGGAGAAAGGACTGTCCCAGCTGTCTAGTGGTTTCGACCTCACGCTTTCCTCCGAAAGGACACGACTGGATCCAGGGGTGGGATTGAAAAATTTCAGCAACCGGTCCATTGCCCAGTTGCTGGGGGGGGCGTGGCCATGGGGGCGTGGCCTACTTGGCCTCCTGCAGCATGGTGGAGGGGGGACATTTTCACCCTCCCCAGGCTCTGGAGGCTTTCCTGGAGCCTCCAGGAGGGCGAAAACGGCCTCCCCAGGCACTGGAGGCTGGAAATGGGCCCATTTCCTGGGTGGGGTCAGCCAGTCCTTGGAACAATCGGTTTGGTGGACCAGATTAAAATTGAACCGGCTGAATCCCACCTTTGGCTGGATCCCTACAGGGGATCTGAAGCTTGGCAGGTTCCTTTGGAGATGCCACGGGGCTGATCTCGGGTGGGTCTCTTTTCAGACTGCGCAGGGATCATTGAAGACGTGGTGCTGCTGGGGGCCCCCGTAGAAGGCGATCCCAAATCCTGGAAACTGATCACCAAAGTCATTTCAGGCAGGATCATCAATGGCTTCTGCAGGTATTGTTGGTCCCAAGAGTGGTGCATACACATGGGGATTTTGCAGTATCCTTCCCCTGGAGTGGGGTGGGAATGGAGATTTTTGCAATATCCTTCCCCCGGGAGTGGGGTGGGAATGGGGATTTTGCAGCATCCTTTCCCTGGAGTGGGGTGGGAATGGAGATTTTGCAATATCCTTCCCTCGGGAGTGGGTGGGAATGGGGATTTTGCAGTATCCTTCCCCTGGAGTGGGGTGGGAATGGAAATTTTGCAGTATCCTTCCCCCAGGAGTGGGGTGGGAATGGAGATTTTGCAGTATCCTTCCCTTGGAGTGGGGTGGGAATGGGGAGTTTGCAGTATCCTTCCCCTGCAGCGCCCATCAAGCCACGCCCACCAAGCCACACCCACAGAACCGGTAGTAAAAAAAAATTGGATTTCACCACTGCTCCAGACTTAACACCTCCTTCTCTCATTCTTCCTCCCCCCAGGGGCGACTGGCTGTTGAGATATGTCTACCGCACCGCGTCCATTCAGCTGAGCGTCGCGGGGCTTCAGCCTGTCTGCCTCGATGACCGCCGGATGGTGAACGTGGATCTGTCTTCCGTTGTAAGTCGGCGGGAAGCGATGACGGAGATCTGGCAAGGTTCAGGGGTCGACAAAGGGGCAATCGGCGGTTTGAGGGGTGGTTGAAGAGATGCAAGGATTTATTTATTTTTTTAGGTGGTGTGAATGCAGCCACGATGCCGTGTTTCTCGGCCTTAGCGGCTTTTAAGATGCGTGGACTTCAACTCCCAGAATTCCCCAACGAGACTTAAAATTCTGGGAGTTGGAAGTCCTCACATCTTTACAGCAGTGAGAGAACATTTCTCACGGCCAAGTAACATTTCTTTTCTCCTGTGTCAGTTCACCCAGAATAGGATTCCCAGAAGCTAACAGTCAGCAGGAGTCAGCAACCTGCGGCTCGGGAGCCGCATGTGGCTCTTTCACCCCTCTGCTGCGGCTCCCTGTCACTCAAAATACGCGTCACAACAGCCAATCTGCGACACCCACCAGCACGTGAATTATTGAGCTTTTCAAACCCCGGTTAGGCCAACCGTGGATAAATCCACGAAAAGAAAAGTTTCAGAATTTATTTATTTTATTTTATTTTATTAAATTTCCATACCGCCCTTCTCCCAAAGGACTCAGGGCGGTGAACAGCCAGAAGATAAAACACAGAAATACAAAATTTAAAATAGATTAAAACGGATTAAATAATTTGGCTGAATTTTAAAATACCCCATAATTAAACAGATTAAAATTTGTGTTTAAAATTTAAATTTAAAAGATTTAAAAGATTTAGGCCAGGCCAGAAGAAAACGGAATGTTTAATTCAATTACATATGCTAGCTCAAGAAATAGTCAGGCCTGGGAAGGGTTTTATGGCTTCCGGTGTTTTCTTTTCTGTGGGAAACGGGTCCAAATGGCTCTTTGAGTATTTATTTATTTATTTATTTATTTATTTATTTATTTATTTATTTATCAATTCAAATTAAAACCCATTGACAATTTAAAAACTAAAAAACTAAAAAAGACTAAAGAAGGGGGCGGGGTTTTCACGCCAGCCCTGCTTGATGGAAAAGAAAAGTTTTCAGGGCACGGCGAAAGACCCAGTGATCCGATATCCTTCGTATCTCCGGGGGCAGATCGTTCCAGAGGGCAGGAGCTGCCACAGAGAAGGCCCTCCCCCTGGGGGTCGCCAGCCGACATTGCCTGGCTGACGGCACCCTGAGGAGTCCCTCTCTGTGGGAGCGTACTGGTCGGTGGGAGGCTATCGGCGGCAGAAGGCGGTCCCGCAAATACCCAGGTCCTATGCCATGGAGCGCTTTAAAGGTGGTAAGCAACACCTTGAAGCGTACCCGGAAGACCACTGGAAGCCAATGCAGCTCACGCAGGAGAGGTGTCACATGGGAGCGCCCCCTCGCTCCCATAATACCCCGCGCGGCCGCATTCTGCACCAGTTGGAGCCTCCGGGTGCTCCTCAAGGGGAGCCCCATGTAGAGAGCATTGCAGTAGTCCAGGCGTGAATGCCTGAGTGACTGTGCGTAAGGAGTCCCAATCCAAAAAGGGACGCAACTGGTGAATCAGGCGAACCTGATAAAAAGCCCCCCTGGCTTTTTAAGGTTGGTCTATGCAGATTCTCAAGTCATCCAAGTCCTGGTTGTCCCAACAGTGCTTTTTTTTTTTCAAGAGGCAATTGGACTTTCTGGGTTTTTCTTTTGAAGACGTTTCGCTTCTCGTCCAAGAAGCTTCTTCAGCTCTGACTGAATGGGGGGAAAGGAAGGATTGATACTCCTTGCAGACAGCTGGTCATTTGCATCCTTTCAGAGAGAGTAGTTGAGGCCACTTGGAGGTTTATCTCCATTCTCAGGGTCACCGGAGCGGTGCAAATGGGTGTGGCGCCTTGTACAATAGGGGTCCCCAACCTTTTGGACCACAAGGACCACCAAGTTCATCATTTTAAATCCTGCGGACCACTTTTTTTTTTGAAATCTATTGTCCAATTTATCTTGAATTTCATCCATTTTTGACTCTAGTAAATTAGTATTTGTATCCAACCGAATCATGAATTCTGGCAATTTTAAAATTTTTTGCTGCAAAAAGTCAAACTTGGATTTCACCAATTCCTTAGTTTCCTGCTTAAATTTTTCAAGTTGCTGATTCACAATCTCATCCCTTCTTTCAATCTCCTCTAAGAGAAATTCTATTATATTAAAATCAGGTTTCTGGGACTGAAGAGTTAAAACATATTGCTTTAAATTCTTGGTGGGGGAATCCCCCCCACCTATTTGTTTGTCTGACTTCACAAGCCTCAGTGCCATGTTTCCGCCTAAGCAGGCTTTGTTAGAAGAAGAAAAAAAAAAAACAAGACAAAAGACTTCCAGCCAGCAACACTCAAGCCTCCAGGGAAAAAAGAGAAAAACAAAAACAGGAGCGGAGTTTTGTCTACAAATGTAGCCAGTGGTATTTATTCCGCTACATTGTAATAATAAAAAACGGAAGAACTTTCCCTCTCAAACTCTTCTCCAGCCGCGGCAGACGCCATTTTAAAAAGAAACTTTTTTCCTCTTTCTCTTCCTCTATTCTCTTAAGTAATTTTTAAAAGATAAGTAAAATACTTGCGCTTCAGTATTACAGGTCCAGCTCACATTTTCTTTGAGTAATCTGTCAAATTCGCAAGCTTGCTTTTGACGCCTGGCTCTGCATTAGCAGAGGTCTCCCAAAGCCCGGAGCAACGGCTGGGGATATGGGGCATCTCATCCGCTCCATCCCAAAAGTAAAAGAAAAACTTTTGGGACTCTGCAGAGAGTTCTACCCACCCCTGCCGGCTCTATCTCCGTTTCCTCATGGGAACGGAGTTTTTTCGAGCCGCCGTTCCGTTGTGAAGGCGGCTCTAACAGGCAGTGGAAGCTGACGATCCCTAAGGAACGTCTGGCGGCGGCCAGCAGCAAACAGGAAGTCCCAATCCTGCGGACCACTAATACGAATCCAGTGCGCCGCTTGCTGAAGCGCCTGGACTCCCGGTGACAGGATGGGGTCCTTCAGGCACTCTCCCTAATCTCTCTCTCTCTCTCCCCCCCTCTCTCTCACTCTTTCTCTCTCATTCTCTCTCTCTCTCTCTCTCATTCTCTCTCTGATTCCCTCTCTCTCTCTTTCTCTCTCTCTCTCTCTCTCATTCTGTCTCTTTCTCTCTGTCTCTTTCTTTCTCTCTCTCTCTCTCTCATTCTCTTTCATTCTGTCTCTTTCTCTCTTGGGATTCCCAGAAGCTGTTTTAAGATTGTTCTCTTTCTCTCTTTGAGAAGCTCACAAGAATTGGAAACGTCTTTCTAAACATTGACTGCATCGCAAGACCGAGCGCCCAAACAGGGGCCTTGGCAGGAGAAACGACGGGGGGTGGGTGGGGGGGAGTCTTGCATTGCACATTTTGTGACTCGTTGGCCTCTAGGGGTGCCTCTTGTTCCCCAAACAGAGCCCAGGGCCAAATGACGCCTTTATGCCCCCCCCCATATTAATTTGGAGGATTCTTTTTCTGCTCCTAAACCTTGATTGATTTCAAAGCCATCTGCTTTTCTTGCCACCCTTCGAGCTCCATTGGCTGGCATCGGAAGATCGGAGGTGCAGGGGGGGGCTTTCGACAGTTTTTTTTTTTTAATTAACACTCCAGTCTTGCTAAAAATTAAAAGAAAACAGCAGGAGAATGGTCTGTAGCGGCAGATTGTCTGGTAAAGCCAAGGATCAGGAAACCGGCTAAGCCCAAAACCTTCTGGCATTTCAGGATAAGTATCAGCATCTCCAGATGCCAAGGAGCTTCCAGGTCAACCAAAGATGTTTTAAATACAGGAGCTAAAGCAGAGCCTCCATAAATAGGGGCAGTGCATCCCTATATTCTGCAGGCAAACAGAAGAACTTTTTAAATAGAGAAACTGCCCGTCGTCCACATTCGGAGCCATCCCACCCGGAATGCATGACAAATGCCTTTCGGCAGAGCTGTGTATATGGTTCAGTTAATTTTAAATACAGTTGTGAAAAAAAAAAGAATCGACCAATTCGGATCCAGTGTAGCCTGAAATCTGTGGATGAAGGTTAACCTAATCGATCGGTATCCAAAGGATTGATTAAAGAGAATAAATTTAGGTTGCCCTACCTGATTTTTTTCCATCAGGTCTGGCGGTGGAGATTAATAACTTTGCGAGATGAGCTTTTGGGGAGATGCTGCTCCCCGTCGATTATGAGGTCACCAGACGTCTGGCTGTGCTGGGGTCCCTTCCACAGGGAGAATGTCTGTGTCGTGGCCTCTTGGCCGGCCGCCCCTCCAGCAGCCAAATCAGAGGAGGAGGAGGAGGCGTGGGAGTCAGGATCAGCATCAAGGCAACCTGAGAGCTCCGATGGGGAAGAGGGAATGGAGCTGGCAGAGAGAGAGATAGAGATAGAATTGGAGCCTGGGACATCCATCAGCCCTCCGATGGAGAGTCTACAGCCCCCAGGTCTGGAGGTGGCTGATGAGGAAGAGGAGGAACAGCTGGGTCCAGTGCCTGATGCGTGGATGCTCAGAAGGCAGAGGAGAGGAGAGCGCTGGAAATCTATGGGCCGGTCCTTGGGACGGAAGAGCCACTGCTGCTAGTGAAGCCCCCACCCTAACTCTGGGGATAAAAGGCAGGGGGTGGAGATGAATAGATGTGGCAGACAACTATTCTTCTACCGGCCATACTTATTAGCCTATGGTGAGAGAGAAACGTTTTCCCGGTGTTGCCGGCGCTCCTCATAAAGGAATCATTGATTTAACTTCAGAGGGTTTTTGGGAGCTGGGTCAGAACAGTTTGCTTTGTATTGAGGAGGGTCTGACCCCTGGCTTTGGCTCCCCTTGCAGGTGAATGGCCACCTGGACTACATGAAGCAGATGGACACCATCCTGAAGGCCGTGGGGCTCAAAACGAGGCAGGGCCTGCAAGAACAAGGGGGCCTCCTGGGAGGGCCTTCTCCCCCCAGCGAGGAGGAGAAGCAAGGGATGCCTCCAGATGGCGCAGCCTCTGAGGGGCCCAGTAGGCTGGGCAAACCCGACATGGATGGACCCGAGGATGGGGCAGGCCTCAACGGCGATGAAGACTCCTGGTGCTGGGAGCCAGTCTCCGCTCCTGGACAAGAATGTGCGGTTGCTCCAGCAAGGGGATCTAAAAAGGGATCAGCCTCCTGAAATTCTCACCTCCTCTTGATATTCCCAAAATCTTCTCTGCGGACCTTGGGGTGCCCCGACACCCCGAGGAGATGCATTTTGCACGGATGTTCTGAGCTAGGCTTCCCAAAAGCGTGAAGCAGACTCCTTCTCCCGACATATTATTATTAATAATTTTTATTAAGTGACTGTGAATTCCTCTCATTCACATCCAGCAAAGTCTTTCAAGGGAGAATTGACAGTCACAGACCTTATCTGGCTTGGAGAGCTGCCAGGCCGATATCTTCAAAACTTGGCAAGGAGTTTCGGAGAGTCACGAACCAATTAAGCGAACTAATTGTCTCCTGCAAACTCCCCTCCCCTTTCGCTCCTCTTTTATTCCCTCTGGGAGGGGCCATTCACTGTCCACCTGCGGCTTTACTCCTGAGTCGCCCCTTGTTCTTCAGCTGTTCCCTTCGTCTGGCAACTCTGCGCATGCGCACACTGGGAACAGGCTCCAGCTGTTTGTCTGCCTCACTGATGTCTGCCTCCAAAGGCAGCTGATAATTGTCAGACGGCGCTGGCCCCCTCTCTGCCTCCGATGCAGAGCCCTCATCCGAGCCTTTCCCAGACTCCAGGAACTCGCCCATATTCCTCCCCAACCTCCTCATTGTCCGAATCCGCTGCCAGCTCTGCTGGCCGCTGCGGGTCACAACACTAGGGCTGTTTAGAAGAACTGTGTCTTTTTTCTCTTGTACTTGATCCCACGACCCTGGAAAACCTCCAAAAAACTGACACGAGTCAGCAACTCCCTCTGCACTCTTTTTCTCCGAGGCCTGGTATCCTTCCCCTGAACATGGAGGCTCTGTTTCTTGATTGCCTGCCCCGTCTCTGGCTTGCGTCAGAAGCCGGCGCTCCGAAACCTCAGCTCTGCGAGTCCCTGACTACAGCTCCCATTCTCCACTGGCAGCAGGGGTGGCTTTGTAGTCCAATCGTGTCCGGGGGAAGTGAACCTTGGAAGGGCTAACCCCCCCCCGTCCCCCCTCCCCACAGCTCGTGCTTTTTTTTCCCCCCCCCTTTTTTTTTTTTAAAAAAAAAGGTTAGCAAGTTAAGATCATGTTAAGAAGAGCTGTTTCGATCTCCCCCCTGAGCCAGACTGCGAGGAAGGAAGGATCTCTCTGGATTTAGGAGTCCTTGTTTCGATCTCCCCCCTGAGCCAGACGGCGAGGAAGGAAGGATCTCTCTGGATTTAGGAGTCCTTGTTTCGATCTCCCCCTGAGCCAGACGGCGAGGAAGGAAGGATCTCTCTGGATTTAGGAGTCCTTGGATCCTGCGCCGGCCACCCTCCCAAGCCTTGGGGAGCAGAGCAGAGCAAATCAAATTTACGACCTTTGTTGCCACAGCCACGTTAAGTGAATCACTGCAGTTCTTAAGCTAGTCACATGGTTGTTAAGTGAATCTGGCTTCCCCGTGGATTTGCCTCGTAAAAGGGGATCGGGTGGCGCGCATACATACACCCTGGGGACAGTGCAACCATCATAAATGCAAGTCAGTTGTCAAAAGTGTTTGATCATGTGGCCACAGATGAATGCTGCAATGGTTATAAGCGTGATTTTTATTTATTTATTTATTTATATGCCGCCCTTCTCCGGAGACTCAGGGCGGCTTACAATGCGCTAAGCAATAGCCTTCATCCTTTTGTATATTTATACAAAGTCAGCTTATTGCCCCCACAAACTGGGTCCTCAATTTACCTACCTTAGAAAGGATGGAAGACTGAGTCAACCTTGAGCCTGGCGAGATTCGAACCTGCAGTAATTGCAGGCAGCTGGTCTTAATAACAGGGTGCTTTAGACCACTGTACTACCAAGGCTCTGGCCATAAGTCACTTTTTTTTGTGCTGCTGTAACTTCGAACAGTCACTAAACAAACTCTTAGACAAGAAAAAACCAAAATTACACATATAGACTGGGTGAAAGCAGGCTTAATAGCAGTAACTGTGAGAGGGATCCTGGAGTCTTAGTGGACAATCAGCTAAATATGAGCCAGCAGCCAAAAAAAAAGCCAATGCAATCCTAAATTGCATTAACAGAGGGATACAATCAAGATCAAGAGAGGAACTAATACCACCCTATAAAGCCTTAGTAAAACCACACCTAGAATCCTGCATCCAGTTTTGGTCACCACACTATAAAAAATATGTTGAGACTCTAGAAAAAGTGCAGAGAAGAGCAACCAAGAGGATTAGGGGACTGGAGGCTCAAACATACAATGAACAGTTGCAGGAACTGGGCATGGCTGGTCTAGTGAAGAGAAGGACCAGGGGAGACAGGATAGCAGTCTTCCAATATTTGAGGGGCTGCCCCAGAGAGGAGGAAGGGGGTCAAGCTGTTCTCCAAAGCATCCGAAAGCCACACAAGGAACAATGGATGGAAACTGAACAAGGAGAATTTCAACCTGGAAATAAGGAGGAAATTCCTGACAGTGAGAGCAATCAACCCATGGAACAGAAGCTGCCTTCGGAAGTTGTGGGAGCTTCATCACTGGAGGCTTTCAAGAAGAGACTGGACTGCCATCTGTCAGAAATGGTGTAGGGTCTCCTGCTTGAGTGGGGGTCTGGACTAGATGACCTATAAAATGACCTTTCCAACTCTGTTAATCTGTATTTGAACGGCCTGCTAATATATTACACATTTGAAAGGTCTGTTGTTATAAGACGACGACATGTAAGTCATAATAATGACTCACTTTGGATCTCTTCAGGGACACGGTGGCTCAGTGGCTAGGATGCTGAACTTGTCGATCGAAAGGTCGGCAGTTCAACAGTTCAAATCCCTAGTGCTGCGTAACGGGGTGAGCTCTTGTGACTTGTCCCAGCTTCTGCCAACCTAGCAGTTCGAAAGCACGTAAAAAAAAATGCAGGTAGTAAAATAGGGACCACCTTTGGGAAGGGAACAGCGTTCCGTGCGCCTTTGGCGTTGAGTCATGCCGGCCACAGGACCACGGAGACGTCTTCGGACAGCGCTGGCTCTTCGGATTTGAAACGGAGATGAGCAGCGCCCCCTAGAGTCGGGAACGACTAGCACGTATATGCAAGGGGAACCTTTTACCTTTTTCCTTTTTGGATCTCTTCACCAGTTGCCATGTCTGTTACTGACCACAAGAGGGCAGTTGCCCTGGCCTTCACCAGCCACCCTGTTCTTTGTGGAGACGATGTTAATTTGCAATTTTTATCTCATCATATTATTTCATTTCTAAGTGCTTAGCTGTTCTGAGTCTTCATCCAAGCAGAGAGGAAAAAAATTAAGAATAAGCGGCCCGGGAAAGGCTGTCTATCCCTCTGCCGAGGAGGAGAGACTCAGCTGGCCTTTGCTGTCAGGTTAGGTTTTAATTTGTACTTCCCATATCCTCTTCCCTTTTAAAAAAAACACACACATTTTATTAGGTCCCTTGGGTGCTGCTCAGAGCAGAGAGGGCCCTGGTGGTGGCAACGGGAGCAATAATCATAACACAAATGGGGCATTTTTCTTGCAATTCAGTTGCTCTGTGCAGCATTGGTGGCACCGGCTATTTTCTGCAACCAGGGAGACCAAGAGAGACGGAGCAGACAGCAGGCGGGCATAAAGTGGGACAAATTTCTTTAATTGGACATTTTCAATTCGTACGAAAGACTTACCAAAAGGCAATCAGGCTAAAAGGAGACTGAGGGAGACCCCGCTTCGCCCTAATCGTTTTCCAGCTATGTCCATGTGAGCAAACACACTTGGGGAGGGGGCATGTTAAGGACACAAACTGGGCTTAACTTTACTTGGGGTTCAGTAGTGAACAGGAGTTAAATTTCCAGGAAATTTCCATTTCATTTTAAATGGCCTATAACGGCAACAACTAGTCTAGTGAAGAGAAGGACCAGGGGAGACATGATAGCAGTCTTCCAATATTTGAGGGGCTGCCACAGAGAGGAGGGGGTCAATCTACTATTTCCAAAGCACCCAAAAGCCGGACAAAGAATAATGGATGGAAACTGAACAAGGAGAGATTCAGTCTGGAAATAAGGAGGAATTTTCTGTCAGAGAGAACAATCAACCGATGGAACAGAAGTTGCCTTCAGAAGTTGTGGGAGCTTCATCCCTGGAAGCTTTCAAGACGAGACTGGACTGCCATCTGTCAGAAATGGTGTAGGGTTTTCCTGCTTGGGTGGGAAGGGGGTTGGACTAGATGACCTCCAAGGTCCCTTCCCACTCTCTCAATCTATGTCTGACCACTTAGCAATAGCACCAATAGATTCCTTCCAGCACTGTAGCTCAGAGAGGCAGGCAGGCTGGGGATAATAGGTTACCGTAGCTTGTAAAAAAATAATGCAGAAAACTGGCCAAGAGCTGTGAAGGGCGAGGAAGGTAGGGGGATGGATCGATGGTCCTTTTGTGTTAGAAACGGCATGTTTCCCAGGCCCAGCCAAGAAAGGGATGTAATAAAACACTCAGATCTGGCGAGGGGAAATATTGCACATCGTTGGGATTTCAGATGTATTATTATTATTATTATTTTTTTAAAGCCAGGATTAAGCAGCGCACAGGTGACACAATCATGGATTATCCTGGCTTGCTTGTTGCTAACCCTGGTTTTGGGGAGGGGGGAAACGAGGAAAAGCTTTCCTGTGTGCAAGGTGGAAAACGAGGTTCTGGTTTTTGGGAAAATGGCAGAGGGGAAGGCTGGGGCAGCGAGCAGCCGGTCTGCAGGTGGGAGAAGGGATGGGAAGGTTGCATTGGGGTGTAACTCCAGGAGGTTTAAAAACACAGCCAGGGCAGGCCTCCGCTGTGCTTCCCTCTTAATGTTCTGACCTAGGTTTCCCAAAAGCACGAAAGCCGACTCCTCGTCCCGATAAAACCCCATTTATTTAGTTTAAAGGGAATTCCTCTCCAGCAAAGTCCCGGCCAACCGTCTTGCAAGAGATTTCACAATTTACAGATCTTGATCAGGCTTGGAGAGCTGCCAGGCCGATATCTTTCCGACGTCACTCTGTAGCAGGCAATACTTAGCAAGAAAGAAGTCAGGAACAGATCTTCACTCTAATGAATTGAATGAATTGGCTCCTGCAAACTCCACTCCCCTTTTGCTCCTCTTTTATTCCCTCTGGGAAGGGCCATTCACTGTCCACCTGTGGCTTTACTCCTGAGTCGACCCTTGTTCCTTAGCTGTTCCCTTCTCCTGGCAGCTCTGTGCATGCGGACACTGAGAAAAGGCTCCAGCAGTTCCTCTGCCTCACTGATGTCCGACTCCAAAGGCAGCTGATAACTGTCAGACGGCCCTGGCCCCCTCTCTGCCTCCGACGCAGAGCCCTCATCAGAGCCTCCCCCAGACTCCAGCACTGGCCCATGTTCCTCCCCAACCTCCTCACTGTCTGAGTCTGCCGCCAGCTCTGCTGGCGGGCCACAACACTTAAACACGCAAGCACATGCACACATATGTTTAGTTGGCCGTGTTCTGCAACCGCGTACAAACGGGGGTGAGGGGGAATCATGCTAGAAGTCATCCAAGATGCGAGGCTGGCGGGCAGAGGAAAAAAAAAGAATAAGATCTGAGGATGGAGAAGATGAATCCGGGTGAAAGGAAGGACATTTGTGGATCTGGAGGTGGATGCTCGACCGGCGGAGTTGTCTCCCGCATCCCCAGCACAGGTTAGAAACAACCGGTCAATCTGGAGCCGAGTCGGGGCAGCGGTCAGTCCGAAGGCGTGTTCAGATAGATGAAGTTCAACTTCGGCTCTGGCCGCTCGGCATCGGAAAGATGAAGGGAGTTGGCCCGCGTGGGCGGAAGGAAGCCGAGCGTCTGGCTGCTGTGGTCGTTGCCGTGGACCATGGAATCGGCCGAGTCCGTTTCCCCTGGCAGAGTCAGGGCGTTCCCGAGGGAAACCCCCGGCCGAGGGCCGCTGTTGGAATTCCTGAGGGAGAGCGAGACCCGGCTGGGCCTGCGTTCCCACGCGCGGGGACAACAGGGCAGGTACTTGGCCATGGCCCTCTTGAAGTCCCGCATGAAGAGCGGGTAGATGATGGGGTTCATGGTGCTGTTGCAGTAGCCCAGCCAGGTCAGGAGGTCGAAAAAATCCTCCGAAATGCAGTTGCAGACCGCCTGGAGGAAGCGAGAAGAAGAAAGGCCATTGAAGGGGAAGCGAAAAAGAGAAGAAAGACGGAACAAGAGGGGCTGCCGAAGCTGGCGTTTTTCCATAATGCAGGTAGTCCTCGACGTACGACCACAACCGAGGGCAAAATTTATGCTGCTAAGCGAGACAGTCGTTAAGTGAGCTGTGCTCCATTTTAGGACCTTCCTTGCCTCAGTTGTTAGCAATAGCACTTCGGTTTACATACCGCTTCACGGGACTCTGTAAACTAAGCGGTTGACAGAGTCAGCCTCTTGCCCCCCAACAATCTGGCTCCTCGTTTTACCCACCTCGGAAGGACGGAAGGCTGAGCCGACCTTGAGCCGGTCAGGATCGAACTGCTGGCAGTTGGCAGAATTAGCCTGCAATACCGCATTCTCGCCACTGTGGCCCCACGGCTCTTAATAGAATAGCACTTAGATTTACCGTTTTTCCCCGAAAATAAGACCCTGTCTTAAATTTTTTTGAACTGGGAAATAAGCGCTTGGCCTTATTTTCGGGGAGGGCTTATTTTCAGGGGTGGCTTATTTTAGGGCATGTGCTCCAAAGCCCAATTGGGCTTATTATCGGGGGAGGTCTTATTTTCAGGGTAACAGGGTATATACCACTTCACAGTGCTTCACAGCCCTCTCTAAGTGATTTACAGAGTCAGCCTGTTGCCCCCAACAATCTGGGTCCTCATTTTACCCGCTTCAGAAGGATGGAAGGCTGAGTCCACCTTGGCTTTTGGCATGCAACGGCAAAAAGGTTACCGGTGGGCCCAGCAGGCCCATTTTTCACCCTCCCCAGGCTCCAGAAGCTTTCTTGGAGCCTGGGGAGGGCAAAAACAGCCTCCCCCCACTTCCCGGAGGCCCTCCAGTGGCCGGAAATGGCCCATTTCCCGACTTCTGGTGGGCCCGGAAAGCCCGAAAATCAGCTGGCCGGCATGCACGCTGGAGCTGAGCTAAGGCAACGCTCGCGTTCCCACCGATATGGCTCTGTGTGCCACCGGTGGGACGCGTGCCACAGGTTCGCCATCACGGTATTAGGGGTTGGGACAGATGAGGACAATTGCCTTCCCAAACTGCTTTTACTAACGAGGCGTTGCTTCTCGAGTATTAAAACAAAAAACAACTCATCATTTTGTGCACTTTTAGTTGATGCAAAAGTGGGGGGAGGAAGCTTTAAAAATAAAAATAACGTGATTTTTGGGATGAGAGTAAAAAGGAATCAAAATAGCCAGAGCCACCTGAGGATTTAAACTCGAATTTCCCGGATCACAAGAAGATGCCAAGAAGTGGTTGTCCCAGAGGGCCTTTTTTCAGGAGGCAACTGGACTTCCTTGTTTTTTTTCTTTGAAGACATTTCGCTTCTCATCCAAGAAGCTTCTTCTGGAAATCCATTCCAGAGAAGAAGAAAAATTGCAGACTCCAGGAACCAGGAGCACCAACTCAGGTGACCCTGAGGACACAGGTAATCCTCCAGGTGATCGTAAACGACCCGCTTAAAAGGATGCCAATGACCAGCTGTCTGCAAGGAGTATCAATCCTTCCGTTCCTCACCATGCAAGTCAGAGCTGAAGAAGCTTCTTGGATGAGAAGCGAAACGTCTTCAAAAAGAAAAAAAACCAGAAAGTCCAGTTGCCTCTTGAAAAAAAAAAGCACCTTTAGGACACCTGGATGGCTACAGACAAGAAGTGGGAGATAATTGGAGCTGAGAGGATTCCCAATTTCCCTGCCAGCCGCCCCCACCCCAGGATCCAGGGGTGAAATCCAGCAGGTTCTAACAGGTTCTGGAGAACCGGTAGCGGAAAATTTGAGTAGTTCAAAGAACCGCAAATACACCTCTGGCTGGCCCCAGAGTGGGGGGGGGAATGGAGATTTTGCAATATCCTTTCCCCAGGAGTGGGGAGGGAATGGGGATTTTGCAGTATCCTTCCCCCAGGAGTGGGGGAGGGAATTGGGGGATTTTGCAACATCCTTCCCCCTGGATTGGGGAGGGAATGGGGATTTTGCAATATCCTTCACCCCAGGAGGAGTGGGGAGGGAATGGGGATTTTGCAGTATCCTTCCCCCAGGAGAGGGAATGGGGATTTTGCAATATCCTTCCCCCAGGAGTGGGGAGGGAATAGGGATTTTGTAGTATCCTTCCCCCAGGAGTGGGGAGGGAATGGGGATTTTGCAATATCCTTCCCCCAGGAGTGGGGAGGGAATGGGGATTTTGCAGTATCCTTCCCCTGCCACGGCCAAGCCATACCCACCAAGCCACGGCCACAGATCCAGTAATAAAAAAAATTGAATTTAATCACTGCCATGTTCCCTATCCTCTCTCTACCCCCTTGCAACCTTCTCTGGGGCGGGGGAGAATTTACCTGCAGAGTGCTTACCTGAGCCATGTTGCAGACAAAGAAAGGCAGCCAAGCCACAAAGAACATGCCCAGGAGGATGCCAAGGGTCAGGCTGGCCTTGAGCGCCCGTCGGCTGTGCTTGTTGGCAATCTTACGATGGTGACTCACCCCGCTTCCTTGGCCCTGATCTCGGGGAACCTGTGAAGAACCCCAAAAAGCAGAAGGAAGTCAAGATATTCGTTCTGACCTAGGCTTCCTGAGAAAGCATCAATGACAATCTTAGTCCCCAAAAAAACTCTTTCATTGAGACGGCTGTGAATTAGGGTCATTCACAGCCCGTAACGATTCACAAACAGTCTGTGCAGATTCCGATAGATGTCTGCTCGAGTGGACACAGTCTTCCAGGGTAATGTTGATAAGCAGCCACCTTTATCTCCCTTGAAACACTGGCCAATTAGTTTTGCAAGACCCAACGCGAAGGGCTAAATTGATTAATGGCATATAAAGGCAGAGATCTCTGTAATGGTAGTTTAATACTCTGACGATGTCAGCAGATGGCTGACGAAAGCTTAGTAACATAAAATTTTAATTCTTTTAAAATTTTAAAATCTTAAGTTCCGGAGTTCGCAGTATGTCTGCTTCTTTTTTTTACTACTATACCTGGAACTTGTATTTTTAGAATAGTTTGTAATAGATAGATAGATGGATGATAGATAGATAGATAGATAGATAGATAGATAGATAGATGATAGATAGATAGATAGATAGATAGATAGATGATAGATAGGTAGATAGATAGATAGATAGATAGATAGATAGATAGATGATAGATAGATAGATAGATAGATAGATGATAGATAGATAGATTATAGATAGATAGATGATAGATAGATGATAGATGATAGATAGATATAGATGATAGATAGATAGATGATAGATAGATGATAGATAGATGATAGATAGATGATAGATAGATAGATGATAGATGATAGATAGATGATTGATAGATAGATAGATGTTAGATATATAGATAGATGATAGATAGATGATAGATAGATGATAGATTGATAGATGATAGATTATAGATAGATAGAGATGGATACAGAGATACATACTGTACATACATATCTATATCTACCTACCTACGTACCTTTATCTATCTATCTATCTATCTATCTATCTATCTATCTATCTATCTAATATCTAATCTATCATCTGTCTATATTTCTGTCTGTCTGTCTGTCTGTCTGTCTGTCTATCTATCTAGAATAGATAGCTCACCCCAAATAATTCTGATTTAGAATAGAATAATAAGAGTTGGAAGAGACCTTGGAGGTCTTCTAGTCCAACCCCCTGCCCAGGCAGGAAACCCTCCACCACTTCAGACAAATGGTTGTCCAATCTCTTCTTAAAAACTTCCAGTATTGGAGCATTCACAACTTCCGGATGCAAGTTGTTCCACTGATTAATTGTTCTCACTGTCAGGAAATTTCTCCTTAGTTCTAGGTTGCTTCTCTCCTTGATGAGTTTCCACCCATTGCTTCTTGTCCTGCCCTCAGGTGCTTTGGAGAATAGCTTGACTCCCTCTTCTTTGGGGCAACCCCTGAGATATTGGAAGACTGCTATCATGTCTCCCCTGGTCCTCCTCTTCATCAAACTAGACATACCCAGTTCCTGCAACCGTTCTTCATATATTTTAGCCTCCAGTCTCCTAATCCTCTTTCTTGCTCTTCTCTGCACTATTTCTAGCGTCTCCACATCCTTTTTACATCGTGGCGACCAAAACTGGATGCAGGATTCCAAGTGTGGCCTTACCAAGGCCTTAAAAAGTGGCATCAACACTTCACGTGGTCTTGATTCTATCCCTCTGCTGATGCAGCCTAGAATTGTGTTATGATTTTTTCCAAGTTCATGTGTTAAAAATAGACAAGCAGCAGATTGGTGTAAAAAAACTGCATGTATCAGACTTCAATTTATCACCCTCCAAAAAAGAAATAATTTAGAGAATTATTTGCCTCAATACCCTAACTGATAACTTGGAAAATTGGAGTCAGTTTCTCTGTTTTTCTCCCAAAAAAAAGGGGGTGAGGGGGAAATTCCAAGCCAAAAACCAGCAAATGCTTATTTGCATCGACTAAGAACGAGGGGAAGTAAGATTTCTTAAAAACCCCTGTCTTAGCATTTAAATGCAATTACAATTATGCTCCTTTTTCTCCTTCTGCGGGCTATGGAGTCAATTAGAGGCAATTATTGCCAAGTTAAATTACTTGGCGCTTACGATTCTTCACTACCACCTCAAATTAGAAATAATGAAGCTGTAGTTCTGATTCTAAAAAAAAATAAATTCTAATTTCTATAATTCGAAGAAAAGAAGGCATTGCTCTTGACCTGCATTTGAATCAGGAATTGCCAAGAACGGAATTTAAACGTTGGAGGGTTTGAACTATTTCTACCTTTAGTTGAATTTGCATAAAATGTTGATTAACTTATTATTAGTTAGAGAGCAATAGGCCACCATGTTAATAATGACTGTGCTTATTCTGTTTTTTTTTTAAAACAACTCTTCTAATAGATGTTGCCCTATGATGGATCTTGCGATAGTTATTTGGAAATTGACCAGAATTTGCAGTTAAATATATCTCAAAGAATTCCATTACTTTTCTAGTTTTCCCTCTACATCCTGGTTTACATATGGCACTGAACCAGACATGGGTTTCAGCCGGTTCTGACCAGTTCTGGAGAACCGGTAGCGTTGGTGGGAGCAGAAATTCTTGAGTATTTCGGAGAACCGGTAGTAAAAAAATTCTGACTGGCCCCGCCCCCCATCTATTCTCTGCCTCCCAAGTCCCAGCCTGATTGGGAGGAAATGGGGATTTTGCAGTGACCTTCCCCTGGAGTGGGGAGGGAATGGGGATTTTACAGTATCCTTCCCCTGGAGTGGGAGGGGAGGGAATGGGGATTTTGCAGTATCCTTCCCTGGAGTGGGGTGGGAATGGAGATTTTACAGTATCCACCCTGCCACCCGCCCGCAGAACCGGTAGTAAAAAATTTTGAAACCCACCACTTCACTGAACCATAGTTTAATCCTCATTCCATAAACCCTAGTTAGCTAAGCTTACATGTGCTATAAGCTCGGTTTATAAACCACCATGCTGAATTCCAAATGCTAAACTAATGACATTAAGGCTTGATGGAGTTAAGACAATTTAACTTGTCCTATCTAGGTTCATTAGAGCTTATTTTTGTGTAAACAATGAAGTCTAAATCTTCTGGGTTAAATAGGCAGATTTTTAATTTATTTCTTTAAGCACTGGATAGTGGTTGAAAAGTTCCTGTTTTTTTAAATGTACATCTTTGGTGGGGGAGAAAAAATGAACAAGCTTGTGTGGCCTAAAGATTTGGACATCAGACCTGGAAATAAAAAAAGGGTTTAAAACTACTGAAATAACAGAAGAACCTGCTGGAAAATGTTGTCATGGGAAGAGAATATCAAAAGAAACTGCAGAGAAATGGTAAGTTATAATTTATTATAACTTGGAAGTATTTATACCCATTTCATCTTAGATGCTCTCAAAGACAATATAGTTAGACTATTTCCGTGATGGCGAACCTATGGCACGCGTGCCAGAAGTGTCATATGTACCGGAAGGAAGTGTCACACATGCCGGAAGGAAGTGTCACACGTGCCGGAAGGAAGTGGCAGGCGTGCCGGAAGGAAGTGGCAGGCGTGCCGGAAGGAAGTGTCACACTACCGAAAGGAAGTGGCAGGCGTGCTGGAAAGAAGTGTCACACGTGCCGGAAGGAAGTGGCAGGGATGCCGGAAGGAAGTAGCAGACATGCCGGAAGGAAGTGGCAGGCGTGCCGGCAGGAAGTGGCAGGTGTGCTGGAAGGAAGTGGCAGGCGTGCCGGAAGGAAGTGGCAGGCGTGCCGGAAGGAAGTGGCACGCAGAGCCATTTTTCCAGGAACGCCAGCTGTCACACATTGCTTTTCCGGGGTCCGCGCACACATCCGCACCGGCCAGCTGCTCTTTGCGCGCATGGGAGTGCCGGAAACCGGAGGAACAGCTCCCTGGCATGCATTCGCGCCCCAGGAAGCTGAGCTTCCGGTATGTGCACGCTGACCAGCTAGTCTTCACATGCACATGCGCACCAAAAACCGGAAGACCAGTTGATCGGCGCGCATGTGAACGCCGGAAACCGGAAGCTCAGCTTCCTGGCGCGCGCATGCATTCCAGGGAGCTGCTTTTTCCTTTTCTGGTGCTCCCGCGTGCGCACGCGTGCTCTGCCGTTTGGGCTGAAAAGGTTCGCTAACACTGAACTACATGTCAGTGTTATGCCACAGGCCCCGAATGAAGTTATCTTCTGCACCCATGAGGACTAGAAACTTAGTCCACTGTTTTTTTTTCAGCCCTTAATAATTTAGAAGGGAGATTTTTTTGGGCAAGCCGGATTCCTTTTCCGGAATGATGCTGCCCGCAGTCCTGGTGTTTTTTTTTTTTCCTTCTTAACAAGCTGCTTGGTGACTAAACGATATTAGTTAATTACGTTTCATTTGCTGGGAACATTTGTCTTTCTCGGCCCAAACCCCCACCTCCCTCGCAGGGGGAGCTCCAGAGTCTTCCCATGCCAAGAGAAAAATAAGATTATGTTATTCATCCAAGCCAGCTCCGGTGTCCCACTCCTTCTCAAGGCATAAAATCCTGCTGGCGTATTTAATTTCCCACCAGCTTAAGTGCCTATTGAACTCTGCGAAAAAAAAAAAAGATTTAATTAGATTTTTTTTTCCTTCCAGAAGGAGGGAAAAGACTCGGTTGAGCTGCCCCAACAGGGTCTCCGAGGGCAAAAGGGCTGACCTGGCACCCTTCTAAGCCTGGTCTCTGGAGTTGTTCTCTTCCCCCAGGTTAGAAGATGTCTGCCCACCACCAATCCTGAGACATTTCCTGGGGAGATCCGTGAGAGGGGGGGCACTGTGGTTTTGTGCTGGTTGGCAGGGAGGGGAAGGAGGGGCGCAGGGCTGGCCTTCAAAAATTTTAGCAAGGGGATCTCTGCTCAGTTGCTGGGTGGGCGTGGCCATGGTGGGCATGGCCTAGTCAGCCTCCTGCACCATGGCAGGGTGTGTGGTGTGTTTTTGCCCTCCCCAGGCTCCGGAGGCTTTCCTTGAGCCTCCGGAAGGGTGAAAATGGCCTCTCTAGGCTCCGGCCTATTTCCGGCCTTACCGAACTTCCGGTAGGCCCGTTTTTCGCCCTCCCGAAGCTTCCCTGCACGGCCTGCCTTTACCTGCAGGCCGCGTGGGGACTCCTGGGAGGGGAGGGGTGGGCGGAGCCAGCCAGGAGTGGGATTGGGGGTGTTCCTCCAAACTGCACAGAATTTTAACTAGAGGTTCTCCCGAACCCCTGCGAACTCCCAGCAGCTCCTCCCTGATGGGGCCTGTAGCCAGGCGTGCTTGGAAAGCCCCACAAGGATAGGCTAAAATTCAACTTTCCTTCGTGTAAATTGGATTCTTGGGAATGGCCGAATCCTTGAGAACGTGGCAAGCCGGTCCCGGCCTCGATTTTGGTATCTTCTGTAGCTGGGTTGCAGTCGTGAACATTCGTTTGAGAATCTGGGAACTGCCTTAATGCCCTTTCTGGACTGGGCCAACGGCCCCATGGTCTACGGAACTCCATTTCATCCATCGATTTGCAGTTAACCGACACTTTTCCTTGGTGGGTTTGCCCAAGGGGTGAAATGTAAAATTTGTTACTACCGGTTCTGTGGGCGTGGCTTGGGGGAGTAATGTGACTGGGTGGGCGTGGCCAACTTTTTTTAAAAAAAAAATCAAAGCATTTTTTCTAATGCTTTGAAAAGACTCTGCCGATCAGGCAACTCAGCTGGGATCGTCAGAGGCTTTTCAAAGCATTTTTTTTTTACCACCACCTCTTTGGCCAAGAGGTTGCAGGAAAAAAATGCTTTGAAAAGCCTCTGACGATCCCAGATGAGCCGCGCGATCATCAGAGGCTTTTTTTTTTTTTTTTTTACTTTTAAAAGCATTTTTTTTCATCGGAAGAGGTTGTAGAAAAAATGCTTTTAAAAGTAAAAAAAAAAAAAAAAGCCTCTGATTTATTTATTTATTTATTTATTGGTTCGATTTATATGCCGACCTTCTCCGGAGACTCTGATGATCGTGCGGCTCAGCTGGGCACAGGGATGGGGATTGGGGGGGGGGCCCGCAGGGATTTTTGGTTCCGGTTCTCCAAACCATCCGCCGCCATCGCTACCGGATCGGGCGATCCGGTCCGAACCGGGAGCATTTCACTCCTGGTTTGCCCCCACCAAGATACAAAGCAGTTTCCCTCTCTTGCACCGTCTCCCTATCCCCTACCTTATGACGGGCCGGTAGACTGGCCTTGAAGGAGAGGCTCTACATCCAAACTAGGATCCAAATTTAGTTCTGATGTAGCTTTAATTCCTTGGCTGCCTCCGGGAAGCAATTAAGAGTCACTCTGTGCTTCCTCCGAAGCTGAGCAGTTGCTCCCTGCCTACTCACACATGGTACAGTGTGGTGGGTGGATTAACTGGGGAAGGGGGGAAAGGAAAACAGGGCTGGCACTGATATTTTTTTTCCTCCCTTCTTCCAAGGAACAGTTCATCTCCACCTCTGCTGGTGTTATTTTGAGAATTGCAGATATTTTTGCGGAGGACAAGAGAGTGAAAGAGGGGGGGGACCGGACAAAGAGCCCAGGCCTTTCAAACCGGCCCCTTCCCCAGACTCCTGAATTAGAAAAACTGATTTTTCAGCTGCAAAGATCTGGAGCCAGGTCTGAGCCCTTCTGATAGCCGAGGGGGGGGAATGCAGGTTTTTTTTTCAAGGCTTTAGCAGCTCCGTAATGATCAGTTGAAATGGAACTTCTCTGGACAGGGGCAGGCTATCTTAAGGGCCAGCATTTTGGAAATCTCAATTCCATTTTGGGAGGGAGGGAGGGAGGCATGAGCCTGATAGCTTGCATGTGGTACTCTCGGCGGCTGAGCTTGTCGTCTTCAGCTCAGGAAATATAAATCCAGAAAGAGTGAGTTTAGAAACTGGACTTTATTCCAGATATCAATGGACAAGTGTCACTCAATCTCATCTCTTTCAGTTAGCTGGTCTCTCTTGATTTTATGATTTTATGGTTGGTTTTAAATTTTGATATGGATTTTAAATTGATAAATTTTAAACTATGGGCCAAATTTTAATCGTACTTTATGTATAAATGTTTTTATTTGGCTGTTCACCGCCCTGAGTCCGAAAGGAGAAGGGCGGTATAGAAATTCGAATAATAAATAAATAAATAAATAAATAAATAAATAAATAAATAAATAAATAAATAAATCTCGATCTGCTACTGAATTGGAGGCCAAATTTTCCCACATCATAGTGCTGCCCTCTTGAGATTTGCCGCCCAGAGATTTGCGCTTCTCTCTAAAAAAGGGTATAAAACCGCTTTATGCCTTTCCAAGCTCATTCACGAGAATGCGGTGAAGTTGTAGTCGATATCTTATCTGCAGACTGGGTGTTTTTCCAGAGGAGGCCTCTGATTTTTATTTTTTAGCAATTAGGGTCCATGCCTTGCCTTCTCCCTAACCTTTCCACCAAACCCTCCAGGCCCTCCCAAAATAGATGCAACCTCTTTTTTCAGCACACCTGAGATGCTTTATTTGCGGAGGGACCACAGCTGGCAGCCCCCAACGCACCCAGGTTCTCACTTGGGGAGAAGCCGATCACTCTGCGTCTTTAGCATCAGAGGCTGGGCTGCCCCTGTCTTTAGATGGAGGTTTTTAGATTAGATTAACCGAGTCAGAAGGGACCTTCGAGGTCATCTAGTCCAACCCCCCGCTGCCGTAGCAGGAGACCCTACACCATTTCTGACAGATGGCAGTCCAGTCTCTTCTTGAAAGCTTCCAGTGTTGAAGCTCCCACAACTTCCGAAGGCAACTTCTGTTCCATCGATTGATTGTTCTCACTGTCAAGAAAATTTCTCTTTATTTCCAGGCTGAATCTCTCCTTGGTCAGTTTCCATCCATTATTATTCCTTGTCTGGCCTTCGGTGCTTTGGAAAATAGCTTGACCCCCTTCCTCCTCTCTGGGGCAGCCCCTCAAATATTGGAAGACTGCTATCCTGTCTCCCCTGGTCCTTCTCTTCATTAGACCAGCCATGCCCAGTTCCTGCAACCGTTCATTGTATGTTTTAGCCTCCGGTCCCCTCACCATCCTGGTTGCTCTTCTCTGCGCTCTTTCTAGAGTCTCAACATGAAGCAGGGACTCGCACAGGGGGTCTCCCACTCTCTGATGCATCGCATCGCATTGCACTAATAGCAGGCTCAATTAGGAGGGGAAATTCATCCCCAGAACGCAGACTCACACAGAGAGTCCAGTGGCTTTCTACGGATGCAGTAGAAAGTGGATGCCCAAACTGTTGGACTTGGCAAGAAAACATCGGTTTCCAAATTAATACAACCCCCCCCACACTCCCTTAAGAAAAGTTTCACTTGCAACCTTTGTTAAAGTTGCACGAAAATTCATTTGTCATTTCCCCCTTTTCTTTTCTTTCTTTTTTTTTTTTGCCCCGTCCTCCTTCAATTCGATGCACGAGAAACTGCTTTGCGGCTGCCTATTTTTCTTAAAACGAGGAGAAAACCTCCATGAAATGCTCGTTTCGTCAGACTTGGCCGTCTGGCAGTTCTGTTGGTTACACTACATGCCCCTTGAGCATGCTTGCTCTGCTAAATCCCAAATACACCATTCGAGAAATTTGAAAGCTGGTGGAAAGCGGGGCAGAAAAACAGAAGCCTCTGTTTAGGGGGGGACAGATAACGGGCCCGGAGTTCATCTTAATTTTCCGCGGCCTCTGACGGATGCAGTGCTAACGGTCTCCGTGCCTAGTTAAGTGGGAGGAAGATTTGGGAAATATCACTGTCTCTCTGAACATGCACAGAGTTAATTCATCCCTCTGGAGCAATCACATGGTGGGTCAATGGTCATTCACCAACCCGTTTGCCCTCCCGGGAATAACACTGTTCCGGACTGCTGTTTTGTTTACCTGTTGAGTTTGTTCACCGACGGGCTTGTTGTGGTGAGAGACGCCACCTGGAGAGCCTGTTTCCGGGCAGCCAGCAGGATCCGGCAGTAGGTGAACAAGATGGCCACCGAGGGGAGGAAGAAGGTCAGGCCGGACGCGATGAGGGCGTAAGGCAAGCTGACCAGCAGACGACACTGCTCCTCTTCCAGCTGCAGGGTGGCGTTGAGCGGGTGACGGTCGAACTCCAACTTGTGCCAGCCCATTTTGATGGGCAGGAAAGACACCAAGGCGGCCAGCGTCCAGGTGGCCAGAATGAGCCAGAAGGCCCGGCCGGAGGTCATCCTCAGCTTGTATTTGAGCGGGGAGATGATCAACAGGTAACGGTCCAGGCTGATGACGCACAGGTTGAGAATGGAAGCGCTGGTGCACATGACGTCGAAGGAGAACCAGATGGAGCAGAAGGCACCGTCCAGCACCCAGCGCCCATAGAGCTGGTTCAGCATGGCCGGGGCATGACCACCAAGCCCACCATCAGGTCGGAGAGGAAGAGGGACACCAGGAAGAAGTTGGAAGTGTTGCGCAGGAAACGCTGGCTGAAGATGAGGAGGATGAGGGCGAAGTTGCCCACCATGGTCAGGAAAATGACGAAGCAGAGGAAGGCGGCCGTCCAGGCGCTGCCACGCAGCCGAGGCTCCTGCCCGATCAGGCTGGCGTTGTGGCTGCCCGGCTGCCCGTCCATGGGGAGGAGTGGCACCCTTGGTATAGGGAAGACCGGATGCCAGGCTAAGTAGTCTCTTTCTCTCTCTCTCTCTCTCACTCTTCTTTGATAGGAATCTGGGCATCCCCCTGCTCTCCAGTTTTTGGGGTATCGCCACCAGCTGCCCTGACCCTCGTCCTGGGCGGCTGGCAGCCGTTCCCCATCTCCTACCTGTAGAGCATCAGATTCTCTTTAGAGGAGATTAAAAAAAAACGAGGATGAAAAGCAAAGCAGCGGTTTCCAGCCTCCTCTGCCTGCCCTGCTTGCTTGGCCAGGCTGGCGGCTGGCGTCGCGGGTGCCTCTCCCCTTTTCCCCGCTCTGGAGGGGTACTGAGACCTCCCCGGAGACGCAGAGCAAGGATCTTTTTCAGCACGGTGCTCGGTTGGTGGCAGGAGAGCCAAGCAGCTGGCTTGTTAACTGGAGAAGGGAGGAGAGTCAATCTGGACCTTTCGGCTGACTGCCGCTTGCTCGGGAACAGTTTGGGAGGGCGGGTGGGTGGGTGGGTGAGTGGAGGGTGGGAATGCTTCGGAGGAGTCGAATCGGGGCCGTGGGCTCTGCCCGTTTGGCAATGCCAGCTGGGGAACGGTGGTAAAGGAATCTGGGGAGCGAGGAGCGTGCCAGGCAAATAACAGGAATCGAAAAATTAAAAAATAGGAAATAAGGGGGGAATTGGCCAGTTTTTTCCTGCTGGCAGTCCAGTGGGCATCTATGCCTACTTGGTAGATTCTTGGGACGCTAACATCTCCTTCGCCACCTCAAGTGGATAGTTGTATGTTTTCTAAAGAAAAGAAGGATTGGGGGTGTGTGACATGACCGCGGTCTTCCAGTATTCGAGGAGGGGGGGGTTCTCCAAAGCACCCGAAGGCAGGACAAGAAACAAGGGATGGAAACTGATCAACGAGAGAAGCGACCTGGAATTGAGGAGAAACTTCCTAACAGAGAGGACCATTAACCAGCGGAACAACTTGCCACCGGAAATCGTGGGGGCTCCATCACTGGAGGGTTTTAAGAGGAGACTGGACAGTCACTTGTCTGAGATTGTATAGGTTCTCCTGCTTGAGCAGAGGGCTGGACTAGGTGACCTCCAAGGTCCCTTCCAGATTCTATTCTATTCTATTCTATTCTATTCTATTTTTTGATTTCTTATTCTATTCTATTATTCTCTTTTCTTCTGCTATTTTCTATTCTATTCTGTTCTGTTCTGTTCTGATTTCTTATTCTATTATTCTCTTTTTTCTATTATTCTATTCTATTCTATTCTATTCTATTCTATTCTATTCTATTCTATTCTATTCTATTCTATTCCATTCCATTCCATTCCATTCCATTCCATTCCATTCCATTCTGATTTCTTATTCTATTCTATTATTCTCTTCTCTTCTCTTCTCTTCTCTTCTCTTCTCTTCTCTTCTCTTCTCTTCTCTTCTCTTCTCTTCTCTTCTCCTCTTCTCTTCTCTTCTCTTCCCTTCCCTTCCCTTCCCTTCCTTCCCTTCCCTTCCCTTCCTTCCCTTCCTTTCCATTCTGATTTCTTATTCTATTCTATTATTCTCTTTTCTTCTGCTATTTTCTATTCTATTCTGTTCTGTTCTGTTCTGTTCTGTTCTGATTTCTTATTCTATTATTCTCTTTTCTTCTCTTCTCTTCTTCTCTTCTCTTCTCTTCTCTTCTCTTCTCTTCTATTCTATTCTATTCTCTTCTCTTCTCTTCTATTCTATTCTTTTCCAATCCATTCCATTCCATTCCTTTCCATTCCATATTTTCTATTCTATTCTATTCTATTCTATTCTATTCTATTCTATTCTATTCTATTCTATTCTATTCTATTCTATTCTATTCTTCCATTCCATTCCATTCCATTCCATTCCATTCCGTATTTTCTTTTCCATTCCATTCCATTCTGATTTCTTATTCTGTTCTATTATTCTCTTTTCTTCTCCTATTTTCTATTCTATTCTATTCTATTCTATTCTATTCTATTCTATTCTATTCTATTCTATTCTATTCACGTTCCCCTAAATTCAAGACAAAAAAATTGTACTTTTTTGAGAGCTACCACATCAAAGAGAAAGAAAACCATATTTTCCTTGATGCTATTGGATGTTGTGGGCATGAGATATGCTAAAGTGGAGATGCCTCATCCAGTGATTGTCTACCTGTGGGTAATTTTGGATTACGGGCTGCTTGGGTGCATTTCGCTGGTGGTGGCCTGGGCCTTGATGGGATCCAGCCAGCCCCTCGCTCCCCATTTGGTACTTTGCCTGTGATTCCTCCTCCTCTTCCCTCCTCCTCCTCACCAGCCTCCTGCGCTCTTTTCCAACTACAGGTAGTCCTCTCATTACAACCGTTGATTTAGTGACCGTTGGAAGTTACAACGGCACTGAAAAAAAGTGACGTATGGCCCTTTTCACACGACCATTGGAGCGCCCCCCCTCCCTCCCACGGTCCTGGGATCAGAATTCAGATGCTTGGTAACTGTCTCATAGTTATGACGGTCTTTGTGTCACGTGATCCCGTTTTGCGACCTTCTGACAGGAAAAGTCCAGCGGGGGGAGGGCCGGATTCACCTCATCACAACGATGGGGGGAGGGGCGGCAGAAAGTTTGTAAAACGGGGCAAAACTCCACATTCTTGACAAGCGTCTCGCTCCGCGACGGAAACGTTGGGCTCAGCGGCGGCAGTGGTAATGTTGAGGGCCGCCTGTACAGACTCGAACCCAGCCCTTCGGCTGTCAGCTGTTTGGCATCAGCCGGAGAAGCCCTGGATGGAGGCCGAGTCAATGCTAACCTACCCCTGTTTTTTTTTGGGAGGCAGTTCGTGGCCAAGCATTGCTCGTTTAACCAGGTGTTCAACCAGCAGGGTCTCTAACGTACTGAGATTGTTTGTTTTTTTTTTTCCCCCTGCCCACACAAAAGTCTCAAAAATAGTCTTTTTTCTTTTTTTTTCCCCCCCGTGAAGCCAGAAACCAATTATCTCAACGGTTTTGAATGGATTTCTGCACCTTTGCGATTGGCTGGCCCGTTCGAAGGGCAGGTAGGTGGGCCTTTTGACTCTTGTATCATTTTGGTTCCTGCTACGAGTTGGTGGGTGGGATGGAAATGCACGTCGCACACTGCAATTTCCCCCCTTTTTCCATATTCTGGGAGAGTTGGGGCTTTTTTTTTTTTTTTAAACTGTGGTTTTTATTTTAAAGTGCACTCAGCCCATTTTAATCCACGGGGGTCTGTGCGAACGGCGTCCCAGCACTGGCCATTTTCGGTTAGTGTGAAATGTAGTGAATTTGGGGGGGGGGAAACGGAGACTTCGGTGGTTAGGTGGGATTGCTCTGTTGCAACACCCACATTTTAGAGTTCTGATCAGTAGTGGGATTCAAAAAATTTTTACTACCAGTTCTGTGGGCTTGGTGGGCGTGGCATGGGCGGTGTGGCTTGGTGGGCGTGGCAGGGGAAGGATACTGTAAAATCTCCATTCCCTCCCCACTCCAGGGGAAGGATACTGCAAAATCTCCATTCCCTCCCCACTCCAGGGGAAGGATACTGCAAAATCTCCATTCCATCCCACTCCAGGGGAAGGATACTGCAAAATCTCCATTCCCACTCCACTCCACCCCACTCCAGGGGAAGGATACTGCAAAATCTCCATTCCCACCCCACTCCAGGGGAAGGATACTGTAAAATCTCCATTCCACCCCACTCCAGGGAAGGATACTGCAAAATCTCCATTCCCATCCCACTCCAGGGGAAGGATACTACAAAATCTCCATTCCCACCCCACTCCAGGGGAAGGATACTGCAAAATCTCCATTCCCTCCCCACTCCACAGGAAGGATACTGCAAAATCTCCATTCCCATCCCACTCCAGGGGAAGGATACTGCAAAATCTCCATTCCCTCCCCACTCCAAGGGAAGGATACTGCAAAATCTCCATTCCCATCCCACTCCAGGGAAGGATACTGCAAAATCTCCATTCCCATCCCACTCCAGGGGAAGGATACTGCAAAATCTCCATTCCCTCCCCACTCCAGGGGAAGGATACTGTAAAACCCCCATTCCCTCCCAATCAGCTGGGACTCGGGAGGCAGAGAATAGATCGGGATGGGGCCAGCCAGGTGTATTTACCGGTTCTCTGAATTACTCAAAATTTCCGCTACTGGTTCTCCAGAACCTGTCAGAACCTGCTGAATACCACCTCTGGTTCCTGATGCTTTTTTTTTAAAAAAAAAACCCAATTTTTGTCTGGTTTCCCCCCCTCTTGTCCCCTCTGTAGCAAAACTGGCTGTGCTTTTTGAAAAGCTTTTGAATTGTGAAGATTTGCATCCCCCTGGCCAGGAGCCCCTGAATAAAAAAAAAAAAAAGTGGAGGTCTAGTAAAAGTTCACACTCTAATTTATTTAAGGTGATGGTGGCAGTGGAAATAGCTACATAGGTTCTTTAAAAATATATATATACAGTGGGTGTGCATGAATGAATGTGCATTAAAACCGCCTCGGAGGCCTTCCCTGGTTCAAGAGCAAGAAAGGGGGCTCTTGTTTGTGCAAGGCTCCGTGTGAGCTCCATGGTCAAGATCGAAGCCGAAAACGTCGAGAGAGAAAGGACAACCTTTTTGGGATGCCACACAGCGCCCCAGATTTGTTCGGAAGGAATGCCCAACGGACTGCTGCAAGAAGAAGGTTTTAATACTTCCATCCTGGTTTGGCTCATTTGGTTCCAAACAGCCAAGAGCGATCGTTCAAAATCCCCCCTTCCTTCCTTCCTTCCTTCCTCCTTGTTTTCCAAAAGTCTCAAATGTTCTCCACGCTTTTTGTTAAAGTGCTACTTGGAAGTAAAGTCTGAACCGGAACCACAAGAGATAGAGGGTAAATATAGGGGACGGGCACAGTGGCGGGATTCAGCCGGTTCGAGCAAATCGGTAGTGAAATTACTGGCTGGCCCCGCCCCTTCTCCCCCCTTCCAGGAGTTCCCACGTGCCCCATTTTGGCTCCCAGATAAATGCAGGGAGGCCTCTGAGGCCCAAAACGGGGTGTGCGGGGGGGCAGTGCACCCCCCACAGCCCGTTTTCGCTCCCAGAAGCCTAGGGAGGTTTACTAGGCCCAAAACGGGGCGTGAGGTGGGGCAGTGCGCCCCCCACAGCCTGTCATCGCTCCCAGGAGACTGCAGGGAGGCCTACTAGGCCCAAAATGGGGCGTGGGGGGGGCAGTGCACCCCCCACAGCCCGTTTTCGCTCCCAGGAGCCTAGGGAGGCCTACTAGGCCCAAAACGGGGCGTGAGGGGGTAGTGCACCCCCCACAGCCCGTTTTTGCTCCCAGGAGCCTAGGGAGGCCTACTAGGCCCAAAACGGGACGTGAGGGGGGGCAGTGCGTCCCCCACAGCCTGTTATCGCTCCCAGAGGACTGCAGGGAGTCCTACTACGCCCAAAACGGGGCGTGGGGGGCAGTGCACCCCCCACAGCCCGTTTTCGCTCCCAGGAGCATAGGGAGGCCTACTAGGCCCAAAATGGGGCGTGAGGGGGGCAGTGCGCCTCCCACAGCCTGTTATCGCTCCCAGAGGACTGCAGGGAGTCCTACTAGGCCCAAAACGGGGCGTGGGGGGCAGTGCACCCCCCACAGCCCATTTTCGCTCCCAGGAGCCTAGGGAGGCCTACTAGGCCCAAAACGGGGCGTGAGGGGGGTACTAGGCCCAAAACGGGGCGTGAGGGGGGCAGTGCGCCCCCTACAGCCCGTTTTCGCTCCCAGGAGCCTAGGGAGGCCTACTAGGCCAAAACATGGGGCGTGAGGTGGGGCAGTGCGACCCCCACAGCCCGTTTTCGCTCCCAGGAGACTGCAGGGAGGCCTACTAGGCCCAAAATGAGGCATGGGGGGGCAGTACGTTCCCCCCCATGGCCCTTTTTTGCTCCCAGGGGGATGCAGAAGGCCAAGTGCTGCCTGTCCCAACCCCTGGCCACGCCCGCCATGGCCACGCCAACCCAGCCAGTCATTAGGGCAGAGAACCAGTTTTTAAATTGTTCGAATCCCACCACTGGATGGGCAGGAATTCAACCTGCTATGGGACCGGGAACTTTGGCTTCTAAAACATGGCTGGATTTAGTGGATCCAAGCAATAACTAACCCCAACGGTTCCCATCAAGAAAAAGAGCTTGGGTGCCCCTTACCCCACAGCCCTGTCCCCCTAAAAGCTTGTAGTAGTGTGTGAAAATGTGGGGGGGGGGCGCATCTCCCAACGGTGTCCCCTTCAGCATCAGATCCAGGAGAATCAAAAGCTCCAGCTGCAAAGGAAAGAAATTCCCCCTTTTACCCCAAAAACGCAACCAGATTCATGGCAGAGAGATATGGTTGTTTTCAAGAGATCGCGCTCCAGGGGTGGGAGGTGGGGGGGGGGGCGAGGAGAACCACTTGAAGACGCTTTCTCGAGTAGCTTCTGTGTGCGTTGTAGGGATCGTGTCTTGCACACCGGCGACGGAGTCGCGACTCAACCTCCTCTTGAGTGAGAAAAAAAAAGGGGAGAAATGATCTGGGCACCACGAGCTCAAGGCCAAAAGCATGGGTTAGATAGATGACTTGCTTAGTGTCCTCCAGAAATTCTGGACTACAACTCCCATCCCAGAGCCTTTCCTGGCTGGTGCGATGGAAACCGAAATCGAAGACCTCCGAGGACCCCAAACCTGTTCTGATAAACGTTCATAATACTGCTGAACAAGGTTTCTTCTCAGTATATATATATATATATATATATATCTTTATATATACGGGAAAAGCCCCTTCCCATGTTCCTAGGTGGCACACGGCAAGAAAATCCACGTTTCTTCTGCTCAGTTTTGAGCAAGGATCTCAGAGCAAAGGGAAGGAAGATGCATTCCATTCCTGTCGGCAACCTCCCCAAACTTTCACCATCCCCAAATCTGGAACGGGCTGAATCTCCAGAGTTCTCTTCGGAAAGCTGGCGACGGTGACTCCATCTTGGCAGGAAAAAGGGGCTTTCCATTCTCCAGCCGGCCTCTTCTCTTCTTCATCCTTCCGATTCCAAAATCCAGACGCCGTCCGTCTGTCCGTCCATCCGTCCGTCCCCCACCCACCCACTAGCCCAGCTTCCTGTCCTCTCCCTTGGATTCTGCGCCTCGTTTTCCCTTTTCTTCCACATCGGAACAGGATGGAGGTTTGAGAGAGGAAAGAGAAAGAGAGAGAGAGAGAGAGAAAGAAGCGGAGAGAGAAAATGGAGGAGGTGGGAGCTTCTGGTGGAAGTTCAGTCGTTTTTAGGGTGTTCATGGGGATTGGCGCCTTCAGGGACCTGGATGAAGGAGTCTTCTCTGAGGTACTCGTCGCTCGGCGGGCCCAGATCGCACGCCTGGCAGCTGCACTGCAAGATTTTTTCCACCAATTTTTCCACCCGGGAATCATTGGGACAATCCAACGATACCTGGGAAAGAGAGGAGCAGATAGGAGGCAGGATGAGGAGACGCACAGCAGCCTCAAGGATCCCCGTCGTCAGGAATGGGCTCGCAAAAGGAAGGAGCCCCCCCTTCGTTTCCTAGGAGGTGCCGCAAACCTGACTTTATAAGCACTGGATTCTCCTCAGCAAAATTCGGATTCATTTTTTTTTTTTTTGCTTCTCCTTGATCTACCCTAGCCGGGATTTTCCTATGCCCCTTAGCGCACGCCCGACCACCCACCCTCTGTGCATCCGTAAAGGGAAGGACCGTGGATTGCAAACGGGCATGGTGCCAACGGACCCTTCGTGCAATCCGCACCCTTACAAAGGGAACGACTAACATATGTGCTAGTCGTTCCCGACTCTAGGGGGCGGTGCGCATCTCCGTTTCAAAGCCGCTATCCGAAGACGTCTCCGTGGTCATGTGGCCGGCATGACTCAACGCCAAAGGCGCACAGGACGCTGTTACCTTCCCACCAAAGGTGGTCCCTATTTTTCTACTTGCATTTTTTTTAACGTACTTTCCAACTGCTAGGTTGGCAGAAGCTGGGACAAGTCACGGGAGCTCACCCCCGTTATGCGGCGCTCGGGATTCGAACCGCTGAACTGCCGACCTTTCGATCGACAAGCTCAGCGTCTTAGCCGCTGAGCCACCGCGTCCCTTATCCCAGGGTCAAACGCAGAAACTCACAATTTGCCACTGGATGCTGGAGGGCATGCAAGAATCGCAATGCACCAGGGACTCTGTCGACTGCGGCAAAGTGTTTGGGACGCTGTAGCTGAAGCACTGGCCCATGCAGGCTCTGGGAGAGGAGGAAGAAGGAATTAGGAAATATACATTTTGGTGGAACTTGGTGCCCCAGGGTCTGCCTGATGCCCACCCAGGGGATGGGGGCATTTGGAGGGGAAGCTTTGGCACGGCACAGAAGGAAGAGCTCCAACTCTTCCGCTTTTTCAAAGATTCCAGGCATCATCAGACCAGGGGTGAAATGTAAAATTTGTTACTACCGGTTCTGTGGGTGTGGCTTGGGGTTGGATTAATGTGACTGGGTGGGCGTGGCCAACTTTAAAAAAAAAACTTTTCAAAGCATTTTTTAGAAATGCTTTGAAAAGCCTCTGCCAATCAGGCAACTCAGCTGGGATCGTCAGAGACTTTTCAAAGCATTTTTTTAACCACCTCTTCAGCCAAGAGGTTGCAGAAAAAAATGCTTTGAAAAGCCTCTGACGATCCCAGCTGAGTTGCCTGATTGGCAGAGGCTTTTTTTTTTTACTTTTAAAAGCATTTTTTTCTTCGGAAGAGGTTATAGAAAAAATGCTTTTAAAAGTAAAAAAAAAAGCCTCTGATGATCGTGCGGCTCAGCTGGGCATGGTGGGAGGGGGGGGGGCGCAGGGATTTTTGCTACCGGTTCTCCGAACCATCTGCCGCCATCGTTACTGGATTGGGCGATCCGGTCCGAACTGGGAGCATTTCACCCCTGCACCAGACCCCCAGCACCAGTGGGCTAATGTGGGCGTCCTTCCCAAGGAAAGCCCACGGCAACAGGAATTGCCATCCAAATTTAAATAGAATCCACTGCCCCGGATGTCGTCATAGGCGATCAGAAGCTCAGCGCACGTGTGATCACGTTGCAAACCGGTAGTAAAAGTAAGTAGAATCCACCCCTGACACATATATATTATATAGCACACACACAGAGATAGTGGAAAAAGGAAACTTGAGTGTTTACAAGGTCGATACGGTATGGAACAAAACTGTGACCGAATCTGGATGTTCTGCTTCGGGTACCACGAAAGTCCCCCCCCCTTCCTGGAAGGCAGCAAGGAAAACAGGCCGTGAAGGGGATGTTGTAGCGTCCCAGGCAATCCTGCAGGGACCCTGCTCAAGCATTGCTTATGTGCCAAATCCTGGATAGGAAGGAGCGAACTCCCGTCCTCACCACTCTCTGCACTGCCTTCATGTCCGAAGCAGCGATGCTTCCAAAATCAGACTAATACAATACGACAGTATGCTCTCAATCATCCCTCTACAGCAGGGGTGTCAAACTTGTGTCATCACGGCGGTGTCACGTGACATATTGGGACTCTTCCTCACTTTGCTAAACTTGCCGTGGGCGTGGCCAGCGCGTGACGCATCCGGCCTGCGGGCCACATGCTCGATAGCCCTGCTCTATAGAAAGTGGTGAGGACTGGAAGGAGGAAGCTGTATTTTTTTTTTCAGACGACGCAGAAAACGCATGTGGCGCTGTGCCCGCTTCGTTGTTGTCTCGCTGTTGCTAAAAACCCACAATTGTGAGTCCCTAACAATGCAAAGGGAGCAACGTCTGACCGCCAGGCCTTAAAAGAGACGGCGGAATCATTTGGCTGAGTTAGGACCATTACCTGTTTTGGATGGATTTTGAATTGCATCCATTGTGTCCGATAATCTGGGTGATGTTCTTGGCCTCACACCAGGCGTTCTTGTCCGGAAATAGAGCGAGTTTGTTAATATGAGATGGGGCGGCTAAGCTCAGGCAGGGGAAGAACGCGCTCAGCAGAAGTCTTAGCATCGTGGCTTGCACCAGCGGAAACCTAGAAGTGGGTTCAAACACACTTTTTAATTGTTTGGAAAAGAACATTTTTTTTCACACACCCCTCTGTCTCTCTCTCTGCCAGTTCCTGTCTCAAAATTTGCAGGCTATACACATAGGACTTAACGACCACAATTGAGCCCAAAATTTCTGTTGCTAAGCGAGACGTTTGTTAAGTGAGCTGTGCTCCATTTTAAGACCTTTCTTGCCACAGTCGAAGCGAATCACTGCATTTCTTAAGTTAGTAATAAGGTCGTTAGGTTCGCTCACATTTGCGAACTGGTAGCAAAGGTAAGTGAATATTACCTTTTCACCTAACCCCTGGAACCGGGGTGAAATGCTCCCGGTTCGGACCGGATCGCCCGATCCGGTAGCGATGGTGGCAGGTGGTTTGGAGAACCGGTAGCAAAAATCCCTGCCCCCCCCATGCCCAGCTGAGCCACACAATCATCAGAGGCTTTTTTTTTTTTACTTTTAAAAGCATTTTTTCTACAACCTCTTCGGCCAAAAAAAATGCTTTTAAAAGTAAAAAAAAAAAAAAAACCTCTGATGATCGCGCGCAGCTATCATCAGAGGCTTTTAAAAGGAAAAAAAGCCTCTGCTGATCAGGCAACTCAGCTGGGATCATCAGAGGCATTTAAAAGAAAAAAACTTTTTTTTCTTTTAAAAGCCTCTGACGATCCCAGCTGAGTTGCCTGATCGTCAGAGGCATTTAAAAGAAAAAAGCCTCTGCCGATCAGGCAACTCAGCTGGGATCGTCAGAGCCTTTTGAAAGCATTTTTTTACAACCACTTCGCTGAAGAGGTTGTAGAAAATATGGTTTTAAAAGTAAAAAAAAAAAATTGGCCATGCCCACCCAGTCACATTAACACCCCCACCAAAGCCATGCCCACCGAACCGGTAGTAACAAATTTTAGATTTCACCACTTCCCGGGACGCTACGACCATCATAAATATGATGGTCGCAAATAAATACTGGGTCTGGTGGCTCAGCAGACTGATAGCACTGTGATTAACACCAGCTGTCTGCAATTACTGCAAGTTCGAATCTCACCAGGCTCAAGGTTGACTCAGCCTTCCATCCTTTCTAAGGTAGGCAAATTGAGGACCCAGTTTATGGGGGCAATAAGCTGACTTTGTATAAAATATACAAAAGTATGAAGGCTATTGCTTAGCGCATTGTAAGCCGCCCTGAGTCTCCGGAGAAGGGCGGCATATAAATCAAATTAAAAAAAAAAAAAAAGATTCAGTTGCCAAGCATCCAAATTTTGATCCCATGCCCACGGGAATGTTTTAACTTTGAATGATCACTCAAGGAACTGTTGTAAGGTTGTGAGGACCCGGATTGTGGGGGAAATAAGCTGACTTTGTATAAAAAAGAACACCGCTTAGGGCGGGGCCGAAAGCCCTACTAAGCCGGTATATACTAAAAGTATGAAGGCTATTGCTTAATGCATTGTAAGCCGCCCTGAGTCTCTGGAGAAGGGCGGCATATAAATCCAATCAATCAATCAATCAATCAATCAATCAATCAATCGAGGACTACCTGTATCAAAAAAAAACCCCACCAAACCTAAAGACTACTCTATTTCTTTTTTAAAATCCTTCCACATTTCTAAAGAGAGATTCTGTCGAGAACTGGAATTGTTAAAAAAAAAAGAAGATTGCAGTCCATAATGAGTTTGCATTTCTGCATCTGAAGGCATTCTGCATACATCAAACACTTTATTATCTAGCAGCTTATCTAGGAATAAAAAAGCACCTCCTGAAGTAGTGTAAACAAAATAGATGCAATACAAAGAAAATTGCATTTAAAAAATAAATAAAACAATAGACTAATTAGTTGGTTGTTTTTTTTTAAATGGAAGGGTGTTATGTAGCTTTTTTTGCAGGCAGGTGGAATTTTATAAGGAAACCACAACAAATCGTTCCAAGAAAGGGTTTAGAAGAGCAGAAGTGTGATTGAAAGAGAATTTTACACTTATAATTCAAAATTCTTACACATAGCTAAAGCGGGGAAAAAAGACTGCAATGCAGCATATGGCCAGCAGGGGTCACTGCAAGGAAAGGCAAATTGATAAATCTAGTTTTATGGATTTTTTGCAAAGTTTGCTTTTAAAAAAAAATAAAGATAAAACAAAAGTTAAAACTACAAATTCTGTGTTGTCTTCCTGGAAATATCCATGTTGTTTTCTCGGCAAAAATATTTTGTAAGGTTTGACTTCCCAAACTACATTGTCGAGATTTCCTGGTGGTGACTTGTCCAAGGAAAAAAACATCGGCCATGCCCTTCCTTTAGCAACTTGTTCTGGGTCTGTGAACATTTTTCCACTGTGATCTAAATGTTTCATTTCCAAAACTGGGAAGTTGGTAAGCGACACAGGGCTGCCCTAACCATTAGAGAGAAATTGGGTTTCTAAACCAAAGATGTCGTCTGCATTTTATCCTTAGGGGGGGTAAAATATTTCCAAAACTTTTCACCTCCCTCTGCTATTATTTGACATTATTTCCAATGTGCTGGTACATGACAAGACTCCAAAAAGTTTTGAAAAAAAGACTTAAGCAAGATTGTTTTGAGTGTCGTTATTTGAGACAATCGCCCACAGAATGGGGGTTGCTGATTCAAGGCAATTGAATGGTATAAATATTTTCATATTTTCCTCTAATAGGGATGTCATTCATGGATGTGGAGCCAAAAAGGATCCAGAACCAGACTAAACCGAGCAAATGATGTTCATCCGGAGAAGGAATTCCGAATTATTTCAGATAACCTAGGTGAGTTAGGCAATTTATAATGCAGCCTGTGAAAACTTGATGCATTTTAATAAAAGGAAAGGCTCTAGCAAACTCTTTCCAGGGTGAAGCTGTAAAATTGAGCTGATCCGTATTGGACTGATCTAGTGAGAAAAAAAAAAATTGGTTTGAATGGTGGATCACAAGGAAATGGGCAAAGATTTGGGGTAGAAATAGAGATTTGCATGAAGCATCCCTGGAGGAAGACTGGATAAATGCTTTTAAGAAAAAACATGGGGATGATGAATGTCTCTGTGAGGTGACCAGGAACTGAGCTTATCTCAAGGTAGGCTCTAATTTAATTTATATAAAGAGAAAGAAAATTCCCCTAGTAGCAAAAATCCTGGGGAAACAAAGGTAGTCTGTCTCATTGGCTTGCAAATGAGTGTGATTTCAGGAAATCAAACAAGAAATCAAACAAGAACAATTTGCCTCCAGAACTTGTGAATTCTCCAACACTGGAAATTTTTAAGAAGATGTTTGGATAACCATTTGTCTGAAGTGGTGTAGGGTTTCCTGCCTGGGCAGGGGGTTGGACTAGAAGACCTCCAAGGTCCCTTCCAACTCTCTATTCTGTTCTGTTCTGTTCTGTTCTGTTCTGTTCTGTTCTGTTCTATTCTATTCTATTCTATTCTATTCTATTCTATTCTATTCTATTCTTATTCCTTGTTCTATTCTATTCTATTCATTCCATTTCTATTCTAATTTTTCTTCAATCCATTCCATATATTCTATTCTATTCTATTCTATTCTATTCTTTCTATTCTATTCATTCTATTCTATTCTATTCTATTCTATTCTATTCTATTCTATTCTATTCCTTGTTCTATTCTATTCTATTCATTCCATTCTAATATTTTCTATTCTAATCTATTCTAATTTTTTTTCAATCCATTCCATATATTCTATTCTATTCTATTCTACTATTCTATTCTGTTCTATTCTATTCTATTCTATTCTATTCTATTCTATTTTTCTTTCAATCTATTACTTTCCATATATTCTATTCTATTCTGTTCTATTCTTATTTCTATTCCTTGTTCTATTTTATTCTATTCATTCCATATTTTCTATTCTATTCTATTCTATTCTGTTCTATTCTATTCTATTCTATTCTATTCTATTCTATTCTATTCTATTCTATTCTATTCTATTCTATTCTATTCTATTCTATTATTCTATTCTTCTTCAATCCATTCCATTCCATATTTTCTATTCTATTCTATTCTAAGATGGCTTAACAGAAGATGATAAACAGGTAGACAGACCGGCTCGTGCATGTATATGTCTAAAGTCTTCCTTTGGATAATAACTCGCCTCTAATACATTACGTAAGGTATGCGTGCCGCAATTACGGTGGAATAAATACCATCGACCTGGAGTCCATCCCCCTGCGGTGAACCCATTCAGCATATTTACATCTTTTTAATTTATTGCTCAGTCCTTCCCGATCCTTTCGAAAAGACGTAACTCTACTTTGGGAGTTGAGCAAGGTCGGCTCCTCCTCGAGGGTGAGAGCACGAGGGCGGCTTGCCAAGCAATAACCAAAATTAGGGCAAAGATGAAAGGTGCCAACAGGGAAGGCAAAGCAGCAGCAGAAAATTTCGTAACGTAATCCAGAGCGACTGGAATCGTTCTATAGAAACGTTTTGCTTCGCTTTTGGAAGAAAGGGGGAAAAAAAATGCATAGCCATGCCGGATTTGTTAACTCGGTGGGAAATAAGAAGGATTCACGCACCAACACACATCGTTTGTTGGTGACTTTGCACAAATCTTAGGTGTGCAAATCTAGAGAAGAACCAAGCCTCTTTCTTTCTCTAGGTAAGACAGACTGGAGAAAGAAAAAAAAACCCTTCATCTTTGCAGAGATGCTGTTAGCATCCAGAGTTCAAATCGCTTTCCGTCTCGCAATTTGAACGTGCAATTATCTCGTTTGGGCATTGGGCTGAGGATGATGGTCTTGGATGCCATCAGAAAGACACAGGATTTTTGTTTTAAAACAGGCCATCCTATTTTGCCCTTTCCCGATCCTTGGCTTTTTTTAAAAAAATAAACAACATTTTAGTGAATAGCCCAGCCGAGGGGGGAGAAAAATGCTAAAGTTCTAGTTTCCGAACAAAAGGATTCTTTTTTTCTCTTTTATTAGAAAAAGGAGACAAAAAGACAGCAGGTGGGACCCAGTTAAACTGTTGAAAAAAGAACGGTGCAGCTTTTATTTCAAGAAAACCAAGCTAAAGAGACATCCAAAGAAGAATTGGGAACAGTTATAAATTTAAAAGCCAGGTCACCTTTGTCCCCTTAGCGGACAAATAAAACTACAGACAAATCTTCCGTCTTTGCAACAAATGAACTTCCAAAACATAAATTCTATTGATCCCCCAAATTAATGATTTTTTCCCCCACAGAGACATTGCAGGACCCAACTGCATTATTACAATAATGTAGATTATTATTACAAAAAAAATAAAAATAAACTTATGCAGGTAAATAAGACAGGGAGCAGTAAGGGCAAATATTTCCCTCCTTCGGTGGTAGGTGATGAGGAGGGAGCATTTATTTATGTATTTTCAGTATTTACCGTGTTTCCCCGAAAATAAGACCCTGACTTATATTTATTTGAACCTCGAATTAAGCGCTTGGCCTTATTTTCGGGGAGGTCTTATTATTTTGGGGCTCGTTGAGCAAGACGGAGCTCCTCTTGCTGTCTTACCTGATTTCCAGCTCTGCGTTTAAATATTTTTGGGGAGGGCTTATTTTCGGGAGGGGGGGAAGGCTTATTTTAACGCATGTGTTCAAAAGCCCGGTTGGGCTTATTATCAGGGGAGGTCTTATTTTCGGGGAAACAGGGTATTTATTTATTTATTTCTAGCATGTATGATCTGCCTTAAAGGACTCTATGTGGCATGGAACATCTCATCACGCCAAGACCACCAAAAAAAAAAAAAAATCAGAATTAAATCCTAATTGTGCTTTAAAAAGCCACCAAAAAGCAAAGATATAACCCTTCTCCCATCCTAAAAGGGATGGCAGCTACTATTAGCCAGGTGAGTCCAAAACCACCTGGGAATAAAAAAGAGTTCACGAAATTGCAGGGTTTTACCGCCTGAAAGAGCGTGCCTGAAAAGATTTATAAACTGCTGACATGAGATGTTAGGTCTGTTGGTTCGTTGACCAGGACCACAATGATGCTCAGAGATCCGGAGGCAAACTTAGAAAAAAAAAGAGTGTTTTGCTCGCTTCTAACTTGGTTTGCACCTCCAGGAAACTTTAAGAGACTCAAAAACCACCATTGTGCGAAGGTAACCTCTTGCCATCGTGGCTATTTCTGGAGAAAGTGGTCTCTTTCCTCCCAAACCAGGATCACAAGAGGAGTAGCAATCATGGTTAGCTTCAGAAGGAAAGGGAAACCCGCAAGTCGCCTTTGGAGAAACCAAGGCAGGGGGGAAATGTAAAATTTGTTACTACCGGTTCTGTGGGCGTGGCTTGGTGGTGGGTAATGTGACTGGGTGGGTGTGGCCAACTTTAAAAAAAAAAACTTTTCAAAGCATTTTTTCTAATGCTTTGAAAAGCCTCTGCAGATCAGGCAACTCAGCTGGGATCGTCAGAGCATTTTCAAAGCATTTTTTTTAACCACCTCTTCGGCCAAGAGATTGCCAAAAAAAAAAATGCTTTGGAAACCTCTGACGATCCCAGCCGAGCCGTGCGATCATCAGAGGCTTTTTTTTTTTACTTTTAAAAGCATTTTTTCCTCGGAAGAGATTGTAGAAAAAATGCTTTTAAAAGTAAAAAAAAAAGCCTCTGATGATCGTGTGGCTCAGCTGGTCATGGTGGGGAGGGGGGCCAGGATTTTTGCTACTGGTTCTCCGAACCACCAGCCTCCATCGCTACCGGATCGGGCGATCCGGTCCGAACCAAGAGCATTTCACCCCTGGACCAAGGGGTGTGGAAGGAACCAAGCTAACCAGATTTTTAGCCGCCCAGTTTTCCCATTCTAGATCCTGGGGGTGGAGCAGGGAACATCGGATGTTCCCAACCAGCTTTCCTCTCCAAGTCCTAACTTGGCCTAATCCGGTTTGGCTTCTCCGGGGGAGACAAGACGAGGCAGGTTTTCAGATTGAAAAATCCAAATCATTAAAGAGCGAAAGCAAGAGTTCCGCTTTAGCCAAAAAGCAAAAGGTATCGGAGCTTTTAATCATCCAGAAAAAAAGGGGGTGGTTAAAAGAAATCAGGAATTGTAATTGTAAATGAGGATGTAGTAATGTGTGTGTGTGTGGAGAGGGAGACATTTTAGAAGCCCCCTCCTCTCCCGCCAAGTATTAAGAATCTGCTTAAAAGCTTCGGTTTTAAAGAATTTCTGCTTTCCCTTCTGAATGTCTACTACTTTAAATTAATTTTAAATCTTGATTTAAAAGGTTTTGTTGCCCCCTTTTAAGAGGCTGGAGGAGGAGGAAAAAACAAAGTAGAACCTTCCTATCCAGGGGTAGTCTACCTCCCGCAAACAATTCAGCACCCAATGCTGGAAGAGCAAAGTATAAAAGGGGATACGTTGTCTTATTAGGTTGGTTTCAAACCACGGAATGGTTTTAAATTGGGGGGGGTTTTTCCCCCATCCTGTATTTTTATTTTATTTTTTAAAACCGACTTCATGGATAGCTTCGTTCGCTTGTTTTGTCCAACTTGTCTTTTTCTCAATTTTAGGGGAGGGAAAAAAAAACCCGTGACTGAGCATTATTTGATCCGATTCTCTTTAAGTGGATAATAATAACAACCACTGCACAAAATTGCCTGGGAGATGTTATAATATTAACGGTATCAAATCTCTAATAAAGCGAATTGGACGGTCCAACTAATTAGAATCACCGTAAAACAAATACAGAGTTTAATTTCACCCCTTAAGGCAGCCCAAATAAATGTCATTTTTAACAGAGGTAATAATAGGTTTTTTTTTTTTTAAAAAAAAGTCCCTTTGGGTAACTGCAAAATTGTTTTTTTTTTTTTTTTAAACGCACGCAAGGTTTTAACTTCATTTTTTTTTTTTTAAACAGTAAGAAGACAAGTTTGTCTCCTGGTTGTTGAAAGGCAATGTTTTTTTCCCTCTGGTATTCAAAGTCAGGCCCAAATTAATACATTTCAGATCCTTCTTTTTCATTCTGAAGCAGCGGTAAGGGGGAGAGAGAGAGAGAGAGAGAGAGAGAGAGAGGATTGGAAGATGTTCTTAAAAATATTTCCAGCCTGGGATTTTTCACGGATTTTTTTGTTGTTGAGCAGAGAAAGGATCCGAGGAAAGACAGATGGAAATATTTTAATGGCTGCAAAAAAAAACCCAGTTCCCTCCAGCACGTTTCTCATCTGCAACTGATTTATTTCCGAAGGTTTCTCCTCTTTCAAACCATCCATCACAGGGGAGGATGAGAGGGAAGAAAGTGTATGGATGGAGGGGAGCATTTTAAAAATATCTGGTCTTGATGAGTGGCGAAGAGACTGCAGGTTTGCTCCCCCCTTTCACCCAACCCCTTGGAAAGTGGATGGGGGTGGGTGTGAAGGAGAATTATTATTACCTTATGGACTAGCACCTTTGAGCTTTTGCTGTCTGGCGCGGGGGGGAAAATAATTTTGAAATCGCTAGCGACCCACTCATCCCTTCCAACATAAATCTTTTGGAATTGCTGGTACAATTTATAGCTAAAAGGAGGGGAAAAAGTACATTATTTCTTTGGCATGGATGCATCTCCGGTCCGCCCAGGTGTCTCCATCTGTGACTGCTCTTTGCCCGCCTTTCTAGGCGGATCTCTGAAGATAACTTTGTTCCCATGATTGACACCTCAAATAAACACACCCATCTTCCAGCAGAAAAAAAAAACAAGGTGTGCAAATGTTTACGGCAAAGAAGTCGCGAGTCAAACAAACTTCCCCTTCCCCCCACCCCCCAGAGACAAAACCGATCGTGATCACTATTGTTGCAGGATTCCCTCCGAAACACAAAAAATGAATTTTTGAAATGCAGAGAAGGTGCTGACTGGCCGCATCTCCCTTTGGCCGTGCAATGTGGAATTTCACATTTGTTTCCTTTTAAAGTTTGGAAGCGCATAAGCCGAAGGATATGAACCGCATCATGCTCATGTATGACTTGAACCTGTGTTGGTGGACCTGTGTAAGCCATGATTACCAAGCAGGCGGCTGACTCCACAAAACAGGTTGAAGCATTTACTGCAGACCCCAAATAGTGGCCAAATAGAATAGAATAGAATAGAATTTCTTATTGGCCAAGTGTGATTAGACACACAAGGAATTTGTCTTTGGTGCAGAAGCTCTCGGTGTACATAAAAGAAAAGATACGTTCATCAAGAATCATAAAGTACAACACTTAATGATAGGCATAGGGTACAAATAAGCAGTGACATCTTCCACTTAAGGATTCAGGGGAGGGAGAAAAAGAGAGAGAAAGAAACATCTTTTCAGATTATCAGGAAAGGAAGAAAATCAGACCTTTCCCCCCGACGTACCCTATGATAAGTCAAATTTAGCGCAAAGTGTGGCCCTAGACTTCAGCCAGTGAAACCCCGCAGAACGGTTTGTAAACCTGGAAAAGGCGGATGGAAAAAGGATTTTTAAAATCGGCTCACCTTCTGGAACAAGAGTTTGATCCCGTGGGCAGCAGCCAAAGATTAAAACAGGGTTATTATCCAACCAACTCCACAGGAGCGGCAGCTCAAATCCAGGTTGAAATCCGTGTCTAAGAAAACTTCTGACAAGTTATGTCTGCCAGAGCATCCCAGGATAAGGAAAACCCCGGGAAAAAAAAAAGAGTAGAGAGGAAGAAGGGAGACAATTAAGCATCTGAACCTCAAGAAAAAACTTATAACTTTCCGTCTTCAAATTTGCAGAGAGATCCAGAGACTTCCAGTCAATTGCAAAGTTATTTCTCCGGGACCAACTGAAATCCAGCAGCAGGAGAGAAAAAAAAAAGTTGAAATAATTGTCCCAAAGATCCAGAAACGGACACGAAAAATCACAAAACTCCTGCAGACTGGAGCAGTGGAGGTGGAAGGGGAAAAGTTAGGTTCTTAGAGCGAAACAGCGGCATGGCCCTTCCTGCCCAGGGAAAATCCGTTCAGAATCTGCGGCTTCCCCGAAGTTTCCGCAACATCTTAAGGCAGAGTTTAAATCGGTTAGCCCATCCCTCAAGAGGAGGATGCAAGGACTAGCTTATAAATCAGCCTCATTTCTTCTCCTCCTCCTCCTCCTCCTCCTCCTCCTCCTCCTCCTCCTCCTCCTCCTCCTCCTCCTCTGTATTTCAGCTCTTCTGGCTCCTGTCAGCTCAGGAGGAGGAGAGAAAAAAAGAGAATTTTTAGAAGCATCTTGAATAGAGCAAGAAAGAGGATTAGGGGACTGGAGGCTAAAACATATACGAAGAACGGTTGCAGGAACTGGGTATGTCTACTTTAATGAAAAGAAGGACTAGGGGAGACATGAGAGCAGTGTTCCAGTATCTCAGGGGCTGCCCCAAAGAAGAGGGAGTCAAGCTATTCTCCAAAGCACCTGAAGGCAGGACAAGAAGCAACGGGTGGAAACTAATCAAGGAGAGAAGCAACTTAGAACTAAGGAGAAATTTCCTGACAGTGAGAACAATTCATCCGTGGAACAACTTGCCACCAAAAGTTGTGAATGCTCCAACACTGGAAGTTTTTAAGAAGATGTTGGATAACCATTTGTCTGAAGTGGTGGAGGGTTTCCTGCCTAAGCAGGGGGTTGGACTAGAAGACCTCCAAGGTCCCTTCCAACTTTGTTATTCTATTCTATTCTATTCTATTCTATTCTATTCTATTCTGTTCTGTTCTGTTCTATTCCATTCCATTCCATTCCATTCCATTCCATATTTTCCATTCTATTCTATTCTATTCTATTCTATTCTATATATTCTATTCTATTCTATTCTATATATTCTGAGAGAGGCAAGAATGAGCAAGTTTGGGAGAAGAGAGGAGGAAAAAAATAATTAAAAGTCTCCTTTGCTGGATTTTGCACCCCCAAATACTTCGCAACTTGTGGCTGGAGTGGGGAGGGGGTGTCAACCTTATGGAGAACTCCAGGTTTAGATGCAATTGTCTTTCTTTTCTCTTTCCTTTCCTTTCCTTTCCTTTCCTTTCCTTTCCTTTCCTTTCCTTCCTTTCCTTTCCTTTCCTTTCCTTTTTTCCTTTCCTTTCCTTTCCTTTCCTTCCTTCCTTCCTTCCTTCCTTCCTTCCTTCCTTCCTTCCTTCCTTCCTTCCTTCCTTCCTTCCTTCCTTCCTTCCTTCCTTCCTTCCTTTTTGGCTTTTGGGTCCTGGATGTGGTTGTTGCAGGGATGCTTAGCTGGGCTCTGCCTTGGTGGTGCTTCCCCCCTTGGATGAAAAGATTCAGCTCTGGAAACCTGGAGAGGCTGGTGATGCCCACAGCGCCAGAGGTATCAACTGGATCTGTTGGGCACGCCGGTTCGAAATTTCGTTTCAAGGATGCGTGGGGGCGGTTTGCCCCTTCTAGGAAATCGCCTCTCCTCCTTCAGCGAAACCTCCAAAGATCGAAGCAGTCTATCGGACTGCACCCGTGGTTGAAGGAATGGCATGGCATGCTTCCTTCCCGGTGCCCTGCTCCTGGGGAGATACCCGGGGGGTGCCAGGGGGAATCGACCGAAGGCAGAGCGGGTTGGGCATTGGGAGTGGGCACCGTGTAGGTGGGAAAACCTGTTTTAGCTCAGTCGGCGGATGCCACGGGCTTGGCAGCTTCGCTTCTCGGCTCTGGTTGAGCGCCAAAGAGGGAACATGTCGAGACAAGGCCAGAGACCCGCGTGGGAGGAGACGTCTCGGGCATCCATCTGTGCTTCGAACCCACACCTGGGTTCTTGGGAAAGGAGTGAGGGGGGCCCCCTCCTCCCTTTCTCTCCTGCCACCCAGATTGCATCCTGCTCCCTGGGGCATTCTTCCGTAAGCAGCCATGCCAGTTTCTGCCACTCCCCCCTCCTCCATGATGAAGACGAGATTGCACAAAGGGAGCTTGGCTGGCATGTGTGAACTCTGGCAGGGGTTGCGGAGAACATCTGGGAGGGTTCTTTGGAATGCAGCTGGACGGCAGGGGGCAGATCTGGCTTCCTGAGGCCCCGAATCCAAAAAACCTCAGCTGCTTCCTCTTTTTTTTTTTCGGATATCAGCTTTCGTCCCTTTTTTTTCAGCTTTTTTTTTTTTTTTTAAATTTTGAAAAGAAAAGAAGGTTAAGGAAAAAAAAGAAGAAGAGAATTTGTGGAGGTTTTTTTTCTTTTCACAAGCTGGCACAGAAGGAGCCAAAGAGAGCAGAATAACCGAGTGGGAAATGGACCTTAGAGGTCTTCTAGTCCAACCCCCTGCTCAGACCAGAAGCACCTTATACCATTTTGGACAAATGGTTGTCCAGTCTCCTCCTTAAAAACCTCCAGGGATGAAGCAACCTACAACTGAAGACGTGGCTCTTTCATCCAATGGACTGACCCGTCTAAAATTGATAATTTTAATCAATTTTTAAACTGGATTTTAATTTACATTTAAATTTAAATCGTTGAATTTTATTCTTTGTAAGCCGCCCTGAGTCCTTCGGGAGAAGGGTGGCATATAAATTGCATAAATTGCATAAATTGCATAAATTGCATAAATTGCATAAATTGCATAAATTGCATAAATTGCATAAATTGCATAAATAAATAAATAAATAAATAAATAAATAAACAAATAAATAAACAAACAAATAAATAAACAAACTTCTGGTGGCAAGCTGTTCCACTGGTTAATTGTCCTCCCTGTTAGGAACTTTCTCCTTAATTCCAGGTTGCTTCTCTCCTTGGTTAGTTTCCATCCATTGTTTCTTGTCTTGCCTTCTGGTGCTTTGGAGAATAAGTTGACCCCCCCCCTCTTCTTTGTGGCAGCCCCTCAAATACTGGGATACTGCTATCATGTCCCCCCACATCCTTCTTCGAAAGTCATGGCCCTAGAGAAAATGCGTCACAGAGAAGCGGGGGTCAAGATATTTTCCAAAACACCTGAAGGCAGGACAAGGAATAATGGATGGAAACTGAACAAGGAGAGATTCTTTTTTCTTTTAATTGAAATTTATTATAATACAATACAGTACAATCAATCAGACCGTGTTATTTTTCTACACAGGTTAGATTGAGTCTTCTTTTACTTTTCATTGTAATATAATGTCATTTACATATGCATCTTAAGATTTATATTAACTTTTATCTATTCTTTATTCTGTTATCAATCCACCTGTACCAATCATCCCACACCGTATAATATTCTGAGTCTTTTTTCTCATTTAATTCTAACGTTAATTTGTTCATTTCGGCACATTCTAGAACCTTCCGAATAATATGTTCCTCTGGTGGTGTGTCCTTTCCTTTCCAATATTGGGCGTAAATCTATTCTTGCTGCAGTGAGAATATGTATGATTAGATATCTTTCCCCCCCCCCCCCCTCTTTCGTCTTTAGTATTCCCAGGAGAAATGTTTCAGGTATCAATTCGATTTTTTCATTGGTTGATTCTTGTAGCCAATTTTGAATTTTTCTCCAATGCCTCATTGCTTCGGGACAGGACCACCACATGTGAAAGAAGGTACCTTGGTGACAGGAGAGATTCAACCTGGAAATAAGGAGAAATTTTCTGACAGTGAGAACCATCAACCCATGGAACAGAAGTTGCCTTCGGAAGCTGTGGGAGCTTCATCACTGGAGGCTTTCAAGAAGAGACTGGACTGCCATCTGTCAGAAATGGCGTAGGGTCTTCTGCTTGGGTGGGAGGAGGTTTGGCAAGAAGTAAGGGATTGTAAGGAAAGAAGGAGGACCTCTACAAGTAGAAATAAATAAAACCCAAGTGGGAATCGAGCCTGCCAATCCAGGAGTAGTCTACCTGAGTCACAAAAAAACAGGAGAGAGATTTTGCACCGATGGTCTACCGGGGTATCGGTGGCTGAGTGGGGGGGCTTTCCTTCTGCACAGCTACAGGGCTGGTTTTCTAGAGCTCTTAAAACAGGCAGAATAACTCAAACCAGCGAGATTTAAGCAAGAAAGCCAAATCGCAAACAGGCAGTGAAGCATGGCACCCACAGCAGAACTGCCGTAAATGATGTTTGATTTGACTCCCGTCTACCAACCCACCACACGGGGGTGAGGGAGGGAGGATGGCTACTCCGTCGACATGTGGCCGATGCTTTTCTTTTCCCCAGCTTGAATCTGGGGAGAAGCCTCTGGCCTTCAGCCGTTTAGGACGGGGGTAAAGAAGCCAGCTGGGGGTACCCAGAGGGCAGAAGAGGTGCCCGCCATGTCACTGCCCGTTGCCTGCCATCGGCTGCCCACTCTGGCGGCAGCCCAAAAAGCCAATGCAATCCTAAATTGCATTAAGAGAGGGATACAATCAAGATCAAGAGAGGTACTAATACCACCCTATAAAGCCTTAGTAAGACCACACCTAGATTCCTGCATCCAGTTTTGGTCACCACACTATAAAAGAGATGTTGAGACTCTAGAAAAAGGGCAGAGAAGAGCAACCAGGATGATGAGGGGACTGGAGGCTAAAACATACAATGAACGATTGCAGGAACTGGGCATGGCTGGTCTAGTGAAGAGAAGGACCAGGGGAGACAGGATAGCAGTCTTCCAATATTTGAGGGGCTGCCACAGAGAGGAGGAAGGGGGTCAAGCTGTTTTCCAAAGCACCTGAAGGCCAGACAAGGAATAATGGATGGAAACTGAACAAGGAGAGATTCAACCTGGAAATAAGGAGGAAATTCCTGACAATGAGAGCAATCGACCCATGGAAGTTGCCTTCAAAAATTGTCTCCAAGTCTCCAGTGATGAAGCTCCCACACCTTCTGGTGGCAAGCTGTTCCACTGGTTAATGGTCCTCACTGTTTCTCCTTAATTCCAGGTTGCTTCTCTCCTTGATTCACTTCCACCCATGGGTTCTTGTAGTCAGATGAAGAGAGTCGGAAGGGACCTTAGAGGTCATCTAGTCCAACCCCCTTCCCACCCAAGCAGGGAGACCCTACACCATTTCTGACCGATGGCAGTCCAGTCTCTTCTTGAAAGCCTCCAGGGATGAAACTCCCACAACTTCTGAAGGCAACTTCTCTTCCATGGGCTGATTGTTCTCCCCGTCAGAAAATTCCTCCTT